CTCAGGTGCGGAGCCTTCCACTGTGGACCGAGACTACACAAAGGTAGAAGCAATGGAGCCGTAGACAGTCAATCCAATCCATGAAATAATTTGATCTATGAACAGCATCGTTGTGGTAAAGGTCGTAATGCCAGAGGAATCATTACTGCAGGGCATAGAGGGGGAGGTCATAAGCGTCTATACCGTAAAATAGATTTTCGACGGAATGAAAAAGACATATATGGTAGAATCGTAACCTAAATAAATAAATACACAACCTCAATTTCTCAAACATATATAAATTCACAATCTCCTCAACTTTTCAAGCATTCACAACCTAAGAAAATTAAAGTTACAATTCCAAGCGTTTCAATTAAAGTTAAACTTCTCAAGCATTCCAATTCCAAATCCTTTAAAGTTACAAACCAAAAGGAAAATGCAAAGCAAAATGAATTAAAGTTACAACCAAAAAGAAAAATCCAATTCAAAGTTAATTAAAGTTACAAACTAAAAAGAAAATGCAATGCACCAATGTTACAAACTAAAGTTACAAACTCAAGTGTTGGTGGTGAGTGGATTTGAAGAACCTTGTTGTGTTGTTTGAGCACCAATGTTATCTACAAATAAAACAACATAGTTTAGTACATTTTATTATAAGAAGAAGCATAAATAAACTAATTACTTACAAGTTGTCATATGTTCCATTTCCTTGTATAATTCAACCTCATCATCCGTGCGGCTATACTTTGCGGTTTGCGGTAACCGCAAGTTTTGAAAATCAAATACCGCAACCGAACCGCATTTGCGGTTCGGTTCTTAATACCGCAAATGCGGTTCGGTTTACCGCGATTGCGGTTTCATTGCGGTAAATTGTCGGTTGGTTTTTGCGGTTTTTCGATTTTTTGGTTTAAAATGCCACCCCTAGTTTTGAGTGTGTGTAATGATGGGTTTTGGGTGTATTTATATGTTTAAATAGTGCTTGAGTTTTTTTATAATTTCAGACCCCATTTGGGTGTTTTAGTGAAACTCCCTATAAAAAATCCGAGTCTAGTCATGCGGCTATACTATATAAAAAAAAAAAGGGGAAAGGGGACGGGGGGGGGGGGGGGGCCCCTGCCCGCCCTGGGGCCTAGCGCCCCATTTGCCACGTGTCCAAAGTAGTATATCCGAGCGGCTATACTATTTTAAATAATAAAAATCATAGTATAGCCGGTCAGCAATGCTATTTTTATGTTTTTTTAAACCCTGAGTATAGCCGCTGGCTATACTATTTATAATAAAAAAAGACCACAGCTTGGTTCCAAGCACTTGCTTTGCCACGTGTCAAAATAGTATAGCCGAGCGGCTATACAATTTTTTAATAATAAAAACCATAGTATAGCCGTGCGGGGATACTATTTTTATTATTAAAAAATTTGTGTATCGTCGTCCGGCTATACTATTATTATTATTATTTTTTAAAAAGACCAGCATGGAGCCTAGCGCCCATTTCGCCACGTGTCCAAACTAGTATAGCTGAGGCTATACTGTTTTAAATAAAAACCGGTCGGCTATACTATTTTTATTTAAAAAAAAAAGTATAGCCGGTATTCTAATAATTTGTTTTCCCCAGTGTGCAGTCTTGCAAACGTTGATCCTATTGATGTTGCCAGAAATATTGCAAGGTTAAACCCAGAACTACCCTCGGTAAACGTTAAGTTTATTTATATCACTAAATATTGACTTTTGTAATCTAAGCTCTATGTGGGGTTTCTTATCGTTCATTCATATTCTTTTGATATTTGCAGTTGTGGTAGTTTTGAAGACCTTTACAACAGCTGAAACAATGCTGAATGTTCGAACCCGTAGGGAATGGATTTCATCTTCTCTCGGGTTAGTGCACTGCTAGCACTTCTTCAAGTATATGAACACGTTTCAGTTGATTAAACATTCAGATTATCACTAAATTTAATTAACAATTTTTCATTATCCGTTGGTGATTATGAATTTATGTGCTTTTTTCTTTTCGATTTTGATGGTGATGCTATTTATTGAGTTCATCAGGACGAAGGTCCTAAAGATATCCTTGTTATTTCTATTTCATACTGAGTTGATGGCGATGCTATTTGGTGTTTAACTCAAGAAAATATGCATTTCATGAACCCTCATAGGGTTCCACCTGCTTGTAGATTGCCACTAATAATGGATACCCTCCGATTTCTTATATTTAGTTGCAGATCAGATCATGTATTGTTTATCTTTAATTTTTGTTAGAGATTCAATCCCACTCAAGCCCAAACTTATAACTAGTGATCCCGATCAATCATCCCGACCCTTTTCTTTTTTGTCAAAGAGAGATTGGTGAGTTTTGGCTCAAGTGACAAGGTTGAAATGTGATCAAGATCATATAGACTGAATCTCGACCCATCATAATTGTGTAATAATCCTGTCAATATATTCATACAAAAAAGTGGCTCTTGGTGAGTGGTGGCAAAGCGAAATAAAAGTTGCACTCCATCCTTGACAGAGTTTAGGGTATGGAACTTTGATTATAAGTGCACTCCATTCTTGACAGAGTTGATATGTTAGGATATTGAGCTTAGATTTTAAGTTTTACTTCTCAAGTTTTTGACCATGTTCCAAAACCAGAGAGTGAACCTAAAGCTTAGGTGAGAAATGGGTGTTGATCGAAATTTACACTAGTCGCGATTGGCCAATGACATTGATTGGCAGCCAGGCACATCTGTTCCATAAAAAAGAATGAACCTTGCGTAGGAAAAAATTTAAATTAAAATGTTTTTTTAAAGTATAGCCGAACGGCTATACTGTTTAAATATATTATTTAACGAGGATAGCCAGTAGGCTATACTTTTGAAATATATTATTTAAGAAGTATCGCTGCGCGGCAATACGTTATAAATATATTATTTAAAGTGTATAGCCGTGCGGCTAGACTATTATATTATAAAAAAAAAAAAAAAAAAAAAAAAAAACCGCCCAGCCCGCCTAGGCGGCCAATTTTTGGAAAACCTGAATGGCGTTTTTTTAATTTAGATTTCTTGTTTCCTGGCAAGTCTGGCGTGTCTACAAATACATCAAGCTGGGGTTTTAGCGACTCACGTTTATTGAGGCTTTGGACAGATGCATTCAAACAGTATCTGTCGGAGTTCGATAACACCATTGATTTGTAGTTTTGCTAAAATAACCTTATACTAATCCAATAATTGTGTTATGCACTTTTGTGGTGCATTCGGGCATTGAGTTGGTTATTTTTAAGTTGAATTCTTCTGTTGGGTGATGCTTAGACATTTAAGTTGATTTGGTTATTTTTATTTTTGTTACGAAATGGAAAGCAGAAGCAGCATGATTGCCTAGAGGATCAGTAACTTGGGGATTATTTTCTGTCTTGTGAGTTTTACTACCATAATTGGAATGATTTTCTTTTTAGTTTCTCTTCCTGTTGGTTTGAATGGTCTGATTGTGAATTTGCTACAATGTTATGAATGCGGGGTCGAAACTTGGCTCATTTACTTGATAGTATTTTCTAATTTTCATGCCATATCATCAAGGAGTACCATTTTGACTTAGTTACTATGGATTTCATATCAGTCAATATTAAAGATCCGGGAATGGGCTTGCAGTTGCATTATAATATGTTTTTTTTTTGTGTCACTACTGGTTGGTGTAATTTCATCCGAATCTGTTTTTCTTCTTGTTTTGCATGTGGCTAGCTGTAATCGGTTATTGTTTTCACTTATATCTGTTACAAATTGTCTTACTTTTATGCCTTTTGGTTTCTGTTTATACAGATGGCTGGAACTTTTGGTTTTGGCCATGACTGGCTGGGTGAAGGAGCTTTTGAGGAATTATTGTAACAAGAATTTCAGAAATTGAGGTCTCTTGTGGCTTTTGGAAGATTATTATCTCTGCATATTATGAGAGCATTAGGCCCCTTGTGGGTTTGAAGACCAACAATCGATTGATTATATCACAGCACAATGCAACATTTCACTGGAGCAAGACACCCTGCTTGGTGCTGGCTGCAATACAAGCTTCCCTGTTAATATAAATGACATGAGCACTGAAATACAACCACAGCCCTTTCCAAGCAATGAGAATGAAGGAAATGATCACTAAACAGTAATCATTTCCAGCAGTCGCCTGTTGTTTCCCCAGTGGATCATGATTCGAATGTGCCATACGACATATCAGTTGATCGAATCCTTTTCTGCCGCACTTCTCCTCTGAATGTCCTGCAACATGTCACTTACAACTCAGAGAACAGCATGAAGAATGTACTTGTTTTTGTGAGAATTGATATGCCCTTGTATTTGATAGAGGTCATGTGTCTCTGAACACGAATGATCGTCAAAAATTTCATCTTTTCTATATGGTTTTGAATGTATAGTTGATGTCTTGTATGATTCTTAACTGTAGATAAAGGATGGGATTCATTGCTTGGTACCAACAGATGGCAAGACCCTCGAGGTCGATGATAAGAGCAGTGATTTTTTAAAATTTTTAGTTTAGTATTTTTCTGATGTGAAAATATAGTAGCTAATAGTAATATTTCTTCAATTCTTATACAAGTTGTTGTATAAGGATCATTGGCAAATATATCAATCATATTGAAGAGATACATATATGGTGCTTGTTGTACCTTATTTATATGCTGATGAATAATGGTCTAGCATTTTCCTTCATCATAGTCTTCATCATAGACATTATATCTCCACACATAGAGAGTGTCTTATGATCCCTGTTGGATTGAACCCTTACACATTTGATGCATTTCTTTGAACAGCTCCTCATTACCTTCGGCAAAAACTTTGAGATCCTTCATGAGGATATCTAACGCCTTGGAGTGACAATTGCTGTCAAGAATGAACCAAAAACTTGCAGAACATGGTATTTTTTAAGATTGTTTATGTATAGATTATAAGAAGCTTCAAAAAAATGTTCTCACTTGTCAATGGCCTCAAGGAAATTTTGCTTTCTGATCTGGAAATAGATCTTCGTCGCATAGCCAAAATGACGTCGCGTTAAATAACAGAAGTCACATTAGAGTAGAAGCCATGTCTGAAAGTAATTGTAGTTTCCAATATGCATGCAGCGCCAGAAGAAACTAGTACGTTCAGAGCGTTCGAGAAGGCAAGGCTACCTAGTGACTCTTTTGGCGTGACCCTCAAACTTCCTTGTAACCTGCAAAATATATAAATCAAGGCAATGACAAACTTTTTGGGTTTGCTTCATCACAAGATTGAGCATGATTTGAATTTTTTTTTAATTTTTTTTATACAAGAACAAACAAACTACCTCGTCTGAGTGGAGATTGTATCGGTTGGTGCCACAGGAAAAGCCCTGAAGGATGTCATTGCTGTTGGTATCGGTGGCAGCTTCTTAGGTCCTCTTTTATTATTATATTTTTTTTATAAAGGTATAGCGTTCGGCTATACACATAGTATCTACCGCCATGCGACTACACCTTTTAAATATCGTTTAAGGGGTACAGCCGCGCGGCTATACCGTTTAAATATATTATTTCAAGATTATAGCCGTGCGGCTGTACTATTTATGAAATAAAATTAAAAGGACCGGCCTAGCCCGCCTAGGCGGCCCATTTTTGGAAAACTTGAATGGCGTTTTTTATTTTATTTTAAAGATTTCTTTTTGTCCTGGCGGGTCTGGCATCTCTGCAAATACATCAAGTCAGGGTTTTAGCGACTCAAGTGTTTCAACAACGTATAGGCATCTCTGAAAATCAGTATTTTCCATTTTCTGTTTTGGTTTATGTTACGTTTGGTTGCTAGGAAGCTGATGATGAACAAATATTCTCTTACCTGAATATTCAGTTTCATGTTTCTTTTGTTGTATTGATTAGTTTAGTTACAAACTGAGTTGGTCTGGTTAACTGACCCAAAAGGAGTATGCTGCTTTCTGGGGCTCCAATTGTTGAGTCATCTCTTCTTTTGAATTTTTTCTTTTTAAATTTCATTTTTGTCAATTCTCAGTAGTGTAATATGGGTGAAATGCAGCTTTTGGATCCGTAAGATGGGCAAAAAGAGTAAATAAAAAACTCCCAGAGAGATGCCAAATAATACAGCTGCTGTAGAAGAGGAAAAACCCTCATCTTCGGCCAAAAAATTGTTGAATCATTGGTTGAGATTCAGTTCAGGTTTACCATATACTGGGCATATGAAGTCTCATCTAATCCTACTTTCTGCAACAGGAACACTTGGAGAGCAATGAGGGTGATCCTGAGTTACTTGTTTACATTCCGTGAGTATCCACTTTTGTTGTTTTATGTGTTATCTTCAAGACATGAGTTAAAGAATGCATAAACATGATATGGATGGGTACAGGGAGATCCATTGGTTGACTAGTAGTTGTACCCATTTTTCCATATTTTCATTCAATTTCAATGGTAACATGTTTTGTTAGATCTCCATAGTCGGATCTGTATGAGTTTGAGTATGGGATTCAACCTTAGTAGCATCTCCAGGTTCACCTAAAACAAACATAACACTTAATAGTGAGTTTGACGGGATAGGGGCTGATAATGTTCTGGAGAGGATTGAAAATGACATGCTTCAATTTGCAGCTAGTTTATGTTTTCTTTTCATATTCCCCCCATACAGTAAGTAAACCTCATGGGTGTTTGTAAAGGCCTATATTTGTACAATTTGTGTAATTTTGGCATTGGTTTAGGACAACTGTCATTTATTGAGTTTGATGGTGCAGTTGCAGTTATTGTGATTGAGTTTAAATGAAATAATAAAATTTAACAGCATTTAATAATAGTTTTGTAATTTTGAGGTTTTTCCGTTGCGTGATTGTAAGATTACATCCTATTTTTTAGGCATTGGCTTTATGTAAATTAGGTAAAATTATATTCTTATTTTACATATTAGGCATTGGCATATAACGCCTCGCCTTTCAAAACATTTGTTAATAGAACCACGTTAATTAATAATGCTTAAAGTAAAGGGACTTTGCAAATTCAATGGCAAAGCGTATGATCTCTTATGTGGACTCAGCATGAGAAGCCCCTATGGAGCCAGAGCTAAGATTCTGAGAAGAGGGAAAACACTCCTGTATTTTCTCAGGCACCAGCTAGCACAGACAAAATTGGCATGCCTGGCCGGTGCTTAGCCACCAGCTTCGCAGTGCTTCCTCCTCCAGTTAGGACTCAGGACTATAAAATCCCACATTGAAAACAATGGAATCAAATTTCCATATCTTTCGGCGATTGAATCATCAAATTTGCATAAATCTCTCTTCCTAAGAGATTTATGCATGCACCAAGCTCTCAAAGCTCCTGAACATAGCTTTGCCTACACCAAGAAAACTATCGAACCAGCGTTTGTCCTCAAGCTCCCTAAGATTTTTGATAATTTTGAAGATAAACCTGTAGCATCTGGAAGTATTGCTCAAGTACATCGATTGAGAGCTACTTTAAGATTTAGGTACCCTGGTCAACATGTGAAGCCTCATAGTAGTTGCCATAAAGGTTAGGCGTCCTGGTGTTGGTGAATCGATTAGGAGAGATGTTGTTATAATCAATCTGGTAGTAAAACTTTCGAACTGCATTCCTGCTTTAAAGTTGTGGAGATTGGATGAGAGTGTACAGCAGTTTGCAGTTTTTATCATGTCTCAAGTTGATCTTGCAAGGGAAGCAGCCCATTTGCATCCACTTGTGCATCCTGCTGTTTTGGTGGAAACTTATGAACAAGGGGAATGTTGTCTCTGTTGGTAAAAAGATAAAGATATAATATGCGAGTATAAATTATAATACGTGAATTTTGTGTGTCTTATTGAATTTTGTGTAAAAAATACATGTATTAAACAAGAGAATACGTGCGTAAAGTATAATACATTATTAAACGTGAAAGTGCTAAAATCTTTATACGAATAATAACTCTGGAAAAGTAAAAAATCAAAAGGAGACAATAGAAACTTGAGTAATTGTCTAATAGTAATGGATTGGGCTTTTGGGTTATGGGGAAATTTAACTAGGACATCCAAACAATTTCACAAAAGACTTAATAAATAGAAATTAATTATTTTGTGGACTTTTCCTTTAATTTCTTTTATATTAAATAACAATCAAAATATAATTACTAATTAAAGTAATTCAAAAAGTCTAAGATATTCCTTAATTACATATATTAAATTAAAGAAGTAGGCCGGCCAAAAAACAAAAGTAAAGAAACTAATTTGATATTTTAAAAATAAAATAAAAAGTCTCTCTCCATGGAAGTACATCGGCACAAGTCTATGCTGGCGAAATTTGCAGGATTAAATTTTCTTTTAAAACAGTATAGTCGTGTGACTATACTATTTATGTATAAAAAATGGATGCGCCCAATGCATAGGTGCCATGTCTCAAACCAGTAAAACCAAGCGGCTATACTATTTAAATTAAAATGGACAAACTGTATATTATATTTTTTTTCCCCTTCTCTCTACTATTATAAAGCCAGCCCGAAAGCAGTTGGGTCACAGGCTTCATAAAAAAAAAATTGGACAAGAACACCCCTCAAACAAAAAAATTGACAATTGAAATGAAATTCATGTATAACAATCACCCCCAAAACTTCTTAACGTAAAACTTAAACCACTAACCATCTAAGGGACATTTTATAGTTGCATAACGGTTCTTAAATACTTCAAAATTAGTTCCAGTTGGTGTTGGAGAAGATCAATTTTCATTATGAAGTATCGGACATGCCCAACACGCGACATCATTGGATGAAAAATTGGATGAAATGTGTAGAAATTTTACACTGGACTGAAATTAAATTGGCAAATTAAAATAGTTCAAATATCAAATTTTTCCAAAAACTTTAATTCAATGACTAAAACTGTTCTTATGTTAAGACAACAACAATGTTATTTTGTATCAAACTACGTACGGATAGATATGATAATGTTTTCTAATTTATGCAATGGGCTACTTCCTTTGAAATATATACAGATATTAAGAAACATTTGCTAACAACTCCCGATCAACCTCCAGCACCAATTGATTATAAAGGAAGAGTGATTCCTTGAAACAAAAAAAATAAAAAAAATAAAAAAGAATTTTAATAAAAAAACATCAACTGTCGGATATGACCGCATAGTTATGAGATAGGACATCCATTTGTATTTGCAACTATTTTTTTCCTTAGAAACTGACGTCTAATTAAACTTGTTTGGTTAAGCCACTGTCGTACGAGGATATTTAACTCATGTTTATGTTAAGAATATTAAAATAACCGCATAGTTATGAGTTGTGACAAACACAAACGAGGAAGAGGGGGATGTTACTATGTTATTGTTGACTTGACATTATATGATAATGGTTTTTGGGAATAATAGGACTTTCTTTCTGCTCCTACATACTATCCTGTAATAGGGTACGTAACATCATGATTATACTTAAAAGGTACAATAAATTAAAAACATCAAAAAAATATCTAAAGTCTCAATCTTAATATAGTAACAAACTAACATGCTAAAAGCAAAACTAAAGCGGTCAAAACTACATTTAAACTACTAGCTCACATCACCACAATTAATTATAAGTCCAAACAAAGTCATAGCACTTAAGACAAAACCAATATCGATCAAATGCCCAAAACTAAATAGGTTGTTTCCAACAACTTGACGAAACCCATTAGGTGTTGGAAATAATACGTTAATAAACCAATATCGTACGCACAAGCCCAGCCCAGCAACTGGTAGGAAAATCTGGCATCGTGCTTCACCCTCGTCAGAATTCCAAGATGGTCAACAAAGAGCCATGGCAAAGACCAAAGGAAATCTATGAATGAAGGATGAATACCCACGGGACAAAAGACTCTACCCATTTTTTCTTTCCTCTGTAAAACCTATTTTGAAAACCAAGAAGAAAAGCAGCTGGCGCCTTACCCTCATGGGGAGGTCCAGCCACACAAAACTCTTGGAACCTTAAAAGGCTCCTTACCCATGTGCCTGAGATAGGAAAATTTCACCAAATAGGATTGAGTAGGGAGAACCAACGAAAAAGGGAGAAAAAGGTTAGATAAAATTAGGGGTCTTTGTGCCTATAAAAGGGAGCTTCCTCTACCCAGAAAAATCATCATCCAGAGCCTGACCAAGCTTTGTCAAGCAACTGAGAATTTACTCATGCCACCCAACATTCTTTTTTTGTTGCTTTCTTCTTCCTCATGCCACCTAATTTTCCTCTGCCCTACTTCAAACCTTCGTCTCTTTGTAAGAAATTCACGCTTCTCTCTCTCAAATTGCTAAACTTGTGAAAGCTTAGCTCCCATGCCACAAGCTCCTCAAGCTAAGCCACTAATCGATTTATTATGTTTATTTGGCTATTGGTGAAAAGAACCTAAGGGTGTTTTTCTAAGGTTTCATCAAACCTTTCGAAAACTCTTTTGGGAGCCTGGTTTCTGAACTCAGGTACTTGGGGAATTTCTGTTCGTTTCCTTCTTACGGCAACCCAAGTCCATTCGTTAGGCTGTTGGAACAAAAAGTCCCCTACACTAGGTTTCGCTTCTTCTTCTTCCTCCCAATCAATTGGGTTTCTCTTCTTCTTCCTCCCAATTGGATGGGTTCTTCTTCTTCTTCTTCCTCCTTCTCCCAATCTGACGGCTAGCTGGGTTTCTTCATCTTCATCTTTTTTCTTTCTTCTTCTTCTTCTTCTTCCTTCTCCTCCCCCTTTTCTTCAATTGTTTTTATAATTTTGTATTTATTTTAACCCTATTGTTATTTGTTAATTATGAAAAGTCATATCTACCCTAAAATTTGGTTAAATCTAACAGAAAATTAGACGGTGGGATCAATAGAGCGAATAATATAGAGTTGATGGACCATTTGAACGAATAATTTAATTGAGGGACCAAAATGTAAATCGAGTATAAGTTTGAGGACCATTTTAGTAATTTATCCGAAAATTTAATTAGGGCACCCAAATGATTTCACAAAAGAGTTAATAAATAGAAATTAATTATTTTGTAGACTTTTTCTTTAATTTTTTTAATATTAAATAATAATTACTAATTATTTTATTTTTTTTAAAAGCCTAAGATATTACTTAATTACATATATTAAATTAAAGAAGTAGGTCAAAAAACATAAGTAAATAAAATAATTTTATATTTTAAAAATAAAAAAATAAAAAAACTCTCCTAACGAATGTTCGTTGACACAGGTCTATGCCGGCAATATTTTTGGGATTAAAATTTTCTTTTTAAACAATATAGCCGTGCGGCTATACTATTTATATAATAAAAAAATGGACACGCCTAGCTCATAGGACTATTTATATATAAACTTTTGTATGTGAAAGGAGCAGATTCAATGAGTTATTTCACATGACTAGATTCAATGAAACATCATAAATTCAGTTTATTTATTTATTTATACAATCGAAATCGAGGATAGTGAAATCGAACCTAGATGTATGGGTAAATGCTATTAATCATTTGAGTTATAAGCTCCTTCTAAATTCATTCCTTGTGTTTTTTCTAATGCAAACATAAATATTTAAGCAATTGAACTGCATAAATTCAACTAAATTCATGCATTTTAAATCACAAATTCCAAAATAACTCGAATTGATCGAAGACCATTTCATAGAGTGGCACACTACCTTTACTACTCTTCATGCTGAAGCTGAGGCTGCCCTTCGCGGCTTATCTTTAGCTAAGAGGAAGGGTTTCTCAAAAGTAATGCTTGAGACAGATTCAACTATTTTAAAGCAGAGTGTTGAAGGAATGACTAACAACGGTGCTTGGTCCATCCTTCCCATAATTCTGGAAATTAGAAGGCTTGGCAACAGTTTCCAGAGAGTTGAATGGAGTTGGATTCCTCGAAGTATCAACAAAGCGGTTCACGCAGCAGCTAGTATTGGCATCAGAGCGGTGGTGCAAATTTGCTGGGCTGAAAGACCACCACCGTCTCTTCAGGGAGTGTTGGAAGTGGATGGTCTTCCAGGACAACCAAACTAATGTTCTTATCTATATTTTGTACTAAGTTAGCCGCTCCACTAGCTTGCTTTTACTGGGTGTGTGCTGGCTTAGGTTGTTTGTTTCTTTTCTTGGTTTTGTTTGTTTGTTTCTTTTCGTGGCTTTTGCCTCTGAATTTTTTCGTCCCAAAAAAAAAAAAAAAAAAAAAAAAAAAAAAAAAAAAAAAAAAAGATATTGACTCAAGGGGAAATCGAACCTATAACCTCTAGTAAATGGGTAAAAATGCTATTAACCACTTGAGCTACAAATCCATTGCTACTGTACCAATTGGTGTCCAAAACTTAGAAAAATCTTGGTGCATGTTAGAGTATTGTACCAACTAGAAAGGGAATCATCCCGATAAAAAAAAGGGTAATTGCAATTCGGCCATGATCCGCTTTGTTGCAATTCCTATATGTGGGTGAGTTGCATTCACTTAGAGCACTTCCACCAAGGGGCCCAAGGGGAGGGTTGGGGGGGGCAAACCCAAAATGTGGTTTCCAGCAACAATAAGCTGCCAGGGCAAGCAGTGGGGCCCACAAACCTGGGCAAGCCCGGGGGGAGGCTGGCCCGAGCTCCAGCCAGCGGGCTGGGATGACGTCAGCGCTGCTGTTTAAATTTTTTTAAAGCTGGCACGTGCAATACACGCACCCAGTTTAAAAAAAATTTGACGCGCGCTACAGTAGCCGCCCAACGGCATGATTCCACGTGTCGCATGCTGGGCCATCCGATCTGCTTTTTAAAATTATCCAACGGCAGCCATTTTTTCGCGAATAAAAAAATCCAAAAAGCAACCCCCAACAGCTCTATGCCACGTGGAAGCTCCTGGGCTCTCCGATTAGTTTTTTCCAGCAATCCAACGGCAGTCAATTTTTTGCCCAATAAAAAAATGAAAAAAAATCAGAAAAATTTTAAAAAAAATACTGAATTTTTTTTTTCTATAAATACCAACCAATACTGACTTTTAACCCAAAAATCTTATCCGAAAATATTATCCAAATTAATTGTTTAAGTAAATAAAGTTGTGAAAAAAACAAAAAAATGAATAGTAATTACCATGGCAAGCCTTGCATTGCTGGAAACACAATTTTTTTTTTGTGCTAGGGCAGCACTATTCACTTTAATAGTACCCGCACTAGGGCTCCCCTTGCCATGGCAAGGGGCTAACTGGTGAAAGTGCTCTTATAAAATTTCGTAGTTCAACTCGATTCAGTTCTAATGATAGTTTTGAAGTGTAATTAGGTGCACTTACATATATTTACATTATTTTGAAATATAGTTGGTCAAAATAATAAGTTGGCTTAACTAAAGTAAAGGTTGGGTCCAAATAGAGGTTGCCAAAACAAAATGACCAAACCCATAATCACAAGGTTTTTTTTTGTTTTTTTTGTTTTGGGGTCAAAATCAAGTTGCATTAATAAAAAAAAGTCAATGGCAATTACATCATAGAGACACTCAAAAAATGAGTTCAAACAAATTCAATTGAAAAAACTCACTAAAATAATAAAACTCAACATACATAAAATCATAACCTAAAACTGATATAAACTCAGATCCCAAAACTGACCTAAAGCCAGAACCAACCAAAAACAAAAAGGCAAAAAGCCCACAAATAGCAAATGCCCATAAAAGACAAAGCCCACAAAATACAACACTGCCTTAAGAAATCCTAAAACAAATAACATATATGTGTCGCACAATCCAACGACCACAAACCATGTAACCAAACTAAGTCGACAACTACAAAAGAAAACCTGGTAACCAATGGAAAATGATGATGGGCAAGCCATCCGCGCTACGAGTGCAACTAACAACACTACCATAATCCAAGCAATAAATGCTATTTGGACTTTAAGGGCATCACAACAAGTAACAAATTGTAACATCAGTCACAGTCTCCGTGATTATTACAACAAGAATAATGCTTTATATGCCTAGTAGCCTGTGAGTCCATATATTGTTTTAATTTTATTTTCAACTACAAAACAGTCAGTCATGTCACATCCTTATCAATTATCTTATAGTAATATCATTGATATGAAGCTCAAATATAAATGTGAAGCTATATAATCAATCGGTAAATATGCTTCAAAGAAGAGAAGATAAAATGTCACCAAATCATATGCTTCAAATAAACATGGTTATTTTTAGTAGTTTATAACGAATGTCTAAGCTTTTATTCTAGTAGTACAAGAATTCTCCTCCCATCTTGGAGAAACTTTTAGACATACCATAGATGTCTTTGGCTCTTTGTTTATTGGTTTTTTTTAAACAGAAACGATGGTCTAAACTAAAACGTAAGAAAAATTTCTCGCTACATACTATCAAAGTGTCGTGTAGATTCAAACATGAGAGTCTATTGTTACTTAGGGTAGTGATTACTGACCCTTTTATTTTATTTTTTTTATTTTAATGAAAAAAAAAAAAAAAAAAAAAAAAAAAAAAAAAAAAAAGAGTTGACTTCAAATTTGATGAGATTGGAGTTGTGAATATTGACTTCTAATTTTATTCCAATCCAAACGTGTGAAGCGGTACACACAAGACAAGAGGCCAGGCGCTAGTGCGCGATTTCGGTCGTTGTCACGTGGTGTTGTCACCCAGCCATCAGGCATATCAACGTGGCATTTTATCATTCGAGTTCGGAGCTACGCACAACCAATAGTCAGCCAATCAGATTAAAGGAGTGATATAAGGTACGTTGTTGTATTAGGTGGGTTTAGCATAATCCTAATGGAATCTTCCGAAGCCAAATGCGTTCACACTTGAGGTGAAGTTAATTTTTCCGCTCGGATAAATTATTAACCACTTTAGAGTTCTGAAATGACCAAAGTGACCTTACATACATTATAGCTCATCACGACTCTTTCTTTCTCTATTTTTAGTGAGTGATTACTCTCCTCAAAACGGTTATCTTTCATGTTTTATATATGTTTTTTTTTGGTTCCGCTATGTTTCCGTATTTAATAAAAAATTGTGATCTCTTTATAATAATATATATATATAAAGATTATGATAATTCCAATTATCTCGTGAAAATATTGTTCCTAAACGGACCTAATATTTGTATATTTGTTTATAAATTTTCTAAATCAGTACCCTCATAATTCATGTTTCTCTAATTTCTCTAATTCGTGTTTATAGTAACGATTGACATATTTAGTTGTTATTTTTAATCTTAAAAAAGAAACATCTTACCAAAAAAAATGTGAATGACAAAACTTTTCCATGTGATATTTTCGATCATATTTACAATGAGCTCATTTTCTTTGTGGTCAGGACAATGAAATTGCAACTGAACTCATTTATAGACTCTCATAAAAATAAAATAAAAAAAACCAAAACCATGGGTGGCATCCACAGATTTTTCGGTATGGCTTTTTCTAACTTGGACCAACGCACCAAGGGCATTTTGGTCAATACGCACGATAATCCGATCCAAATTCCTCAAAATGTACCTTTTTTCTGGTGGGCCCACTTATTTTTTTGCCATCCCAGAAAATCTGAAATTTTCCCCAAACACAAGGTCTTGACCGTTCGGGTCCCCTTAAATCAGCCACCAACCCCGCAATCACCACCGTACATCCAATTCCCTAAATAAATCTCGACCGTGCAAAACCACACCACGAAGCCAGCCGCAAGATCAGAAAAAATCCAACGGCTCAGATAAAAGCACTAGAACCTTCTCTTCCTCCCAAACCCCCCTATATCTTCCCTTCTCAGCCTGAGCTTGTGCTCTACTCGTGCCACTCCATCACTAGGGTTTCGAAGCTCTCATTTCTCTCATCACCAACAACCGGCCTCTGTTTCCAAGGTACGTGCCGAGCACTCTCACACTCTGGCAGATCGAAACGACCGCGTTTATAGAATACCAATCATCTGAAAATCGGATCTGAGCTGAGCTGAGCTGTTTGGTTTGATTTTGATCTGAGATTTTTGTGTGTAATGTTGCAGAACCTTTGACCATGGGGAAGAGCTACCCTACCGTGAGCGAAGAGTACAAGAAGGCCATCGACAAGGCCAAGAGGAAGCTCAGAGGCTTCATCGCTGAGAAGGCCTGCGCTCCTCTCATGCTTCGTATCGCGTACGTCTCTCTCTCTTTCTTCTCTGTGTGTTTTTGTGCGAGTGAGATTTGATTGGGTGTGGTCGGGTGCAGATGGCATTCTGCTGGTACCTACGATTCGAAAACAAAGACCGGAGGCCCATTCGGAACTATGAAGCACGCAGCTGAGCAATCACACGGGGCCAACGCTGGTCTCGATATCGCTGTCAGGCTCTTGGAGCCCATCAAGCAACAGTTCCCAATTCTCTCTTACGCTGACTTCTATCAGGTAATATTTGAAAAAAAACAATTGTAATCAATTATATTTAAGTTTGTTTGTGTTTACAAAAATGAATTAAGGGTTGCTAATTTTTTAATCGGATTTGATTTGTTTATTTTAAATTTTGTTTATAGTTGGCTGGTGTTGTTGCTGTTGAGATTACTGGTGGGCCTGATGTCCCCTTCCACCCAGGAAGAGAGGTTAGTAACTTTTGTTTTTCTTCGTATAATGTATTAATAAAAGTTATAATTGTCATTTAATTACCATGAATTTATCGAATTTTTCTTTGCCTTTGATCTTGTTTGGGATATTTCGTTTTTTGATGGGATTTTTTGTTTTGTTTTCAATTGAATGTATGTTATCTGTGTGCTCCTGGTGCAATAAACCCAAATACGTTGAGTTAGAAGATTGTATTGCCGTGGATAGTCATCTATTTTGAACGATTTCATTCCAGAAAGAGCTTAATTTGTTCTGTAAATCAGATTAATAATGTTTGGTTGATTGCCCTCATTTCCAGTAATTGAGTTCGTTATGGTTGCCTCAGGTTTTTTTTCCTGTGGTTGTTCAGTAGTCTTAGATTTAAACAAATTTTTTTTTTACTATTTAGGGAATCTTGTTCTTTTTGTGCCTTCTTTTCTTCTTCAAAATAAAGGTGTTTGCTTTGCCATAATATCATTGGTTCAGTTTTTGAACTATGCATTGGATATGCTAGTACAATGTTTTGTTTGCTTCATTTTCTTGTTATATTGATATTCCTCTTGTTGTGCCAGGACAAGCCTGAGCCACCTCCAGAAGGCCGTCTTCCTGATGCTACTAAGGGTTGATAATTACATGATCTTATCTCATTGTTTTAGTTTTAGCGTGTTGTTTCTCTGGTTGTGTGCGCATAATGCTGATATTATGTTGCAATGCTGCAGGTAATGACCATTTGAGGGATGTCTTTGGCAAAACCATGGGCCTCAGCGACCAGGATATTGTTGCTCTCTCTGGCGGTCACACCCTGGTTTGTTAACTCTTATTGCCCTGTTTTTTCTGCTTTGGTGTATATTGTGCTAAGAAATTGCAGCTGGGAATGAAACATTTGTTATTGTGTCAATGTCAATACTGATTTCTGTATGCTCACTGGTTATGGAACCTTGCAGGGAAGGTGCCACAAGGAGCGATCTGGATTTGAAGGACCCTGGACTCCCAACCCCCTTATCTTTGACAACTCCTATTTCACGTGAGTTTTGTTTCCCTGCTATGCTTTCTTGATACACCTTTTTGCATAGAGCTATGCAAGTAATGTATATAATGTTTTTTGATGTTTTAGGGTGCTCCTGAGCGGAAAGTATGATGGTCTTCTAATGCTTCCAACTGACACCGCCCTTCTGTCTGACCCTGTCTTCCGCCCTCTTGTTGAAAAATATGCTGCGGTGCGTGTTTTCTTGAGTTCAAAAAGTTTGCATCTGTGTACTTAAACATTACATTGCTGCATTTCCTGATTGTTAAAATTAACTTTCAGGATGAAGATGCCTTCTTTGCTGATTACGCTGCAGCTCACCAGAGGCTTTCTGAGCTTGGGTATTCTTTATATTCTAATTATGTTGTTTGTGATTAGTTCTAGTTCTACTTCCCCTTGAAATTTATTCAACACTGAATTGGCCTTAATTTCGATTACATGCTTTATTTTGTAGGTTTGCTGAGGCCTAAGCTGCGAGACTACAAGGATGATGTCAATGCCTGCATGCCATGCTTTTGTTTTTTGGATTGCCTCTTAGCTTTGGGGTTTCAGGCTGTCGGTATTTTTTTTTTCTATTGGGTTAGGGAAGTTGCGACTTCTGCTTCAGTTTGGAGAATTAATATGTTAAGTTGGATATAATGATGTGGTAATCATCCTTTAGATTAAATAATACTGGTATTTTTCTCAGCCTCAGTTTGGTCTCGCTGATTGTTCATCTTTTGTGCCCTTGTTCGAAAATGTGGCAATATGGTCATTAATATATGAGCTATTAGCCCATGTTTGGTGAGTAGGATTGGATTCAATTATGAGATAGAATTGTATTGCACTGAAATATGCTATTAATGGTCTAAGAAGATTAGACACAATCCAATTCAACTTAATCCCAACATTATGATGACCTAATATGATTAGACATAATTGAAATCACAATGTCTTTCCGTCATGCATTTTACTAGGATTATAAATCCTATCCAGTCATATAATGCAGTTTACCAAAAGATTTGCTGGGATGCGTGTTTTATGTTTACTCTGGACGAGTTCTGGTATAGTTGATTTGTGCGACTTCGCTTCCGATTTTATTTGCGGGTCAACAACTAAAAGCAGCATGTTGGAGCGGCCGATGTTTGACGACTTGATAGCCCAAGCGCATTCTCATTGCCCGGTTTAGTTTTTGGTTGTTTGGTGTTGACTAGTACTTGGGTTGGGCTTTGTGCCATATCTCTGTTCCAAACCAACTCTTAATTGGTGATGCAAAATGGGTGTGTGTGATCGCAGAAGTATAAGGAATTTTGGGGGTACCCAATTAGGGATGGCAACGGGCTGGTTAGGGGCCGGGTATGGCAATACTATCTCCGTTCCCGCTCACCATCTCCGTCCCTGTCCCAATCCCCGGTTTAGGCTTTTCGAGGAATCCCCGCCCCTGTCCCTATCGGGGAAGTGCCTCCCATACCCGCCTCAATCCCCAGTTTTTAATAAGATATTTCTTGTTAAAATAATTTTTTAAAGCACAATCACATCATTGTGAAATTTTAAAAACAACCCCCACAAGATATTTCTTGTTAAAATAATAACTCAACAAGTCAAAGAAGGAGGACACAAAACTTGAAATAATTTCTATCCAAATCTTTAGAAACTTTTTCAGTAAGCACAATAAATCCATCTAGTCTCTAGAGTAACTTTGTTTATTATATTATATTAATATATATATATTGATTATAAATAAATATATTACTTATCGGGCTGGGTTCGGGATGGGGATAACAATCCCATCCCCGATCGGGGATTTTGCAAATTCGGGGATCCCTATACCCGGTCCCGATTTCTCCCCAAAAACTCTCCCCGTTAGGGCCGGGGACCCAACCCGACAGGTATTGTTGCCATCCCTATACCAAATTCTTGTTTTATGCGTGTGTTTAGGTTAGGTAATTAATAAGCTAGCTCAATGTGGGTGAAGTTAGTGGAATGAAAAGTCTACATACTCCTGTGTTTACTTCACATGGAGGAATGAAAATTCCATATAAAATCATGAATTCAACTCCTAATTTTGGAAGACTCTTGGGTGGGATGTGATATTCTATTTTCTGGAGAACTAAGCCGTCTTTTGTACTCATTATATCCTTATACAAATTTTAAAATTCCAAATTTGTCATATACTTTAACCCAACAACAAGGGCAGTTTAGTAATCAAACTGATTTCGATTCTGATTCACAGTAATTTAGTAAACAACTTATAATGAAACAATACCACACATACCTCGATTCTATGTGATTTAATAAACAACTTCAATAGAAATTAGGATTCTAACTATTCTCAATCCAACTCCTCCTTAATTCAATTCCTTCTCACTTGATTGCGGATTAGTAAACATGTCATCTATTTGTACCATGACTAACTGAGCAACTAGCTAAACAATATCAGCCACGTGTTGTGCTTTGAGAGGTCGTCACCTTAGCCAAAGAAATCTTGCCACAAGTCACGACTAGGGGCATTGTTAAGAGTCCCACATTAGAAGACTATAAGAGGTGGAGACTCTCATTTACCTAGAGAAGAAAACCACTCTCTACTTAGAAAAGGGTATTGACCCTTGGGCCTTGAACTTTTGGGCTTTGGACCTTAGGCCTTGGGCCTTCTTCCTTCTTCCCTTTATCTTTGGGTCTAGCCCCTTGTACAAATGTAAAACAACATTATTATATTGAGAACATCATTCTCTGTGGACGTAACCCATCATTCGGGTAAACCATGTATACCTTGTTTTCTGCATACTTATTTACTTACTTTACTTATGATGAACGTCACTAGCTGCCGAAGGCAATAACTTGCCGACGGCCTTCACTAGTCATTAACCTGCTGAAGGTCCTCACCTTCCACTTAACCTACCAAAGGCAGTCTCGTGCCTTGGCTCCTGAAGGCACATACACATGTTGAAGGCCCTTGCCTTCACACATCATTTACCACTTCATATCTATCTAAGTTGATATCAATTTTGGATGTCAACGTCATCAAATATGATATTTTATGACTCATATTGATCTTCCCTTTATTTTCTGGCTACAAAATGTTCCTTTATAATTTTGAATTATCAATGTCCACGTATGTGTGCAGGCCACTCACGGTAGTTGATCAATGTAGAACTCATTTTCAACTATCAATGTCCATGTATGTGTGTAAGCCACTCAAGGTAGTTGATTAATGTAAAACTCGTGGTAGGATCCATTTCAGAAAAATAGCCCATCCACTTTTGCGTAGTGTCAACGGTCAACTTTCCCCATCATCCACGCTGGGTTTGCTTTTTGACTTTTCTGAGACCAGATGTGCTCACGTAAAATTCATAATCTAGTCTTAAAACCTATTTCCCATCTTCATTTTCATGTGAAATGGAGAATGCTACACGTGTTTGAAAATTTATTTATTTGGTCAAACACATGTTTGTAATTTGGATAAATGTAAAACAGATCAACACCCTTTACCCACAACACGATTCTATATATTGCGTTTAAGGACGAGAAATTTCCTTCCCATTCTAAATGATTATTGTGTGTGACGATAATATCATCTGACATGTCGATATGGTGTTACAAATGAATTACAAATTTCATTCCCACTCTAGGTGATTATTGTTTTTTGAATTAAGCACAAATGAAGTAGACCATTTATAATTCTAAAGCGGATTTGCAACCATCACATTGCATTCTTATTATATATCTTATTGTATTTTAGTACACATCATTAGGGTTTAAACCAGATAGATAATATAAAAGAAGCCTCTTTACTTTGACCAAATCTGTTTGCCTACAGGTAAAAGGAAACACATTGGTTTGTGACCAGTGTGACATGGGAATATGGATAGGTAATTTCCTAATGGTCTTTCTTTTGTAGCTTTTGTGTCAAACCCATTTTGCCAAAAAGTTTTCCAAACCAAACCCAGCAGTCAGTCTTTTATATAAATTCCAGGACCTCTTGGCTGAAAAACGTGTGTTCTTATAATATAGCAAAGCGGGGAAGCATGACGATGAGACACGCAATTAAAATAACACCAATAATGGAGCACTCCTCCTCATCTTTCGAATCTTGTCCTTGTTACAGGTGGGCTCATTACAATATAACTCTTATCCTGTGTCCTTTCATAATAAAAACGACAAGTGCTTTGTTTATCCTTCCATTAATTTTACACATTTACAATTCAACAATATTTAGGTCTTGACTTGGCCATGACATTCTCATCTCATCCTTGAAATTTCATGTCGTGCAATTTATTTTGATCAAATTTCTCAAACATCTATCATTTTCTTATATTTGTTAGTCTAACAATCAAACATCATTTATTTAAATTAACGTTGCAAAAACAGTTGATGAGTAATGTTGTCTTAAATAGTAGTATACAAATAGATATAAGAAACAATGACACGCATAATAATGTCATCTCTATTTCACGTAAGTGTTTCTCGTGATAAGGATGAGATGGTTCTTATTAGTCAGGACTCAACTATTGTCAATTTAACATACTTCACTCACCACTTGCTGTTAATCTAGTGATATTTTAATTTTCATTGTTAAAAGAGATCATAAGTTTGAATCACACCACCGCTATTGATAAAACAATTTACTGACACAATGAGCATTATTAGCATGATGTTTTTTCCCTTATTTGAGGAGACCTTGAGTTCAAATATCATACATGATAGTTATTAATTAAAAGTTGAGCATGCCGTATTAGTTTGATATTTACTACAAATAGAAGTTAGGACTAGAATAAGTGAAAGATTTGCTTCCTTCTAATGTTACCGATAATTCATACCATCATCCGTTTACATATATGTACAAAATCTCGTTAAAAAAGTATGAACATAAGACCATATTTCAAACTCTTAATCCCAGACCATTAGACAACCTTATTTTTTTGGAAGTTTAGATCCTATTTCTTGTTTTCTAGGTATTTTCACTTGTGAAAGCACAAAATCACGTTCAAAACATAGTCAACGGTCCACAGCAATCCACGGAGGAAGTGCTTCAGCACATCTCACTGCCACTGCTCACACGCAATCACTGTCCCATAAAATACTAAAAAAAAATTCCATAGCAGTCACACAAGAAAATAAAAAAAGCAGAATAATGGCCGTTGAAAACTTTGAACGAATCGTAGCCGTTCATCAGAGGCGGCTGCAATCCTGGTCCTCTGATCCTCTCCCAAACGCGTCCTCGCAATTTCTCACTGGCGCGCTTTCCCAACACCAACGCCCAGCGCCCTTCTTCCTCCTCCTCTCAGCTTTTAAAAGCGCTCGTCTTATTCTTTCCTTCTTCGTCAACACCAACAGCAACACCACAACACAAACAGTACCAACTTGTTGAGAGAGAAGCTGAAGACTATTAGAGAGAGAAAGTCAGGTCACGGACTCGCACAGTGTATTGACATGGCCGACGTCCCTCCCAGCAGTGGCGATTTCCCGGCGGTTCCGTCGCACGGCGGCCAGTACATTCAGTACAACATCTTCGGCAACCTCTTCGAGATCACCAACAAGTACCGGCCTCCGATCATGCCGATCGGTCGCGGCGCGTATGGCATCGTTTGGTACGTCGTTTTTCTCAGAATCGATTCTTTCTTTTCTCCTTCTTCCTTATTTTGAGTTTTGGTTTTTGATTATTGGAGTGTTGTTTGGGATTTTGTAGCTCGGTTTTGAACTCGGAAACGAAGGAGATGGTGGCGATGAAGAAAATCGCAAACGCCTTTGACAATCACATGGACGCCAAGCGCACGCTCCGTGAGATTAAGCTGCTTCGTCATTTGGATCATGAAAATGTGAGATTAAGTGCTTGTATTAATTACCAGTTGTTTCAATTCAGTTCTAATTCCTTGTATTTATGACAAAGTTGACTTGTTTATATTCTTACTATTTATGGACTCAGAAAGGGGGTATTACTATATTTACTTAATTGGCTGAAGTAGAAGCTTTGGGGAAAGATTAAAGAATTTTATAAGAGTTTACTGTTAGAGATGGAAAGTTGAAGGGTTTGCTAAAAGTAGAATTTGATGATTGTCAAACAGGTCGTAGCTATCAGGGATGTGATTCCTCCACCTTTGAGGAGAGAATTTTCGGACGTATACATTGCCACGGAACTCATGGATACTGACCTCCATCAAATTATTCGCTCGAATCAAGGTTTATCCGAGGAGCATTGTCAGGTACTTTATAGTCTTTGCCTTTTAATTTTCTACAGCCAAGCTCCATTGGTTGGTAGTTTTTGTAAATAAATGGTTTTCATCATTTGAGGACTGATTGGCGTATGTTGGTATGCTTTGCAGTACTTTTTGTATCAGATTCTTCGAGGACTGAAATATATACATTCAGCAAATGTTATTCATAGAGACATGAAGCCCAGCAACCTCTTGTTGAATGCCAATTGCGATCTTAAGATATGTGATTTTGGCCTCGCTCGTCCCACTGCAGAGAATGAGTTATTGACAGAGTATGTTGTTACCAGATGGTACAGGGCACCTGAGCTTCTGTTGAACTCTTCAGATTACACTGCTGCAATAGATGTGTGGTCAGTAGGCTGCATCTTTATGGAGCTTATGAATAGGAAGCCTTTGTTTCCAGGCAAAGATCATGTGCATCAGATGCGCCTATTGACAGAGGTAAGATGACCTGACTTTGACTTTGGTATTTAAGAATAACACTGTAGAAGAAATGAAATTTCACTTGAAATACTTATTCTACATCTGGGATATGGTTTTCTGCTTTAATTAAAGTGGCTGCTGCATTGAATTTAGCTAAGTATCTATGGTAGTTACAGTTTTACCATTCTGTTTTCCTCCTGTCACTTGAATACTTACACATGTTTTTTATTTTTTGTTACAGCTTCTTGGGACACCAACCGAGTCTGATCTTGGGTTTGTACGGAATGAGGATGCTAGAAGATATATAAGGCAGCTCCCCCCGCATCCTCGTCAGCCATTGGCGAGGCTTTTCCCACATGTTAATCCGCTGGCCATTGATCTCATTGATAGAATGTTGACATTTGATCCTACTAGAAGGATAACTGGTAATTTTCTACTCCCATGCCATTCTTCTTTTGGTGCTGTTTTTACCGGCCATATGCATAGAATGTTGACTCATTGAGGTCCCAATTATGAATTTTAATTGTGTAACTTGTGCTTTCACAGTCGAAGAAGCATTGGCTCATCCTTACCTGGAAAGACTACATGATGTAGCTGATGAACCAATCTGCAATGAGCCTTTCTCCTTTGATTTCGAGCAACAACCCTTGGGAGAAGAGCAAATGAAAGATATGATTTACAGAGAGGCTATAGCACTGAACCCAGAGTATGCTTGATTTGAAAAGCAGCATTAGTACTCGGTTTCTATATCTATGAAGTAGAAAGATTTGCATTTTCAGAGCTCTTTGATAAGAAGGTTAGGAAAGGTTATTGTTACCAAAATATTGCAATCATCTACATCATTACTTAGGTGGGTTTGCTGATTTTTTCCATGATGACCGCCCATCAATTTTACTAGACCTCTATATTAATTTTTGAGGTCAGTTCCTCCTTTTTCTTTTTCGGTGATCGAACTTGTATTCTATTTATCTTGTTTGTATCTTGATTTTTTTGTTTTTTGTTTTTATTGGCTGTACCGAACTTGTACCGTGTATAGCAAGATTGTATTGAGGAACCTAACCGAGATTCAATAAAATATCTTTATTCACTCCTTGTGAGACTAATTTGGGATCTTCATTCACAAGCTGTGAAGCTGATGTTCTTATTTCATCTGCCTTTTGTTTGATGGACCAATTTATGCGTGACTTGATTCTCAGGTGAAGATTATTTAGGATCACAAATTTTCCATCATGTTCTTAATCCCCGTATCCGTTTTGGCAGATTGGGAGTGGATCAATGAGTTCTATATAAGATATTTTTAAGATGTTTTTCTTTGATGTAAGATACTCTTTGGTATTAATATAATACGGTTGAGCAATGAGTAAATTAAAACTCGTTTCACATCGGAGTCCTCCTCGCCGGCTTATTTGCTTGTTTTGTCACTGTAATTCCATTTCCAGCATTTAAGTTCTAACTGCAATGCTGTCGGCCAAGATCCGAATTTCATATGAGAAGATTAAGATTCAACATCTACCTTTCTTCTAACGTGTGGTAATTGGTACCCCGTGCTCAATCTGAAAGGAATTTGAGGATGAAAATATTGGCAGTGCAAATAGTATCGGTACTCCAATTTACGAATATTTTGGGAGACATTGATATTATTTTTGGTATCGGTGTACATCAACGTTGTTGGTTTTATTTGGATTAGAATGTCAATTAAGTTTTATTTTGGTTTATATTTGACTTAATTAGAGATATGTTTTGGTTTGAATTTGCATCTTGTTCCTTGTAATAACCTTCAAAAATCATGAAATTGTCAACTATCAGAGTATGAGGGGAGAAATAAGCTTACCCCCTAGTGTATCAGCCGATATTTTCGTCCTTAAAAGCAATTACACGAACTTGCTTACTTGAGTTAAACCACTTGCTCCAAGTTTCCTTCAAATAGGTCTTCTCAAGAGTTGCCTTCGTTTTTGGAAACTAATCTAGTTGAAAGTTTAGGCATCTACAGGACTAAAATTAGTGCAGGTGGATTTATCTACAGGGTTTTGGCCCTGTGACAGTTACCACCATTTGAAATTTGGAAGTTGCTGTCATTGCCATTAAGTCTGGCAGCTGGGTCCTCCGATGATGACAGAAGGGAAAGCTAGACCACAATTAGTGTGGCACCTACAGGACTGCACCAACTTTTTTACATTATTTAATAGGGCCGGCAGCTTATGAACATGCATTTTCAGTTAGGACAGGAGGCTGCCACAGAGTTGCAGCAGTTGGGTTGTAACATGGATGCATCACTCTCTGTTGATAGAGATGCAGAAATGCTTGATTCCGGTGGTAACCACGGTGGTTGGATCATCTTTTTATTCATCATAGGTGTCTCACTCTCTCTCTCTCTCTCTCTCTCTCTCTCTCTCTCATGGACATGACTATATATATGTTCATCACTTCTGTATGTTTGCAAAAATCTGTTTCTTAGAAAAACGTGTGTTTTTTTCATTTGGACCAGGAACTTTTATGTGCTTGACACTTGCTGCTGGAGGATGGCAATCAAATTTGATTGTGTATCTGATTCAGGAATTTAACGTGAAGAGCATTGATGCTGCTCAGGTTTCAAATGTAGTCAATGGTTGCACTTGTTTATTTCCAATCATTGGAGCAATTATTGCAGACTCTTTTTCCGGCTGCTTCCCTGTCATCTTGATCTCTTCTTGTATCTCTTTTCTGGTAACAGCCTCACTCTGTCTCTACTCTTGCGCGAGCACACACACACACCTTGAGTTTCATTTTTAAATTGATTACCCTTGCAGGGACTGGTCCTATTAGTTTTGACTGCAACTCTAGACTCCTTGAGGCCTCCGTCATGTGATGACAGATTGAGCTTGTGTGAAACACCATCAGAATCTCAGTTTGCAGTTCTCTATGCCAGTATAGCTCTGGCATCAATTGGACTCGGAGGCACTCGCTTTACTCTAGCAACAATGGGTGCAAACCAATTTGATAAACCAGAAGAGCAAGGGATTTTCTTTAACTGGTTTTTCTTTGCAATGTATACAGCTTCTGTTATAAGTTTTACAGCCATTGTATATATTGAGGACAATGTCAGTTGGGGCTTGGGATATGGCCTATGTGCTCTTGTAAATTTGATTGGTTTACTCATTTTCTTATCGGGAAGCAATTTCTATCGTCGGGATAAGCCACAAGGCAGCCCATTTGTGAATATAGTTCGTGTTCTTGTTGCAAGCATCCGGAAAAGGAATGTTCTGCTCTCATCCAGAAGCGAGGATTATCACCACCACAATGATGGAGAGGCAAAGATGGTTCCTGAGACACATAAAAAGAGCTTGAGGTGCGACTTTGATTTTATAAAAAGCATCCTATTTTCCTCTTTATAAACATATTCACATCAACCTTCCTATTTCTTATGAAAAATGGAACAGTCGGTACTTTTTTGTTCTTTTGATGTAGGAGCAAATCATTATAGAACAAAGCGGAAGAAAAAGTACTTTACAGTTTATACTCGGTTTTATTTTCGTTATCTTTTGGATGGAGGAAAATAGTATAGTGCACTGGAGATGATGGTAGCTTTTCTGTCTGATGGAAAAGAAAATAAAGTTGAAGATAGATGATCTTGAAGCTTAAACAACTTTTAATTTGCTTCTTTTGACTAAATGACACAATTTTACGTATAAGATACATTTATCTTCTATTGCTTGGTTAGTTGGCCACTTTGGGATGTTTGATACACCTTTGGTGAACAGCTGCAGTGTTCACTTTGTGCTGAGTCAAAGAGGAAGGAAACGTTTTCTCCATGTCATATTCTATCCATTATTATCATCACAATGACGTCATGACCACATCATGGTAATGTCATAACAGCCTTGTTATTCGGCATGCACCACACCGGCCTGCTGGGCGGTGGCCTGGCCTAGGCCTAGGCTTAGGCCGGGGCGAGACTAATTAATTAGGCTGAGGAAAGGATATTAGAAACTTTGTTGAGTTTGGGAGCTCAGATAGTGCTTTTCCTCTAAACCCTTGACAGTCATTTTTATTGTTGCAGCTTCATAAAAAGAAAAAGAAATGACAATTTCACTTTGCTCTCTTGTTGCAGCTTTCTAAATGGTGCAGCCCTGAAAACTGAAGGCGACTTGAAACCTGATGGCTCAATTGCAAAGCCATGGAGCCTGTGCACATTCCAACAAGTAGAAGATCTCAAAACTGTCATTAGAATTTTCCCTTTGTGGTCATCCAGTATATTTATAAGCACCCCAATAGCAATCCAAGGCAGCTTAACAACCCTCCAAGCTCTAACCATGGACCGTCGCATCGTGTCACATTTCAAAATCCCAGTTGGATCTTTGCCAGTCTTGGTTCAATTATCTACTTGCATCTCTCTCCCAATAATTGATCGCTTCCTATATCCCGTATGGAAAAAACTGACCAGTCAATCTCCAACTCCCCTCCAAAGACTAGGAATAGGCCATGTCCTAAATATCATAAGCATGGTTGTTTCAGCATTAGTGGAGTCAAGGCGTCTCAAAACAGCCCACAGCTCCACGCTGCCAATGTTGGTTATGTGGTTATTCCCACAGCTGGCCTTGGTTGGCATTGGTGAAGCCTTCCATTTTCCGGGGCAACTTCAGTTGTGCTATCAAGAATTTCCAGCGTCGCTTCGAGGCACGGCGACTGCAATGGTTGCAATGACAATAGGCATTGCTTTCTATATGGGCACGGCTCTGATTGGTCTTGTTCGGAGGGTTACAGGGTGGTTGCCGGATGATTTAAACCAAGGGAGGCTTGACAATGTGTACTGGATGGTAGTTGTGATTGGTGTGCTGAATTTCGGTTATTACTTGTCATGTGCCAAGTTGTACAAGCATCAGAATGTTAGTGAGGGAGAGTAGAAGGTAGTTCAGGCTCTGATGGTTGATGCTTATGTTTGCTAATTAAGAATTAAGATCGAGCAAGTGTCTTGGAGTCTACTACTAGAGAGGAATTATGAGTAAACAGTATCTTTTGATTTTCTAGGCAGACAATAACTACTCGTTAATCTATATAAAGAATGTCAAAAGATGAATTTGGATGTTGGAGTGAATGCTTAAAACTACTTTAAACTCTCCTAAGTTTTCCATTAGTTAGACCTACATCCTCTATTGCTTTTGTTTTTACTTGAATGTTAATTGAAGCATTTTATTACAAATTTACGAGTTATTTATTTTTTTGGTTGTTGCTAAAGTTAGGATGGGTGATGGGGTTTTCTAATACACACTTCCAAAGTAATGGGGACTCGAACTTTAAACCACTCATCTACAAATCAAAGCACATAATATAACGATATAGGCAAATAACAGTAAAATATTCTTTTTTTTAATATATAGAACGATAAAATATTCAAAATATCACAAAATCCCCTTAATTAATTAAATTTTAATAAACAAAACTATTCATTAAATAAAGATAATTAGTAAATTAATAATTTTTCATATTAAAAATTTTTAATAAAAAAAAGAGAAGAAAAAACAAAGGAAAAAATGGTCCCAAGAAAAAGAAGAGAAACAACGTTAAATCCTGGTTCAAATTAGAGCACTTCCACCTCAATGGGGGAGGGCAGGCAATAGGGGGCCTCAAGCCCAAAAATCCCCCCGGTGCGCAAGGTCCAACCAGGGCAAAGGGTGGGACCTACCAACTCGGGCAACCCCACTGGAAAGAATTGGTTGGGCTGTGGCCAGAAGGCTGCTGACGTCAATTGAAATCTTTTTTTTTTTTTTTTTTTTTTTTTTTTTTTTTTTTTTTTAAAAAAACTGTTGGCGAGTGAATTTCACGGAGCAAAATGATGGAATGGAGTTGAGCATATCAGATTTTGAGTTGTCTATGGTTACTATACTAGGTTGAGCATATATGTCTTCATTGGAGCAAAATGATGGAATAGAGTTGGTACTCTTTTTGATATGCCTCAAATTGTAGAAAAACTTGTATGAAATGGAGATTGCACTGTTTTGTTATTCCTGACCAATCAAAGGCTATCATGTGAAAAAGTTATCATGCATGACATACCGTGATTTGTCGGAAATAGCAAAATAGTGCTATACCCGTTTCATGTAAGTGTTTCCCCTCAAGTTGGACAACTTTGCTGGATTATGCTTCACATGCAGCTCACTATAGCAGTACTCTATGTCTCAAGCTTTGGATTGGTGCTCCAAACAAAACAAAAATGCACTCCACTCTGCTTCAACTACAGCAAAATTCAACGCTTTTTCTGCTTCTTTGGTTTAAACATTATTGTTCCAATCTCATGGTTGGATTCTCCACCCATGATCTTGCCAGGGGATGTTAGATTGTGTAGAACTAGGGTTGTGACAAGTGTCACCTATTGACTGATGCTTTAGAATTAGTTACTAAGCTGTTATAATCAGTTAGAGCCTTATAAAACTTAACTCTCTGTAATTGTGCAGTTATCTGAGAAACAAAATAGAAAAGTTCATCTTCTTCTTAATTCTTCTCTCTCTATTTCTCTTTCATTAACATATTCTAACCATAACTACTGGCCATAATGATTAATATAAAAGTACACATCAAGAAATGTGTCATCTAATTAGCTAATGTGATTGAAAATGTGAGTCCTTTAACATTACACAGTCAATTTGAATAAAACAATATGTACTATAACTACCTCTCTTATAAAGTTAGGACCCATTATATTTGATTTGGGATTCTAGCAACATACAACATCTCAGCTACAATAACTATCAATCAAAAGTGAATACAAAACTTGAATCTTTGAACATAGTAATTCTCCAATTGTTGAAATCGGAGAGATAGAGGATAAATAGCAGACATACTCAACCAAAAGAACATCCACATGACCCAAATAGCAGAAATGCAACTAACAATCTGAAATCCACCACATATCATAGTTGAGGAAATAAAACCTCCATAGCCAAACATGGAATTGAAGTCAACAAGTCAAATCAATCTGAACAGCCACACTTTGAGTATTAATCTTACAGAAAACAGAAACAAATCCCAATTGATGGATCTTTAAATTCTCAAATCAATGGAGAAGTACGCGAAACAGCCACAATTCTACATACTTCCGCAAGAATTATTGTATGAGCCCATCATGTGACTTTGATATGCAACATATATGTGAGCTTTACTATAGTCGTAGCACAAACATGTGTTTTAAAAGGTAAATTATAAATGTATAAAAAGGGAAGTCGTGTATGACACAAAAATTCTTTAAACTCTAATATCATGTCATGTGGTTAGTTAACATCGTGATTAAATGTGGTAATTCTAGCATTATTCTTTTTTGATGTAAAAAAATGCATTATTGCTTATAAATGCCTAGCTCACTAGTGACTTAAAAGACATAATTATGCATCACATGGACCCCCCTAAATAGTCAAAACTACACATGTATATATGATCATATTGCAATCTTAACATCTCTTGGCTTGGCTTGGCTTGCAGGGCATTGTTCTATTAGCGTTGACCGAGACATTTAACTCGTTGAAGCCTCAACCTTGTGTGAAGGAACCAGAGCTATGCCAACCCACCTCCAAGCTACAGCATGCAACCTTGTACACAGCTATAGCCCTAGCAACAATTGGGGTGGGAGGCACAAGATACACCATGGCAACAATGGGAGCAAATCAGTTTGAAAACCCTAAGAACCAAGCCACTTACTTCAACTGGTTCTTCTTCACCCTCTACGCAGCTACAGTGGTCAGCATCACAGCCATCGTCTATGTTGAGGACAATGTGAGTTGGAGATTAGGGTTTGGCCTGTGCGCCATTGCCAACCTAATTGGACTGGTCATTTACTTGTGTGGGGCCCGTTTCTATCGTTTTGATAAACCACAAGGGAGCCCATTTGTGGGTTTGGCTCGCGTGGTTGTTGCTTCAGCTCGGAAAAGGAATCTCCAGCACTCGTCTGGCTGAAGAAAGGATTATTACTATGGGCATGGTGGAGTGACAGATGACTTGGTGGGTTCTGCAACACCTAGCTCCAGCTTCAGGTACAAGCATTACTTTAAATTTCTAATGTCTTATTAGCTAACTTAAGATTTTAGGGTTAGTATAACATAGCATCAACCACGCTTTGATTTATCCTTTCTCTCATATGCCTTATCGTTATTGACCAATTTCGTAACAGTTTAAGATCCAATGATCGTCTAACATCTAAGCCATTTAGATTTCCTCTTGAGAAGATGTTGATGTTTTTTTGTTCACTAAGCCATTTAGGTAGAATAATGCATCTAAGTTAATAATGTACCTAATGAAGGACAAAAATTAAAATCTAATCTATGATCAGAGTTTAATAATAAGTCATCTTGTCAGGGTTTAAAAACAGGTCGCCAATTAATGGTTGACATGATAGAGCAGGGAGTGGTCTTGGTGATCACCAATGTAAATTGATTCGTCAGGACAGGAGGAGGAGCTAGCACTAGAGATATTAGATATGGTGCAGTCAAAATGGTTGTGTGTTCATCATGGCGCACAATTGTGTAGAGAGATTTCATGTAAAGCAAATGCACTTAATTATTTGTGAGAGAAAAACAAAATGCACCAAATGCTTTAACTATAATGCTTTACGAAGTCTCATTATTTGGGTAGACTTTGTTGCCTAGTTGTCATCTCTTGGGGGCATATGATCCCTACTCCCTACTCATCTCTCGAAAGAAAATGATTTTTCTAGCTTTTAATCTAGTGGTATTTCTCTTTCTAATATTGGAGGAGGTCCAAATTTGAATCCCCAACCAAAGTCTCATTTTCTCCACTTCGGCCTTATTTTTGTGCCAAAAAGATAAAAACCTTCATAAAAGATCATTTCCTTGCCTTTTTTGTTTTGTTTTGTTTTTCTTTCTGCCCTTTTGTTATACTACAATTTTCGCTTTCCCTACAAGCTTCTAATATGCTTGAAAAGCCTTTGGACAGCCAAATATATATAAGGCTAATGATACATGCCTTCTTAATTACTGGATGTAAAATTACGCATTAGCCTTTGTACAGCTAAATATATATAAGGATAAGGATAATGATATATAAGGCACACCTAAGGCTAAATATATATAAAGTTGTCGCTTTCGTTGCGTGATTGTAAAATTACATCCTATTTTTGAGGCATTGGCCTTATGTAAATTAGGTAAAATTATATTCTTATTTTACATATTAGTAATTTGTGCCAGACATTATAGAGCCCGAAAAGAGGCATTTGTGCTTGTATTGTGATAAGCTATAACTCAGCAACTTTATCAGTTGATTAAACATATATGTGCAGGCACAACTATAAAATCGTGCTCAATACTAAGTATTTTAATATTTTATTTATAAAAAAAATTTGAAACCCAAGCGCTCGCGCCTTGGGCTGGATTCCACCCATTCAGAAGTTACACCCAAATGCAAATATGAAACAAATTACGAATAAATCAACATAAAATCGAATTACAAATTGAAAAAACTAGCATATTAGGTGCTCCTAATAGCTTACTAATGCAATGACCCAATTGTTTACAAGAACAAACACTTAATCTATGAAATGCAGCAAACAAAAAAACTCAGCAAACGGCAACAATCGCCACAGATTCAAGAAGAAGACAGCAACACCAAGAGAAACTGCATTAAAAACCATCCAAGTATGAAAAAAATATACAGAACCATCCAAGTATGAGTTGGCTTTGGCATCTAGCAAGGCGATGAACTAGTGACGAAGACAACTGAGACAGAAGCAAAGAGGTGGGATCTGATGGAGGTAGAGCTTCATCAGATCTGAAAGGACCTCCACAAAATCAGAATCGATCAAAGGAAATCCACTACAGATCTAACAAAAACTCAAAGTCTATGCCAAGAAAGACCTCCAAAAGTAGAAGCTTCCATTTTTTTTTTTTCCGATGAAGGATGCAGAGGTAGGAATCTTGGGAAAAAAATAAAACAGACTTATTTTTTAAACTTTGCCATCAAAATAAAAAATAAAAGTCTTGTTTTTTTTTTTCTTTTTAACTTAGAAAAGTACACTACATATAAATTATTGGGCACAAATATAGTTTTCGTGCGTGTAGTATTGTCACGTGTCAGATAAAGACACAACTACTTGTCTCTATATAAGAACATGTTAGATTGTACTTATTACCTACATTAAATTGCTGTCTGGCATTATTTTTTGTGTCCTTAAAAAAATGTGCTCTATGTAAATCGATTTAACACAATTATTTGTGTTTTATATGAAAACATCACAAATAAAATTTGTTTGTGCGGTAAGTTAGAGGGGAGGGCACAGTACATGTATTCGTGCTCTTAAGTGGGTGGTCTTTGACCAATTTTGTAGCAAAAGTTAACCGGTGATTTGACCCTTAAATTTGTATATAATTTTCGTTTTATCCTATATTCTTTTTATAAAAAAAATTAAGCATATGAACTTTTTTTTCATCAATTTCCCTCCTGCCATCTAAATCCACAACATTTCATCTAATTTGCCATTAAATATGAGTCCAAATTGGTCATTTTGTATGTTAAAAATAGGGGGTTTCACTAAAACACCCAAAATGGAGGTTGAAATTATAAAAAAACCCAACACCCAAAACACTTTATAAACACACCCAAAACCCATCATTACACACACTCAAAATCCATTTATAAACACACCCAAAAAGTTGACTTTGGGGTTAATTTTGGGTGTGTTTCTATGTTTAAATAGTGTTTGGGTTTTTTTATAAATACATGTCTAGGATTGGGTTTATTTATAAATTTGTATTAAAAATAAGGGTAAACTACCGAAATGCCCCAAGAACTTGTACGTAATTATCAATTTATCCCCTAACCTTTTTTTTAGCAAATTAAGTGGTCGAATTAAATTTTATTCTCAATTCTCCCCTTATCGTCTGAATCTCAACATTTCATCCAATTTGTCGTTAAATGAGGGCAAATTGGACATTTTAAATATTGAAATAATATATATATATAATTATTTTAATAAATAAAGGGGCCCACCCACTTCATCTTTTTCCCTTTTGTTGTAATTAAACCAAAAAAAATAAAAAATACAGATTACAAAGGGGAGGAGGGGGCTCGAATGGGAAAGGGAGAAAGAGAAGGGGAAGAGAGAGAGAGAGGAAGAGATGGAGAAAAGGGAGGGTGGCTTGCGGTGGTGGTCATGGGGGAATGATGGAGAAGAAAATGGGTGGTTGCGGCGGTTATGGGTTCGTGTGGGGAGGGGGGGGTGTTTGTCTGTGGGTTCTGGGTTCGTTGGGGGGTGGGTCTGTGAAGGGGAATGGGGAGGAGCTCGAATGAGGGGGAGAGAGAGAGAGAGAGAGACCACGCACAAGATTGTTGTGTTCAAATTCGTGGTTTTCAGAAACCAATTAGTTTTTTTTGTTTGTTTTAATTTGGAATAATTCTGTGGTTGTGAATTTGGGGTTAGGATATTGATTTGAAAGGTTGGGGTTGTGTGGATGATTTCTGTGGGGACTAGGGATGCGAGGAAGGGTGGCTTGTGGTGGTGGTCATAGGGGAATGGGGGAGAAGAAAACGGTGGTTCATGGGGGGTGGGTCTGTGGGTTATTTGAGGGGTGGTAGTCATGGGGGAATCGGGTTAGGATGGGAAGGGGTGAATGGTCTGGGGGTAAAAAAAATTGAAGGAAGGGAGGTGGGGGGATTGGTGGTCCTAGAAGGATAGGCGTCTGCATTGCACGGGAGAGAAATGATGAAGAATATGCCAAGGAGTTATACTCACTGGTCACTGTTACAGAGGTCCCTCCAGAGGGATTTACTAGTTTGGGCACCAAGGTGATCGACGAAGAAGACTGGACTGAACTAGTTTAAAGCGCTCGCGCCTTGGGCTGGATTCCACCCATTCAGAAGTTACACCCAAATGCAAATATGAAACAAATTACGAATAAATCAACATAAATCGAATTACAAATTGAAAAAACTAGCATATTAGGTGCTCCTAATAGCTTACTAATGCAATGACCCAATTGTTTACAAGAACAAACACTTAATCTATGAAATGCAGCAAACAAAAAAACTCAGCAAACGGCAACAATCGCCACAGATTCAAGAAGAAGACAGCAACACCAAGAGAAACTGCATTAAAAACCATCCAAGTATGAAAAAAAAATACAGAACCATCCAAGTATGAGTTGGCTTTGGCATCTAGCAAGGCGATGAACTAGTGACGAAGACAACTGAGACAGAAGCAAAGAGGTTGGATCTGATGGAGGTAGAGCTTCATCAGATCTAAAAGGACCTCCACAAAATCAGAATCGATCAAAGGAAATTCACTACAGATCTAACAAAAACTCAAAGTCTATGCGAAGAAAGACCTCCCAAAGTAGAAGCTTCCAATTTTTTTTTTTCCGATGAAGGATGCAGAGGTAGGAATCTTGGGAAAAAAATAAAACAGACTTATTTTTTAAACTTTGCCATCAAAATAAAAAATAAAAGTCTTGTTTTTTTTTTCCTTTTAACTTAGAAAAGTACACTACATATAAATTATTGGGCACAAATATAGTTTTCGTGTGTGTAGTATTGTCACGTGTCAGATAAAGACACAACTACTTGTCTCTATATAAGAACATGTTAGATTGTACTTATTATCTACATTAAATTGATGTCTGGCATTATTTTTTGTGTCCATAAAAAAATGTGCTCTATGTAAATCGATTTAACACAATTATTTGTGTTTTATATGAAAACATCACAAATAAAATTTGTTTGTGCGGTAAGTTAGAGGGGAGGGCACAGTACATGTATTCGTGCTCTTAAGTGGGTGGTCTTTGACCAATTTTGTAGCAAAAGTTAATAGGTGATTGGGCCCTTGAACTTGTATATAATTTTTTATTTATCCTATATCCTTTTTATAAAAAAAAATTAAGGATATGAACTTTTTTTCATCAATTTCCCTCCTGCCATCTAAATCCACAACATTTCATCTAATTTGCCATTAAATTTGAGTGCAAAATGGTCATTTTGTATGTTAAAAATAAGGGTAAACTACTGAAATGCCCCATGAACTTGTACCTAATTATCAATTTATCCCCTGACTTTTTTTTTGCAGTTAAATATGAAGGCAAATTGGTCATTTTAAATGTTGAAATAATATATATATAATTATTTTAATAAATAAAGGGGCCCACCCACTTCATCTTTTTCCCCTTTGTTGTAATTAATAAATAATATACAAATTTATAAATAACCCAATCCTAGACATGTATTTATAAAAAAACCCAAGCACTATTTAAACATAGAAACACACCCAAAATCAACCCCAAGATCAACAATTGTATTTTTTTGGGTGTGTTTATAAATGGGTTTTGAGTGTGTGTAATGATGGGTTTTGGGTGTGTTTATAAAGTGTTTTGGGTGTTGGGTTTTTTTATAATTTCAAGTCCCTTTTTGGGTGTTTTAGTGAAACTCCCTAAATAATACTCTCTCTCTCTCTCTCTCTCTCTCTCTCTCTCTTTGTAGGTGCAGGCTAGGTTCTACGGGTGGGGGACGAGAGCACAGATCTGTTGCCACTGTTGGGGAGGAAGGGAGGGATGGGTCTGGGTCTGGGTCTAGAGGCAGTGGTGGGCCTATTAAGGCCAAAGAAGGTGCAGATGCACTTCCTCTTGCCAAAAAAACCATTTGTAGGTGCTTCAAATTGCCCCTTTACTTAGCTGGTGGTGGTGCACAGTGCACAGATTACCTTATTTTGCCAGAAAAACCATTGTAAGTACATGTCTTTCTCCTTTTACTTTCATTCATTTTTATATTACTCCATTTACTTAAGTTTACAATGTAAATAAGGAAGGACCCCCCATTTGGATTCAAATAATACTACTAGAAAATCAAATTCCCACTGTGGGGGACTTTTTCTTCCTGCAGCTAACGGGCTGGGCTGCTGTAAAAGGGCGGACTGAGGAAACTGTCCCATTTGCCTGGGTTCGAAAATTAAGTCCCAAAATACCTCGAAAGAGCAACAAAATCTTAGGAGATATTTTGGCTATCTTCACCGATCAGAATAATGGTGACTTATAGATGATTTTGGCATGCTTTCAGATAGTCTTTTAGCTCAGCATGAGTGGCATGTAGCATGGGAGCAAAACCAACATAAGTTTAGCACTAAGAGAGAGGTTAGGCTTGGTTTTGTGAGAAAAGAAAGTATTAAGGTAAGGAATGAGGTGTTTTGTGGGGAATTTTGACTGGGGAAAGAAGAAAAAGAAAGGCAGAGTTCTTCTGGCAGCTGCCAGAAAAACAAATTGGAGAATACGATGAACAGTGCACGAGGTAGTTAGATTTTTGCAAATTAGAGATAAAGCTTGCTCCCTGAATTTGAGTTGCCTCTGTCGGGCAGGGGAAGCCTCAATTTATAGCTGCTGGAAATCACCATTCTTCAAGAAACCCTAATGGCCTCCACTTATTTTGGCTAAGCTTCTTCCTCCTCCTCTTTTCTGACTTCCCTTTCTTGGCAAAAATTGCCTCTGTTTATTTGCTCGAATTCAGGAAATTTGGGAGCTCAATGTCCCCCTTTCCTGCAGCTGCGCAGTGAGAGCTTCCCTTCTTAGTTACTGTTTTTTTCTTCTTTCCTTCCCCCTGCCTTGGCTAAATCTAATGAAGGAAAGGAAGTGAAAATATATGCTGGTCCAAGGGGTGCTTTTGACAGGGTGCAGGCCAGCATTCCTTGGTTCTTTGGGCGTCTCTGGCTTGGAACTTGCTCCCAGCAGCTTTGCTTGATGAGTCTGCCTACCTCTTCCTTCACGTGTTTTCTGTTTTTCAAAAGAGCTAAAGCTTTTGTGGGCTATTTTGGGATTTTCTAAGGGCCAAGATGGCTTCCTAAGCAAATGAGCTTTTTGTGAAACATTGGGCCTCTTGATTTGGGCTTTTTTTTTGGTTGGGTTATCTCTTGGTTAGGTTATTTTGCTTGGGCTTTTGGGCTACCTTTCTCTCTTGTGCTTACCCACATGTTTAGGCCTAAGAAATGGGCTTGAGTCTCGAGGCTCCCAAGCAACCCGAGACTTTCCATTTCTCGGCCCATCAATGGGTCTCATGTTGATTTATTACCGTCCATATCACAACCTACTCAAGTAAGCCCCGGATTTTTTTTGAGTGGCTTGGGCCCACTTAGGCTTGTAGCGTGGTTGGGCCTGCGATAATGATTTCGTGCTTGGCATGGCACATTGCTTGGCATGTTTTAATTTATCGTCCTGCGATGCTTATTTTTGCATGGGCCTGTAAACACGATATATTTTATCTCAACCCCGAGCGACTTTATTTATTTAGCGTGGCACGTGCACTGTAATTCGCATGTGGTAGGTTTCGGTGCACTCTGCTTTACGCTTTTTCCTAATGGATCGTCGTTTTGGGCTGATAATTTATTCGGGCCCAACCATGTAATTTTTAGGTCTCAACACCCACCAAATGAAAATATGGAAAATTAGTTTTAGTGCAAAATACGATTTATGCTAAAAATGATGGTACATTAAGTCAATATATACTTCATAATAAAATCTCATAAAATCAAGTTTTCTTATTTGATGTGTAAGGAATAAAAGCCACCAAAAATTATCTTGAGAAAATAATTATTTCAAAAAATTATTTTTCATACTTAGTCAATATTTTTACATAAAACAATTTTCATGTATGATATGAATGCATGAAGGGACCTAAGGTCAATCTAAGTAAAAAGCCTTAGATGTTCAATCCACAAAGAGTTTTTAGTCTTTCAAAATTGCATCTCCGCTAAAAAATTCATGGGTCTGCCAATGTCTGGAGGCAATGGCTAGGGGATGGAATGAGTTTGGGTCTTGGTTGGCAAGGGATGAGGAATGGGTCTCAGCCGGGGATGGTTGTATGGTATCGTTGGGTTTGGGGTGGTATGGGGGCGGATCTCGCATGGGAATGAGGCTGGCGGATGGGTCTCGGTTGGAGAGAGAGAACAAAAAGAATGGGGAGGAGGGGGAGGGATTTGTGGGGTGGGGGATTGATTTGGGGATGGAGGATTGGTCTGAGGGTGGAGGGTGATGGTCACATGGGGAATGGGAGGAGAAGAAAACCCAAGGGGAGGGAGGCGGGCTGGGTTAAAAGAAAGAAGAGGGGAGGTGAGGGGACGGGTTTGTGGGGTGGGGGATTGGTCTGAGAGTGAAAGGTGGTGGTCTTGGGGGAATGGGAGGAGAAGAAAAACCCGCAGGAGAGGAAGGGTGGGCTGGGTTTGGGGATGAAAATACAAAAGGGGGAGGTGGGTGGAAGGGTTTTCCAAAAAAATAATTTGTAAAAATGATTCAATTGAAAATTGGATGAAATGTTGAGGATTTAGACGGTAGAGGGGAAATTGGCAAAAAGAAGAAGTTTATATCCTTAATTTTATTATTTAAAAAAAAAGGATAAGGGGTGAATCGAAAGCTAAGTAAAAGTTCATGGGCAAATCACCAGTTAACCATTTGTAGTAATGTATATTTTATTCGTAGTACACACATAAAAGACAATGTTGCTTGCAAATTTATGCTTAGTTAAGTTAGAGTGGATATACTCTCCCATGTACTATTAAAAAATTATTAACTATTGATGAGGAAAAATATAATATACTTGTAGGTGTCAGGTAGTTAGTATTAGTTAGTAGGCTTACTTACTGTAGTGCTCCATGAAACTTTGGTCAAATCTTACTTTACTCTCTAAAGTTAAGTGGCCCACTTAACCCCTTTGACTGTGATTTCGTGTTCCACTTTAGCCCATACTGTTATCTCAATTAATAACTTTGTTAGTTTTGATGGCGTAGCATTGCTATTTTAGTCTTTGTTTTTATAATTTTTTTATTATCACAAGTGATGATGTGTCATGTAAATGGCCCACTTTTTTTGTTTAAATTGAATTAAATATAAAAAATGTATTTACTTGTTTAATTAAAATATATCAATAAAATAATAAAACTTAATAAATAAAAATCTTTCTTCTCTATGCTTTAAAAATAAAATAAAATATTTAAAAAAAGGGTACCCATATCAAGATTGTAGTAAATTAATAAAACAAATGAAAAACAAAAGAATAATTAAAAAACTAATACAACAGAACTAAAAAATAAAATAAAATAAAAACATTAAGAAAACAGTGTAGCCCCAACCTTTATCCAGCAACCACCATATTCCATACAACACCACCCACACCAGCACACCCCCACACCTCAGCCACAACCCACCCACCCAGCCACCAAACCATCACCAAGCCAACCACACTCCCCCCCACCCTTAATCATCTAAGCCCTGAGCCACAACCCACCAAACCATCACCCAAGCCATCCACACTCCCCTCGACCCCCAATCATCTGAAATCGACACTAATATCCACCTCACTCAGCTGCCCCTGAACTTCCTCGACCCCAATAGCCACCTCACCCAAAATCCCCACTCCAACGGAGAGAGAACCTCTACAATTAAAAAAGTTTTAAAAATATTAGTTTTTAAAAAAGCATATTAATGTTTTATCATTTCAAGGATTTTTTATTACTTTTATTGACACATAAGCACAAAGGTGGGTCCCTCACTTGCCATATCATCAATTTAACATAAGACTAGACAATCAAATTAACGGAATGTGCAAATTGATCAAATCTTAAAACATTTGGGTGTAAATTGGTGAAATTAAAACCTCTGTGCCCATATTTAAGATGACTCCAAATATCAAAAGTGTGTTTTGTCGTTAACCCTCTTTTTTTTTTTGGGAGCAGATGCTCTATAGAAGCACCCTAAAATAATATAAAAGATACAAGGAAAGATCCAAAACTCAAAATATGAGAAACAAGGACAGTAGCTTAAGAATTGCTCAACTTTGTTGTTTTTTTCTTTTGCCACTCAATATTTCGGTTTCCTTCCCACACGAATTGCATTGGTGAGGACTCGAGATAATTCCGAAACACTCTATATTTCATTCATGGGTAACAATTGGCTGAGACTCACTGAGATGCTGAAGATGATGATGCGGAATATAGCTGCTGCTTCTTTTTATTGCAGCAGTCAGAGATGGAGAGGTATGCCTTGTCTTCACTCTAACTCCACTGTTGTTGTTTTCGACAACAATTACTTTGCTTTCTTTCACTCTCAACCTTCGAAACCAATCAAATCTAGAAGAACCCAACTAGACCAGCCAGTGAGAGACTCACCCAAAATCACAAATGTTGAGGATGCTTTCAATGTGTTTGATAGAATGCTCCAAATGCGTCCTCAGCCTTCAGTTGTTCGTTTCACTCAAATATTGGGTCAAGTTGCAAAATTGAAACATTACCCAGCCGTCCTCTCATTGTATAACCAAATGGGTGTGTCGAGAATTGGACATGATGTTTATATCCTAACCATTGTCATTAATTGTTATTGTCATTTGAACCAAATGGGGTTCAGTTTATCTGTATTGGGAAAATTCTTCAAACTTGGTCTTGAACCAAATGTCTTTACCTTCACCACTCTGATCAACGGCTTTCTTCTTGAGAATAGAGTGGTTCAGGCAGTAGAACTTTTCAATAAAATGATCAAGGCAGGTAATTGTCAGCCTAATGTCTTTACTTTCAGCACACTAATAAAGGGCTTTTGCATGAGGGGTGACAACCGTGCAGCTATTCAGTTGCTTAGGAAGATGGAGGAAGGGGTTTGCAAGCCTGATCTAGTTGTCTATAACACAATCATCGACAGTCTTTGTAAGGATACAATAGTTGATGATGCATTAAACCTCTTCTCAGAAATGATGTGCAAGGGTATTTCCCCAAATGTCATTACCTATACATCCTTGATGAATGGAGTTTGCAAATTAGGCGAGTGGAAAGAAGCTACAAGGTTGTTGAATGAAATGGTGAGTAAAAATATCTTTCCAGATGTGTTCACGTTCAGCGTCTTGGTAGACACACTTTGTAAGGAGGGAATGGTCGTGGAAGCAGAAGGCGTGGTTGAGATGATGATTCAAAGAGATATTGATCCTGATACAGTTACGTACACTTCACTCATGGATGGTTACTGTTTGCGAGGAGAAATAGGCAAGGCACAAAATGTTTTCGAACTAATGCTTAGCAAGGGCTCGATGGTTAATGTTGTTAGTTACAACACGTTGATAAATGGATATTGTAAGCTTAAAAAAATAGATGAGGCCATGATGCTTTTTCTGGATATGTCTCATAAGGGACTAGTTGCAAATACCTGTACCTATAACACTCTTCTGGATGGTTTTGGCAAAGCAGGTAGAATACAGGATACACAAAAGTTGTTCTCTGAGATGCAAGCTCGTGGCCAACTTCCAAATGTTCGAACTTATTCTATTTTACTGGATGACCTGTGTCAAAACCGACAACTTTCTAGGGCAATGCAATTGTTTGGAGAGATGGAAGCGAAGAAGTTGGATATTGATATTGTAATTTACAATATTCTTATTGAAGGTTTGTGCATAGCTGGAAAAATTGAATCTGCAAGGGATCTCTTTTGTGGTTTATCATCAAAAGGACTTGAACCTAATGTGAGGACATACACTATAATGATTAATGGACTCTGTATCGCGGGCCTTACAAGTGAAGCAGAAAAGTTTCTTATTGAAATGGAAGTGAAAGGCTGTGCTCCTAATGGTTGGACCTATAACACAATTATCCGAGGGTTCATCCATAATAAACAGACATCAAGGGCGATGGTACTTATTCAAACAATGGTAGAGAAGGGTTTTTCTGCAGATGCATCAACAACGGAGTTGATAGTTAATTTACTGTCGAAGGATGAAGTAGATCCTGCTTTGTTGCCTTTGATAAAAAAATCACTGCGAAATTAATATGCATTTGTGGACAATGAAATTTGGAACTGCTGCACCTTCAACAACGATAAAGGTGTTACAGTGGTTGTGCGTGTGGCAGGAGGTGAAAATGCCTTCTCACTTGCATCCTTAATTTCTGGTATTAATTATGTTTAATGGGATATCTAGCACTTTTTTGAACTTTTCCCTTTATCTATGGTGATTTATTTACTTCATATTCCTGTCACTTAGCATCTTGCAGTATATAAAAGGCCAAATACATAAATTTAGGCGTGCCTTCTCACGACTCTCCTAGCTTAAAATGTTTCTACAGATAATTGTCTACTGTTTCGGATATCAGAAACCTCGACAAAACATAGACCATTATAGGTTCAGTCAATTGACATTGACTTCAAAATTAGTTATCTACAGAGGATCTTTAAAATCAAATGTTGGTTTGTCTCTCTTCCCACATAATGTATAATATATATACTAATGGCTTCTAGTTTGAGGATGAAATAGTGAGCCTAAACTTTGGCAATTCATTGATGTTCTGGAGAGGAGTGTGTTATTTTGGGATAGTTCCTTGATTGAACTTGTGTTGATTACCAATATTTATGTTAACTAAACTAATTTTCCAAGTTAAAACTCTTTTGTTTCTTGTCTGGTTCATATATACCTGTCAAACTCTTTAGATTGTATACTTGGTTAGAAGTTGGAACTAGTTAGCCGTGATGGAAAATACTTGCCCCAATGATTGGGATTGGAAGGGAAGGGAGAATTTTTACCAAGTGATTTTTGAATATAGTGAACTATATATTTTCTGTTAAAAAGAAACTGACATGCTTTAATTTGCAGCTAGTTTATGCTTTCTTTTCATATTTCCACCCATACAGTAAGTAAAACCCATGTGTGTTTGTAAAGGCGTATATTTGTACAATTTGTGTAATTTTGGCATTGGTTTAGGACAACTGTCATTTATTGAGTTTGATGGTGCAATTGCGGTTATTGTGATTGAGTTTAAATGAAATAGTAAAATTTGACATCATTTAACAATAGTTTTGTAATTTTGAGGTTTTTTCATTGCGTGATTGTAAAATTACATCCTATTTTTTAGGCATTAGCCTTATATAAATTTGGTAAAGTTATATTCTTATTTTACATATTTGTAAACTATATAGTGGGATTAAACTGAAGCCCCCTATATTTTATTCGCAGTGCACACATAAAAGACAATGTTGCTTGTAAATATATGCTTAGTCAAGTTAGTTAGAGCAGAGATATACTCCCATGTACAATTAAAATATTATTAAGTATTGATGAGGAAAAATATAATATAGTTGTAGGTGTCAGGTAGTAAGTATTAGTTAGTATTGATGAGGAAACATAGCTTTCTAGTTTTTAAGCTAAATTTTAACTGAAAAATAGGAAGTATGGTGTAAATGCTATATTACATGAAACTATATTTATTTTTTTGTTGGAGCAGATGCTCTATAATAGCACAAAAGATAGCAAGGAAACTATCCAAAACTCAAATGTGAGAGACAAGGATAGTAGCGCAAGAATTGGTCAACTTTGTTGTTTTTTTTTGAAACTGCTGCACCTTTGACGACCATGAAGGCATTTCAGTGGTTTGTGCGTATGGTAGGAGGTGAAAATGCCTTCTCACTTGTGTCTTTAATTTCTGGCATTAATTCTGTTTAATTTGATTTCTGTTGTATTTGTATGGGACAATAGGAGAACCTCTGTTTCAACAAAAAGATCCCGTGCAAACCTCTGTTCACTGATGCAAAGGCGCAATTGAAGGTAAACCCAATGCAGCTGTGCGTTACATTGCATTTTTTAAGGGTTATATTGTATTATTTTGGTTATAACACATTGAAGGATTCTAGCATGTGAACTATGAAGGTTCGGGTCTGAATTCATGTCAATTCTAATTTAGACATTAATTGATCCCAAATCCTTTCCTTTTTTCATCGTGCTGGGATTGTATGAATATATAGTTAATGGCTTTAAATTCTAATTCAGATATGTATGCATTGCCCGGCCTATATTTTAGATTTGAATCTTTCCCCTTATCTGTGATAATTTATTTATTTTGTATTCCTAGCTATCACTTTGGCAATTCACTGATGTTCTGGAGAGGAGTCTATTATATTTGGGATAATTTATATTAGACACTGCTGATGTGATGACTTGAAAATAAATTTTCATAAAAATAGAAATCGTTCCAATAAACAAATAAATTTATTAAGCGGGTATACTTTTTCCAACGGAAGAAAGTTGTGCCAAGTGACAAAACGGTTGTAATGAATTAAGCATTGATAAAAGTAGAAGAGATCTGTTTGAAAAGAAGAAATCCAAGAAAGGAAAATGTCCCCATTTTATAATAGCATAGACTACAATTTGCAATCAAAACAGGGATGCAACAAGAGGTGGGCTCGTAAAAATCTTGCCATAAAAACCCCCAATGGAGGAAATCCGGTCAAGAAAAAGAGTACCACAGTATCCGATAACGATAACCAAAACAACCACCCACCCTCCATGTCTGTTACCAACAGTGGTACAAGCCAGTTAGGAGCAAGACCAGCGCAGAAGGAAGGATGTTGGTCTCACAACCCAAACTGAGCCAAAGAGTGAGCAACCCGATTACCCAAATGCGGTTGAAAAAGAACATCACTAACACACAATTATACTAGCAACCTTCTAATGTCATCCACAATATTAACCAGATTACTCCATAGCTCACCGTCTCCCTTCAGTAAAGCCACAACTTCTTTCGAGTCTGATGCTACCAAAAAATCAAAGATTCCCAACTCAGCGGCCTTCAACAATCTCATGTGTATAGCAGCACATTCAGTAGCCAAAACATCCAAACCTACTGGGCCTTGATCTGCAAACCCCTAAATAAAGTTACCTGCAGAGTCTCTTACGACACCACCAACCCCTCTATTACAACCAGCTTGTCCAATCGCTCCGTCAAATTCAATAACAACGCAGAAGAGAGAGGTTTAATCCACCTAATAAACCGTGGCACCCTTGCTGGCTTGGTGTGAACATTCCGAATTTTAAACTGCTCCAAAAACTCCATGATCCACTCAACAATCTCAGAAAGCCCATCAGGTATCTTTCCGAAGAGCACCTCATTACGAAGCTTCCAAACTCTCTAACAGCAACACACAAAACGTTCCAAGTCACAGTCTGACAGAGTATGAAACATAACCTCCAAAAATCCAGCAAAAGAGCCTTGTCTGACCGCCAAATCAATATTGAAGGAAGTTAGCGCCCAAAACCGTCTGCTGCGTTTACAACCCCAAAAAGCATGGACAACATCCTCTGTCGTCGTCCCACAGCCAGAACAATAAGCTGAGACCAATACCTTTCGTTGAACAAGGTTTAGTGCTGTAGGCAGGAAATTTAAACTTATTTTAACCTTATTTGGAACCTCCAAATGCCAAAGTTTTTTCCAAAAAGCGCACTGAGTTCCAAAGTTAGAACCTCCAATCTCCCCATTGACCTATCGATCACAAAGTTGGAATGCAAGGCGATATCCAGTCTTCATATAATATTTACCATTTTTTGAGAAAAACCAAAAACGTTTATCTTCAATATGCCCAACGATGGCAATGGAATGCCAAAATTGCCAAACAGTCCTCATCACATTCAGGAGAGTCCTATTCTACCAACCCGATGCCGTAATTAGATCAGAAACTTTGGCCTCCATAGAAAGACCTCTATTTAATAGAGGCAAAAAAGTATAAGGCTTTGGAATCCATTTATCATGAAATTTCCTCACAGAAGTCCCACCTCCAATGCGCCAAATAAGGCCATGTTCAATAACTTGTCCTCCCCACAGAAATGAGTGCTAGATTAAACAAGGTGACTGACCATACCCAGCTGTAAGAAAATCACCATTCGGAAAGTAACGAGCTTGAAGGATCCGACCAACCAAAGACGAAGGGTTCTCTAACAGCCGCCATGCTTGTTTGGCTACCATGGCTTGGTTAAAAGCTTCAAAAATTTTGAACCCCAGTCCTCCTAAGCATTTTGGCCAACACAGATTCCACCATCTCTTCCAATATATGCTCCGTTTCCCTGACTTCCCCCACTAAAATCTCGCCACTATTGCTGATAATTTCTGACATAAATTTTTTGACAGTTTAAACACCCTCATTATGTATGTTGGGAGCGCCTGAGCCACTGCTTTAATAAGAACTTCTTTCTCTGCCGTTTGCAGCAATTTAGCATTCCACATGTGAAGCTTGTTCCACAACATGTCCCTCACATAATTAAACAATCGATGTTTACTCCTTCCAGTAATAGTGGGCAACCCTAGATAGCGTGTATAACAATCCACAATACGTACTCCTAGCATGGATGGAATAAGACACTTCATGATTGGATCTATTTTAGGACTAAAGCTCGCTGCAGACTTCGCAAAATTAATTTGTTGGCCTGACGCTAGTAGGTTCTAAGAAGAAGCATCATATTATAACAGTCAGATAAATGGGCATTGCACAATAATAAATTATCATCTGCAAAAAATAAGTGAGAAAGGGTAGGAGCGCCTTGCAACACCACGAATTTGCTTATTCCTTTGAGCTTGAGACAACAATGCCGAAAGACTTTCTGCACAAATGAGAAAAAGATAAGGCGAAAGAGGATCCCCTTGTCTTAATACCCTAGAAGGAGTAATGAAACCCATTGCCGACCCCCGAACTTTCACAGAGAATGACACAGTAGAAATATAATCCATAATCAAATCCACCCATTTGTTGTTGAAACCCAATTTCCTCATCATACCGTCAAGAAAATTTCATTCCACCCTATCGTAGGCTTTTGACATATCAAGCTTCAATATCATCTTTTTTAGAGCACTTCCCCCCCTTCTCTGAATGGTGTGAATGTTTTCAAAAGCAGCAATAATGTTGTCAGTAATCAATCGAGAAGGAACAAAAGCACTTTGGTACTCTGAGATGACATCTTGAATAATACCCTTCATTCTATTCACCAGTGTTTTTGATATCAATTTATAGATAGCAGAGCATAGACTTATAGGCCGTTACTTAGTAACTCGTATTGGATTGTCCACCTTTGGGATAAGAAATGAGAGTTTGGTTGATCTCTCGCATACTTACCCCACCATTTAGCACATTTAGGCAAAAACTCACCACATCATTTCCAATTACGTGCCAGTACCGGTACCGCTGGTAAAATAGAGCTGGCATCCCATCAATACTAGTTGATTTAGGGGGAAACATTTGTGAGAGCACACCTTCCAATTCAGTTCTAGTAAAAGGCTGGCTCAGTCTTTGATTGTGTTCTCGAGTCACTTTATATTGCACTGCTGCCAGTACATTACTAAAATCATTCTCACCACTAGTGGTAAATAGCTTCTTGAAATACTCACAAAAAATAGAACCAACACCTTCATTAGAAGTATTCCACACATTATGATCATCAAAAATACCTTGCATGAAATTTCTTCGTAACCTTTGTTTAGCTTGTGCATGAAAAAAATTTGTGTTATGATCCCCATATTTAAGCCAAGAAAACTCGAGACCTTTGTTATCATCTCCTCTGTTTAACATATCCAACTCACCAGCCAACCTATGTTGACATCGCACCATATCATCTGTTTGCAGTTTCTTTTTGAATCCATCAAGTTGCCCTTGAATCCGACGTATCTACATGGGAATATGGCCCACCTTTGATTTATTATTCCAACCCAGTAAGGACTGTTGGCAAGCTTTTATCTTAGTAACAACATCACCTTGTTCCTCTCCCCAAGCTTGAGCAATTGTCTCTGTACACCCATCAATTTCAATCCACATTTCTTCGAACATAAATCTTTGAGCCCAAGGCACAGAATCTAAGCCCCCAAAATGTATAAAGACAAGAAGGTGGTTTGAAGGCAAAGAGTTTACATGATGTACTATCACTCTCGAAAAAAGCAAGAAAAAACGCAGCATTTGCCACTCCCCTATCCAACTGAAGTTGGACTCTGTCGTCCCCAGACCGATTGTTTGTCCAAGTATATTTGTAACCTTTATATTTCATCGATGTCAAACCACAATCCTCAAGAGCCATGCCAAAGTCCCGCATTTGTGACGCCGGTCTATATTGTCGACCCAAATACTCATTGAGCTCCAATACTTCATTAAAATTACCTCCCACTAACCATGGACCCGAATTTTGTATGTTTGATTATTTGTTTGTTATTGGGCTTTTGTCCCCAAATCAAAAAAAAAAAAAAAAAAAAAAAAAAAAAAAAAAAAAAAAATGTTTTGAGATGGTCGGTGTCAATAACTCACATGTTACAATATGAATGAATGATGAGTTTATATTTTAAGGCACAATATCAATAAATAAAGTACATCTAACTAGATCTCATAAATAAATAAAAATAAATAAAAAGTACATCTAACTAGAGTAGGGAGATCATATAACGGTGCTATATAGGGCTAGTTTGGAATTACTGTCACTTTTTAAAACAACTGCTTCTGTTGTGCTTTGAAAGTAATCAGTTGTAGTCATACCAACAAATCACTTCAATGAGGAGATGGAAGCCTAGCCATGAGGTTTATGTAGAAGACTTCATTAGGACCCTCAGATTATATATTGACATATTGGGTTCGCATTTCTTGTTGAAACTGACACTACTACCAGAAGTCTACAAGTATATGCTGCACCCTTGAGCTTCATTATCAATTGACCTTCCAACATGGATGGCTCCCTCTCCCACCACGATCATGAATCCCACACCTCATCAGATTGATGCGGTGGTTAATTGGATCACCTTCCCTCTCGTGTCTGTCTGTCTCTCTCTCTCTCTCTCCTCTCTCTCTCTCTCTCTCTCTCTCTCTCTCTCTCTCTCTCATGCACACAAACTAACTTTGTTGCAGTTATATATATTTGAGTATTAATTAATAAGGTGATCTTCTATGTTGAGTATGTAGGGGCTTTGGCAGGTTTGACACTTGCAAATGGAGGGTGGCTTAATTAATAGTATTTTATAGTAATAATAAATAAATACCTATTTTTTTCTTTTTGTCAAAAAATAAATAAATAATTCGAACCCCATTACACCGAGTAATTTTTGGGTGTTCCTGGTACACCACGTGGTTGGTGTACCATCCAATAGACGGAAGACATATGGAATATTTCCAATGCAGTCCGCCACATGTCATAAAAAGAAATGCAGTAAGTTAGATAATAATTTCACATGTTCTATGTTTATTGGATGGTACACCAGACATGTGGTGTACCTGGAACATTTAAAAATTTCTCCATTACACCAGCTCTGTCTCTCTCTCTCTCTCTCCCCTCCACATCATCATCATCCCAAACCCCATTTCCATCGCAGACAGTGTTTGAATTTGCAGAAAGAGAGAGAGAGGGGTGGTTTAGGGCTCTGAGTTGGGATGAATCTTGGCAGTCGGGGCTAGAGATTGGTTGGGAAGAGGTGGCTTGGGGCTGATAGTTTTTATTATTATTTATTTTAAATTTTTTTAATTTATTTTAAAATTTCTTATGTGGAGGTGGGCTCCACTTATCATGTCACCCACCCAATTAATGGATAATGATCCATGTGTATGAAATTACAAAAACACCCATGTCACGTCATCAAAATTAACAGACTTTTGAATAGGATTGACGGGAGGAGGCAAAATGGGTCACCAAACCTCGGTCAAGGGATGAAACTAGGTCATTTTGAGTTTGAAGGGAAAAAGTGGGATTTGACCAAAATTTCAGGGGTATTGGTAATTAAGCCTAAATAATTAGAAGGGGACCTAAAGCGGATGGTTCATTCCAAAGCCATGGAGGAGGATGTTCTGTGCACACTCCAACAAGTAGAAGATGTCAAAAAGCGTGTTTGAATGAAGTTCGTTTAGAATTTTAGTGTGTTTAAATAAAGGCTAGTTTTGCACATTTTCTTACTCAGTGTCATCAGTGCTATTATTCGAGAGATGCTGAAGATTATGATGCGGAATATAGCTGCTTCTTCTTCTTCTTATTGCACCAGCTGGAGATGGAGAGGTATGCCTTGTCTTCACTCTAACTCCACCGTTGTTGTTTTCGCCAACGATTACTTTGCTTTCCTTCACTCTCAGCCTTCTAAACGAATCAAATCTACAAGAACCCAACTAGAGCAGCCAGTGAGAAACTCACCCAAAATCACAACTGTTGAGGATGCTTTCATTGTGTTTGATAGAATGCTTCAAATGCGTCCTCCTCCTTCAGTTGTTCGTTTCAACCAAATATTGGGTCAAGTTGCGAAATTGAAACATTATTCGGCCGTCATCTCGTTGTATAATCAAATGGGTGCGTCCGGAATTAGACCTGGTGTGTGCACTCTAACCATTCTGATAAATTGTTATTGTCATTTGAACCAGATGGGGTTCAGTTTGTCTGTATTGGGAAAATTCTTCAAAGTTTGTCTTCAACCAGATGTCTTTACCTTCAACACTCTAATCAACGGCTTTCTTCGCGAGAATAGAGTGGCGGAGGCTTCAGGAATTTTCAACAAAATGATTGCGGGAGGTAATTGTCAGCCTAATGTGGTTACTTATGGCACACTAGTTAAGGGCTTCTGCATGAAAGGTAACAACAGTGCGGCTATTCAATTGCTTAGGAAGATGGAGGAAGGGGTTTGCAAGCCTGACCTAGTTGTCTATAACACAATCATTGACAGTCTTTGTAAGGATACACTAGTTGATGATGCATTAAACCTCTTCTCAGAAATGATGTCCAAGGGTATTTCCCCAAATGTCATTACCTATAACTCTTTGATGAATGGAGTTTGCAAATTAGGCGAGTGGAAAGAAGCTACAAGGTTGTTGAATGAAATGGTGACCAAAAATATCTTTCCAGATGTGTTCACGTTCAGTGTCTTGGTAGACACACTTTGTAAGGAGGGAATGGTCGTGGAAGCAGAAGGCGTGGTCGAAATGATGATTGAAAGAGATATTGAACCTGATATCGTTACATACACTTCACTTATGGATGGTTTCTGTTTGCAAGGAGAAATGAGCAAGGCTAGAAATGTTTTTAAACTAATCCTTAGCAAGGGCTCGATGGTTAATGTTGTTAGTTACAGCACATTGATAAATGGATATTGTAAGCGTAAAATGATGGATGAGGCCATGACGCTTCTTCGAGAAATGTCTAGTAAGGGACTGGTTCCAAATACTGTTACTTATAACACTCTTGTGGATGGTTGTTTCAAAGTGGGGAAATTAGGTGATGCACAAAAGTTGTTCTCTGAGATGCAAGCTTGTGGCCAACTTCCAAATGTTCAAACTTATGCTATTCTACTGGATGGCCTGTGTAAAAACCGAAAACTTTCTACAGCAATCCAACTGTTTAAAGAGATGGAAGCAAAGAAGTTGGATGCAGATGTTGTGATTTACAGTATTCTTATTGAAGGTTTGTGCATAGCTGGAAAAATTGAATCTGCAAGGGATCTGTTTTGTGGTTTGTCATCAAAAGGACTTGAACCTAATGTGAGGACATACAATATAATGATTAATGGACTCTGTATCGCGGGCCTTACAAGTGAAGCAGAAAAGTTTCTTACCCAAATGGAAGTGAAAGGCTGTTCTCCTAATGGTTGTACCTATAACACAATTATCCGAGGGTTCATCCATAATAAACAGACATCAAGAGCGATGGTACTTATTCAAACAATGAAAGAGAAGGGTTTTTCTGCAGATGCATCAACAATGCAGTTGATAGTTAATTTACTGTCGAAAGATGAAGTGGATCCTGCCTTGTTGCCATTGATAAAAGGATCACTGTGAAATTAATATGCATCTGTGGACAATGAAATTTGAAACTGCTGCACCTTTGATGACCATGAAGGCATTTCAGTGGTTTGTGCGTATGGCAGGAGGTGAAAATGCCTTCTCACTTGTATCCTTAATTTCTGGCATTACTTCAGTTGAATTTGATTTCTGTTGTATTTGTATGGGACATTAGGAGAACCTCTGTTTCAACAAAAAGATCCCACGCAAACCACTGATGCAAAGGCGCAATTGAAGGTCAACCCAATGCAGCTGTGCATTACATTGCATTTATTAAGGGTTATATTGTATCATTTTGGTTATAACATTGAAGGTTTCTAGCTATCATGTCAATTCTAATTTAGACATGAATTGATCCCAAATCCTTTCCTTTTTTCATCATGCTGGGATTGTATGAATATATAGTTAATGGCTTTAAATTCTTATTCAGATATGTATGCATCGCCCGGCCTATATTTTAGATTTGAATTTTTTCCTTTATCTATGATAATTTATTTACTTTGTATTCCTAGCTATCACTTTGGCAATTCATTGATGTTCTGGAGAGGAGTGTTTTATATTTGGGATAGGAGCTGATAATGTTCTGGAGAGGATTGAACTTGTGTTGAGTTCCAATTAATCTTTATGTTAACTAATTTTCTAAGTTAAAACTCTTTCGTTTCTTGCTTGGTTGGAAGTGGGAACTAATTAGCCATGATGGAAAATACTTGCCCCAATGCCAGGATTGGGATTGGAAGGGAAGGGTGAGTTTATAGAAAGTGGTTTTTGAAGATAGTGAACTATATTATATATCACCTATCAAAAAGAAAATGAAATGCTTTAATATGCAGCTAGTTTTCTATGCTTTCAGTTCATATTTCCATCCATACAGAAAATAAAACTCATGTGTGTTTGTAAACGCCTATATTTGTATGTGTCGAAGACCACCTAAGGCCATCCCCAATGGGGACTCGACAGGGGGCTGCACCACCATTGTATTGGGCTGGAACATATAGTAACTGAAGGAAAAAATGCATCCCCAGTGGTTCAATTTTGAGGCTTTAAATGGTTGAGCCCAACCGAAGCTATACCCAGATTTATGTTCACGGTTACAAACATACCATAATGTGTACACTAAATTGGGGTTATTGACCGAAATGGTCCCTCAAATTTTTCTCTGGTATCATTTTGGTTCACCAACTAAATTTTTCGTTTCAATGGTCCCTTAATTCTTCATTTGGTATCAAAACGGTCTTACCATCAAAGTCTGTTAATATTGCCGTTAAATTTAAGAGTAAAATTGTCCATCTAAATTCAAATATTAATATAATAATTAATAATTAAATGAAACTATTATAGGAACTTGTACCTAATTTTAAAATTTTAAAAAATGAATCTCACCACCACCAACAATAAAACACTCACAACAAATCAAATCATACCTAGCTAATCTATGTATTGCTCGTATTTATTTTCTTGAAAGAGATTCTTATGGACATTTACAATGCAGGAGAATGCTAGCTATACATTCTATATCAAAAGTTAGTTTCAAGTAATATGAAACACCGTCACGTGATAACTAGTCCACATGTCATACAGAAGATACAAAATTGAATGCAAAAGACCTAGTTGCAATACACGATATCCTAAGAAATGCATATGGAATTAAGAAGTTGTATTGGAAGTAGTAAAGCTTGTCATGCCTTAGTTAAAACCTTGACGTTGACGTATGCAAATGTTGTGGGCAAACTTGTAAGCAATTAAGTAGCTCATTTCTTTGCAAAATAAGATTTATCTTGTTTGAACTTTTTTCTGTAAATTTTGGAGGAAGGGTCACTCCCACATGAGATCATTTCGTTAGGCACAGGGCATGCTTCTTTAATTCATTTGCAATATGCGTGTTTCGGACTTCATCAAAAAAGTATATCTAATTGGACTGCCATCTTCTTGTCTTTATCCTGACATCGCGTGTAAAATCATTCATTCTTCCCCCTTGTTTTCTGGAAATGGCAACCCAATTAAAATTTTGTTATTGTTGTAACTGTGGCTTTTGCCTCTTTTTCTAGTAATGATTTTTATAAATAGCTAGGGAACCTAAAATAATTAAAAATCGACAAGGGCATAAGATAATTGAATGTGGGGTACATATGGGAGATATTCAAACCTATACAAGAGTTGGTGATGAGTTATTAACTCTTGCTGGGCGTACCACACCAATACAATGGGGTTCGTCTTTATTAAAAAAGTGGTACACAGTATAATATAACTAGCATTTTCGTTAACCTATTAAGTGGATACTGGTAATTTAAATGAAAAAGTTTTGTTAAGTACCAGAACTTTCTTAATGAAATACATATAATAATAACGTCATGAAGGACTGTTAATTTAACAAACAGAAATTCAGGACACCAAAAATATAATAGCAAATATACTGCAAACGTGTTTTGTGGGTGGTGTAGAATTGAAGGATACTCAAATATATATATATATATACATATATATATATATATATATATATATATATATATATAAACCCGTGCAACGGGTTCATGTTAAATATCACACTACAAGTTGTAAGCACATCAGCAACTTTGAGCCGGCCTAAATAGTTGACCCTCCAACATGGATGAGTCCCTTTCCCACAATGATGAAGCCCATGCATCATCATCGCATTCCGGTCGCAGGCGCGGTGGTTGGATCACTTTCCCATTCATTACCGGTCTCTCTCTTTCTCTCCATCTCTTTCATTTTATTAGTTTGCTAACTCACAATAGTGTTAGTGTAGTGATTGTCGAACACAGTATCCGAGTTATGATTATGAACTTCCATATTGCGCAGGGGCTTTGGTAGGCCTGACACTTACAGCCGGAGGATGGCTCTCAAATTTGATTGTATTTCTGATTGAAAAATTCAATGTAAAGAGCATCGATGCTGCTCAGATTGCAAATGTGGTTAACGGTTCTTCAAGTTTTTTCCCAATCATCGGAGCAATCGTAGCTGACTCTCTCTTCGGCTCATTCTCCGTTATCTCAATTTCCTCCTGCATTTCCTTGCTGGTAATAAAATAGTCAGTCTCTTAGTACATGCTTGTTCCATCTGTGCCTGTTCTTTTGCTGCTGATTTATGTGAACACATGAATAAAGCTTTTGATATGTACTTGATTTTAGTTGCTATATTCACTTTTATTTGGCAATTGCTATTTGCTAGCCATGTACTTGGGTGGAAATGCTTAATTTAGGGGCTTAAATTGAGGGACAAGTTATATATTCACATTTAATGGTTGAATTTAACAATATAACATCGTCTGGTCAATCTGATCTTAGATTGATCACGTAGAGATGACTTATCTAACAATATAACATATCAGATATCAGCATAACCTTTCAACTTGTTAAACTTCCTGCATAAACTTGGATTCAAATATTTTGTAGGGCATAATTGTCTTAGCATTAACCGCGACGCTGAATTCGTTGAGGCCTCAACCTTGTGTTGTGGGATCAGAGTTATGCCAACCCACTTCAACATTACAAGATGCAGTATTGTATACTGGTATAGCTCTAGCTTCTATTGGCTTGGGCGGTACCCGCTATGCCCTAGCAACAATGGGAGCAAACCAGTTTGACAAACCTAAGAATCAAGCGAGTTTCTTCAACTGGTACTTCTTTACTCTATACTCTACTACAGCTGTAGCCCTAACAGTTATTGTCTACATTGAGGACAATGCTGGATGGAGATGGGGGTTTGGCCTATGTGTCCTTACCAACATAATCGCCTTGGCCGTTTTCTTAACTGGAACCCGGTTTTATAACATTGATAAGCCACAAGGAAGTCCATTTGTTGCTTTAGCTCGTGTTGTTGTTGCCGCTTTTCGAAAAAGGAAACTCCAGCTCTCCTCCGAAAGCAAGGATTATTACAATGGACATGATGGAGTGAAAGAAGGCATAGTGACTGGAACACTTAGCACCAGTTTCAGGTACAAACTTTACAGGGTTAATTACTATTATATCGAAAAGTTATGCTATCTTACCAAACTTATGTTGTCAGATAAATGCTTATGTTGTCAAGAGAGTGAATCTTGGTCATCTTAGATTCATTTGGCGCAAGACAAAATTTCATTTTTTTTTTTTTTTTTTTTTTTTTAGTCAATGTCGTATAATATAGAGATCACGTAGAAATATCGGTTGAGAGCAGTCTCGGCCCTACCCAGGAGCAGTCAGTGCGACTGCCCTGGGCCCATTTTTCAAGGGGGCCCCAAATTTTTTATTATTATAATAAGTGTTATATTATATTATTATAAATTGATTTAATATTTTTTCATAATTTTTAGGAATAGGATATTGAGGTGAATCTGAAATTTTGGAACAAAGGATCCATGACGAGAGTTTTAAAAAAAAATTCTTTGATATTGGCTTGACTTGCATTCTTAAAATTCTTTGACTCATTGGTATGATATCTATAGGTGGACATTTGTTTTCATTATTTAGGAATATGGAAGACATTGCTCGAAGTCTAAAAATATTTTCGAATAAATACTTTCTCAAAAAACCCAATGCTTAGTTGATAAAACAAGAAGTATACTAATATTAGTGATTAATGTGTGTAGAACACACTTTAGATTTTTGCCCTAGGCCTTTGAAAACTCAGGACCGGCCCTAGTTGAGAGATCAATTCAATTTGGACTATAGAAATGCAAACTTGATGTCCCCTCTTTGCATACAGATTCCTAAACCGTGCAGCACAGAAAATTGAAGGAGACATCAGATCAGATGGTTCCATTGCAAAACCATGGAGACTAAGCACAATGCAACAGGTCGAAGATTTCAAAACAATTATAAGAATTTTACCATTATGGTCAACAAGCATATTCTTAGTTACCCCACTAGCAGTCCAGACCAGCATGATAGTCCTGCAAGCTCTAAGCATGGACCGTCACATTGGGCCTCATTTCAAAATGCCATCTGGCTCCGTTATAGTCATTGTCCTACTTTCCACAGCCATCTCTCTCACCCTTATTGATAGGTTCTTATGTCCTGTGTGGCAGAAGCTGACTGGTCGATCTCCAACGCCCCTCCAACGTATAGGATTAGGCCACGTGTTAACTATTCTTAGCATGGCTCTTTCAGCACTAGTAGAGTCAAAAAGGCTCAAATTAGCCAAAGCGAACCAGCTCCAACCTGTTGTACCAATGCTGGCCTTGTGGCTTTTCCCGCAGTTGGTTTTGGCAGGTATTGGAGAGGCATTTCATTTTCCTGGACAAGTTGCATTGTACTATCAAGAATTTCCAGTGTCTCTTCGAAGCACATCGACGGCGATGATCTCGTTGGTCATTGGGATTGCATTTTATTTAAGCACAGGTGTAATTAATTTGGTTCAGAGGGTTACAGGGTGGTTACCAAATGATATAAATAATGGGAAGCTAGACAATGTGTATTGGATGTTAGTTGTTGTTGGGGTGCTCAATTTTGGTTATTATCTAGTGTGTGCTAAGTTGTACAAGTATCAAAATGTTAAGGGTGCAGATGTTAATTCTGGCTCTGCTGATAGTGAAAACTGATGTTGTCAGTCCAATATTATGTGTTTCTACTGTTGTTGATGAAAGAGATCCGTATATATTAACTGTTGAAAGGATTATCTCACATCAGAAAATCAAAGCCTTACCTAGTTTAAATGATCTTGAGTTTTTCCATTTATTGTCAATTAATTTTGGGTTACATGATTAAATTATTTTATTAACGTTGAAATCGATGTGTGGAGAAGATTATTTTTTCTTTTTCGTTGTCTTAAATTTCAAACTCTGCCGCAATGTAGAAAAGAAAATTGCATGAAAAACAGAGTTTGATCTTCATCTCCTCCAACCGGAAAATAATAGCAATTATTTGTAGATACCCATTCAAAGATCATCTCTACCAAAAATTACTTGAATCCGATATCATTTGACCACTCATTTGAGTTATTGAAATTTTAGTACTTTCTTGAAGCACCGTGTTCATTGATTTTGTAATATACAATTGGATATCGAAACGGTTTCCGATTTGTCTAATTTTTTGTAAGGATGATCTATGAATGAAGACCTAAAAAATAGATGGTTTGGATTATTGGGAAAAAAATTGTAGAGTACCCTAAAGGGCGTCCCTCAAATAAAATTATTTGAAGGATCTCTTAATAGAAGGGGACTGTATATATCATGGTGCCATAGCAAAGGACAAGGGCAAGGAATGACTGACACTATTCATGTGAATAGTGACTGCCCTCCTCTTTTTTATTTTGCTTTTCCACCCACTACCATGACAAGTAAAAGCAAGCATTATTCACATGAGACATGAGGAGAGGACATGGCTAGGTATTTACAGAAAAAATATTCTAAATATTTTGGTATTTTTCCTTCTTTTTTTGTGTATTTAAATTAGCAAATCCAGACAGCAGCTCAAGCAATTCTTGCCTTTGGGCTAACCTGGGTAAATAGGGCCCATCTTTGCCCAGGCTACCTTTCATTGTTGGGGGCTTGTTACATGCCTAGGCTCCCTTTTGCCCCGGCAAATAAGCACCGGTGAAAGTGCTCTAATAGAAGAGGATTATTGGAGTAAAATTCTTATTATTAGCTCCATCTTTTAGATTATATGCAGAGTCAAAGGATTATATGAAGAAAGAAAAAAGAAAGGCTAATTATCTTGCAATTAGTATGTAAAAACAAACGTGCCATAACGTATAATATGATGATATTTACCAAAAAAAATAAAAGGACATATACAACCAACCCTGGTCCCTGCCTTTGTTGCCTATAATGGGTTGGGTGTTCTGACCAAAAACTTGATGTGGTCTATACAACTAACTAATTTTGACCATGGATGTGTGATCAATTGTAACATAGTAACTATTTGTACTTTTATTTTTCCGAAAGTTGGGCTTAAGACTATCGCCTATAGCCCATCCAATCTTGTGGTTGGCTCCCTGCCTGCCTACTTGCTTTGTCTTGGAAAGAAGCGTCTCGCGATAACATCTTTCCCATGAATTGAGAATTTGACTTTGCCGCTGTCGTCTACGCCAACAAGAATTTTTGTGATGTCTGAGGAAGATTTAACAACAACACGAGCAAACAGTGGCTGCGAATTTCGCTCCTCTGCTCCCATACATATTGCTTCTATACACTCTCCAAATTTCCTACATACAATATACACGACGCGTTAAAACATTTAATTCAAATCTTGTCGAAGCTGATAATAAAATAATTATAGAGAATAACAAAATTACTTGTAACATCTTAACTAATCTTGCGTTGTACCGTCTCTAGATAGAGATTCGATCCAATGCGGTGTGTGAGAATGTGATCAGTTACCATGTAACAAACATAGAAATACTCTAACTAATACGAAAAAAGAGAGCAGAGAAGCACCTTGTAAAGAAGCCTCTGAGTTCTTGTTCTGAAACAGGATGGCCCCTTGAGAAGGTCAAGAACAAAGTTCTTTCATTCTTGTCAGCATTAGGGTGGTGCCGATCAGGTCTTTCATCACATGCTTCTTGGGCTGGCAACGAAGGTTGAGCCTCAACAACATTAGGATCAACGCACAAATTAAGTGAATCTTGAAACCCTTGTTGCACTATTAGACCATTCATCAAATGCAACAAGGGTTGCTGGGAAACAATAGGTTGTGGAATAAAAGCCAAATATGGATATATTGGAACTATATCACTAAAAGCTCTCTCACACACTTTGTTCACAAATTCCTCCATGATTTGCTTGGTGTGTTCCTTGTTGTTAAACACAGAACTTAGTGAAACTTTTACGGGAACAAGAAGACGCAGTTTCGGAAACTGGCTATCGATGTCCTCGAACGGAGGATGAACGCAATCTGAATACAAACGTTTCAATAACTCAAAAGATTCGTTTGCCAAGTCATTGAAGAATGGATCGTGCAAAAATAAGGTATTCACCATAAATTGCTGGCCAATACTTTGTCTTTCAAGCGTGTACCAAAGGGCTACGATATACTTGGATAGGATAGGGTCAAAACCTAACCCCATCAAGAGTCGATAATATATGTTGCGATCGAGTGTATGGAAAAGCTTAAGTTCTTGAAGGGCTCTGTCAGAAGATTTCATGGTGATATAAGTGGCAGTACTTCTTGGAGTGGTTGGGGAGAGAGAGAGAGAGAGAGAGGCTTTGGATTTTGAAAAGGGTTGGCTAGGGTTTTAAAAAGGGGTGAATATCGGTCCTGGGGTTCATTGACAAGCAAGGCACCTTGTTTTATAACAACTCTAAATCAGTACCAAAAGGGGACTCTAATTTTTAACCAGTAACATTCTCCCTCACGATCAAGGAAACTTGATTTCTCTTTTTTAATCAAACCCCAATTAAAGCTTTTATTGTTTTATTCTAATTAGGCAAGTTCCAAAATTTTGTTGCTGAAGCAATTTTATTGGCGCTTGAAGTTCCAGAGATTTGATGTTTTTGTGATGCTGCTGAAGCAGCACAATATCTTTCATGGGGCCCAGTTGATAGGTGAGTATTATGATTGCTTGTTCTCGGTTTTGCACGTTTTGCTATATTTAGGTTTCCTTATTTCAATTGACTTCTTTCTTCTATCAAATTAGGTTTCCTTATTTCAATTGGAAAAAAACAAAGTTGTTCTATTTTGGTTTAAATAGAACAACTCTTTAAATAAAGCCAAAAGAATAGTGGTATACTGAAACTCAAGAGCAATGGAAACACATGAGCAATTGCGTAGCAATTCATTGATTTTATAGGAGTGGAAGAGTTACAATTCCTTGCATATAAGGATCCAAAACAAATGAAGAAAGAATATGTAGCAATTGTGGTGCCATGAAAGCATTAACTTTCTTCATTTATTTTTGGGTAATGGAGGACACGGAAACAAAGCACACGGGGTATTGAGTCAATTTCAAATTCATAGGATATGAGATTTTTAGTGAAGCACACGGGGCATATCAATAAACAAGCCTTTATTTTTTTTATCCTTATATGCAATTGTTGTAGCAATTTGTGTGTTACGAAGGCAATTTGGCAGGGGATCCAAAAGGAGTTCGTGTGTTATTAGTTATAGTGTGCATGCACTAAAAAGCTTTGCAGGACAACTATTACCTCTCCGGCTGCTTCAAGCGCAGGTAACCATTCATCCGAGAATGGAACGACATCTGATGGAAGCTTTATTTCTGGGGCATCTTGTTTCCTATCACTTCCAGACTTCTTACTGCAATCAGAGACAGGCAAATTGAATCACTCACAGAACTTTTGTACCATCTAAAACAATATCCATAAATCATGTGAACCAAATAGCTTAAAACACACAAGGACACCACATGCAATTGCACACACATACAAGTAGATAAAATTGATCTAGGCTTTTGGTACATACAGCTCTTTTGTTGCCTCATTATCTTCTGTGGGGTGCAAGGTATCTTCCAACTCATGCTGCAGTTCACGGTTAAGAGTATGACTCTCTTCTAAGATATTAATTTCAGACTCCTCTGCCAAAGTTTTTCTGCTCATCAATACATTAACTTCAATATCCTGCAGAATTCTTCCACTTGATGATCTCGGATCAAGCGATAACAGATGAGCATATCTATATGGAATAAATATATTTGAATCCCACCCAGGTGGTAATGATGAGTTTTGCTAATTACCTAAAGTTCATTGTCATTGGCCTTTGGAATTTGAAGCTGAGCAGATATGTTCTGTAGCACAAGTAGAAGAATATGAAGAAGGCCAGATTCATTGCCTAACTCAACTCTAGCTATAATTATCACAAGAAATCGTAGCTACAAGTTCAATCTTAAGGCATCAAAGTTGAAGTGCATGTTGTTCTCTATAAATTTGACTGCTTATGAATTTCTACTCCTGCTCAAGATACGATAACAAAAATGATAAATAGACGCCGCACTGACCTGATTTGCTGTTAGCAGCACTCTCCTATTAGAATTTGATCCCCAGGCACCAACTACACATGTGCAAGCATGGCTGCAGGGTTCTCCAACATACTTTACATACATAAATACATTTACATTTGCAAACATGATTGCAGGCACCTGCATTTGCAACAATGGTTAAACATCTTTCTCAAAAGCTTGATTCCCTTTTTCTCTGGATACCCTTTTCCATGACTAAACAACTATAGCTTTAATAAGCGACTGATAGGAATGCTCCCACCAATTTTTATCAAGCACAACACAGAACGCACACACAAACACAATCCAATAACACAATCTTGACAGACAAACTATATGAGCTGCAACTGTTTGTTTTTTAAATCTTACGAAAAATCAGACGGTACGTAGCTACGAACAGTTGATGTATTCATCCATGGATTGTCGATTCCCATTCAATTAATTAGGTGGGAGCTTAAAAATAGTATTCTATCATGGGTCAAATATACATATATATATGCCAAAAGTTTATCTAAATCAGTAAGATATCTTCCAATTCTCTCAACATTCTGTCAGGTGTATAAAATTTCTCCAACTAATCGTAAATACAATCTGCTACAGGTGCCAATTAAGAAAGAGGAAATACCAATTGGACTTCCTAGTCTAGTTCCTTCTAGATTCTTCTAGAGTAATCCTATTTCTAATCTAGTACTACAAGAACGACACTTGTGCATCATGGATAGACAGAGAGTTAGAGAGGCTCAATCCACACCACTTTTCCAAAACTAAGAAACAATTGGAGAAAAAGCCTATCAGATAAACAATTCAATTTCTCATATCTAATCAGACGTAATTCCTCACCCAACAAGCTTTGGTCCGTCGAATCTCCACATTCAACCGCCACAGCCCGATTACTCACCCATCTCGGCTTTCTGCATATTTCAGCACACAATCAAACACCAGGCACTCAAATATTTCCGTTTCCCCTTTCTCTCCGTTGCTACATTTTCTCGGCAACCAAACAGAAACAATGGAATGAGGAACAGACGCGATTCATATAAACCTGAAGAGCAGCTTAGATTTTGTCGTCGACGCCAGCATAGAGATGAGCGAAGGCATCGTCGCCGTAAGGGTTGAGGTCGCGCTGCTTCTCAAAGTCGTACTTGTCGTATTTCTCCTTTCCTCACAGAATGAGAAGAAAATATGGCTGCGTTTGAGAGAGAGTCGCTCTCGTCTCGTTCAGGCATTCTCTCTCTCTTTCTCGTTCAGGCATTCTCTCTCTCTCTCTCTCTCTCTCCTCTCTCTCTCTCTCTCTCTCTCTCTCTCTCTCTCTCTCTCTGCGTTTGTCCTATTTCTCGACTGGGGCTGGGCCTATTAGTTTCCAAACGAAATAAGGAAAACTAGTCTCCAACGGCTATTCTTTATCTCCAAGTAACTGCTGGATTATAAATATAGTCGCTGCTATCAACACAGTTGATCAAAAATAAGCAAACAAACACTTGAACAAGAACCAAGGTCATTTCTCTACCTCTCTCTCATGGCTAATTCCGGCATGACGCAGCTGCTCGGCTTCCGGTTCGACCCCACGGACCAAGAAATTATCGGCTTCTTTCTCTACAAGATGGTGGTGGCGAACAACCCTCTGACTTTGATGCCGCCATACAGCAAGGTTATCCACAAGTGCAACCTCTTCGGCAACAAACGAGAACCCTCAGAAATTTGGAGAGATTACGGAGGGGATCAACTTGACGATCAACTTAACGCAAGACTGGCAGCTGCGGTACTTGGAGTGAAACCGAAACCTACCAAGATGTTAAAGATGAGGTGGATGAGATTATAGGTAGAAAACGGAAATTCCGGTACGAGAACGGTAATACTTCGGAGGACCACGCCGGCTGGCTTTTGGATGAATATAGCCTTTTCGAAAAGGGCTGCAAGAATCGTACAAGTCGTAATTGCTATGATTTTGACGTTGTGATTTGTCGGCTGAGAAGGAAGTGCAATACGGACAAGTCCGGGAAAAAGAGGAAGTGCTCATCTCAAGATCAATCAAACAAGAAGATGAAAAGAGATCAATCTACAAAGGAGATGAAGACTGAAAATTCAGTGGGGCCGCAAATTATGAATGATGAGAGCAATCAGTTGATGATCAACGACATTACAACTTGTGATCAAGATTATTTGATCGACACCAATCATAAAAGTTTCAACATTGATGAACTCTTCGTAGAACTAGACTGCAAACCGCCATTGTTACACTCGCAGCAACTACCTCAGATTGTTGAAAGCCAAGAAAAGCCTTTGCCAACTTCTTGCCTCTATGTTAATCAATTTGATGGACCACTGGAAGCAGCCACCAGCAATCTGAGTAATTTTGAGTATAATAGCGATCAAATAGCAAGATCAACATGGCAACATAATATGAATGCCGATGATCATCAAGATCCGAATTTATTCTTCACCGTCGATGAATTATTGGCAGAAGATGCAGAGCCTTTGTCAACTTATGCGCTCGATGATGTTTGTAATGTGGTCAGCCAACCATTAGACCAAAACAGTTGTTGGTCCAAATCCTTTATGGATCAGACTTACAATTCCTATATATGCTTATCAATAGAGGAGATCATAGCTGACAATTAGATATATTGTACAAGTGTAACTGGCTGTAAAAAAATTGACTGCTCGTAATTTCCATTCTTAGTACATGATATTGTTTCTTTATCTCATTGAATTTCAGCATGCAAATTCCTTAATACCAATACAAAACTAATTACTATTTATTAGTTAAGCAAGTAATAATAGGTGAACCGTTGTGCAATGACGGTACAAACTTTGCACTATGCTAAACCAAAGTGGTAAAAAAGAAGCAAAAATAATAATAATAAGAATTGCTTGATTTTCTTTGTATGTTTCATAGCAAGATAATGTGACAATTATCTGTAAAAGTAGAAGAAAAGGAGGAGGAAAGAAGAATGGTGTCACACAGTTAGTGATTAGGCAGACTCCTCTTAATTAGGTCATTGAGAACTAGGAGGGACGTTGTTGGTATGTTTTGTACAATCAAATGGTCCGATTACTTGATTAGTTTTTCGTTTCACCTGAAATTCAACAATGGAAACACATGAGCTCATAGCAAAATAGATAATGCAAATAATAAAATTACATACTAAGCCAAAAGCATATACCCAAGAATAGATATTTAGTCATATGCCCATTCTTAGCACTAAAACTATAAATAAACCCTACACTATTTAATTTCTATAAACAAACCCAAAAAAAAAACCCAAAAAATAACAACTGGCCCTATTTAATTTAATTTTGATTATTAAATTACTTTGATGCCCTATTGAGTGTTTTGGGCTTTTTTTATGAAGTTTTTGAGTTGGGTATGTTTTAAGAAATCAATGGCAATTTTGTAATTTAAAAAAAGTTAAAAGCCTTTTTGTTATGTTGTAAATGGACTTTAGGTGTGTTTCTAAAGTCCTTTTCATATAGGGTTTTTTTATAATTTAGGCTCCTATATTGGGTATAATAGCGAATCACCCTAAAAAGAACGCCCATCTACCACTAAGGAAAAGGTGGCAGAATTCATTTTGCGTAGAAAAAAATTCAGATATGGTGTTGTTTCTCTCCCTATCTCTCTGTGGGGGGTCCAAGTCTATGTATGGAAATGCAAACAACGAATAGATGATTGTCCAGTAAGCAAAACCATACCGGGGACCATGGACCTATTTGAGGTTCAGATTTGTTCGGGGGTGAATTTTGTACAGCACCACTTTTCTTTGTCAAAATTTCCTGCACCAAAACTTGGTATAAGATTTTTTGAAAAGAAAAACTTGATATAAGATTACAATATCAAATAAATTAAGGCTAATTGTCTTCCTATAAAATGTGTCTTTGTTTAAACCCAGAACCGCATTTCATTGATTTTAAAGAAGTGGGACAGTAGCATTACATACATAAAGGGTGCAAAACAAATGAAGAAAGCATATTTAAGAATTGCAGTGCCATATCACAATTCATTGATTTTAAAGGAGTGGAGAGTAACAATTAATTGCTTATGAGGATCCAAAAGAAATGAAGAGAGAATATGTAGCCATTGTAGTGCCATGAGACCTTTGGTAAATAAAAACACAAAGTTATAAAATGCTGGCATGAATTGCAAAAATGCAGTTCGTGTGTCATGAGTTATAGTGTGCATGCACTAAAAAGCTTTGCAGGACAACTATTACCTCTCCGGCTGCTTCAAGTGCAGCTAACCATTCATCCGAGAATGGAACAGCATCGGGTGGAAGCTTTATTACAGGGGCATCTTGTTTCCTATCACTTCCAGACTTCTTACTGCAATCAGAGACAGGAAAATTAAATCTCTCACAGAACTTTTGTACCATCTAAAACAATCCACAAATTATGTGAAACAAATGGCTCAAAAGACAAAAGGCATTTTGTCACACATGCCATTGCGCACACATACAAGTAGATAAAATTGATCTAGGCTTTTTGGTACATACATCTCTTTTGTTGCCTCATTATCTTCTGTGGGGTGCAAGGTATCTTCTAACTCATGCTGCAGTTCACTGCTAAGAGTATGATTCTCTTCTAAGATATTAATTTCAGATTCCTCTGCCAAAGTTTTTCTGCTCAATACATTAACTTCAATTTCCTGCAGAATTCTTCCACTTGATGATCTTGGATCAGAGATGACAGATGAGCATAACTCCCCTTCGCAGGAACTATATGCCAAAGTTGACGCAGAGTTTTCTTCATTGGTTGTTTTTGCAGATACATCAGACTCCACAGAACCAGCTTGATTGCTTAGCTTATTGTCATGACTAGACTTCGTACAAGTTTGAAGATTTTCTGATGATGGTTCAATCTTGAAAGAGCTGGTCACTGCAACTTCCATTTGTAAGTAGTCAGCCTTTTCCTCCAAATCAGGTCTGCCATCATGCATTGCTGCTGCTACTTTTGAACTCTTTGATTCAATTCCACAAGCATCACAGTCATCTAGACCAACCTCATGAACAGTTTCCTCAAATACCTTGCAGGAAGCGTTGTTTGCAAGCAAGGGTCCATTCAAACAAGATCCTGGATTAATGTCCTGGTACTCTCGTATGACACCAATATCTGAACTGAGATTGATCTTATCACTCTGCTCTACTGAAGTATCTTGCTGGCAATAGCTTTTGTCATCTTCAGTCTCTAACTGAGGGACACCATAGCAACTTTCAACAAGTAAGTTGCAATCTTTGGTTCCAAAATCCTTGGGCTCAATTACGTCTTTTATCGCAGAGCCACCCGCAACTTGCACTTTCACATTTAGCTTGGACGTGAAATCTCCCACACTATCCAATTTCAAAGAACAGTCTTGACAATGAAGCTGAAAGTCACTCATTGACTGTGAGTCCAGGTTGTAACTCTCAACCACTGTTTCGTTGCTTTCAGATACTGATGCAGTATTATCCACATTCTGGGACTCAACTATTTCTGCAACATTAGAACTGAAATCTAGCATACCATGTGGTATTAGAGAAACGGTTCTGGAAACTTCTGATTCACTTCTGCAGGTACCAGTTCCTTCTGGTCCTTTTGAATCAACAAATTGAAGAAAAAATTTCTGCTGGGATTCTTCAGGGAAAATACTGAATCCATCCAACACACAATCATTTAAGTGCAATTTATTTTCCTGGGAAACCTGTTCTCCAACATAGCAGCAATTTGGAAGGTCTAGCTGTTCAGGTTTTTCATTTCCACAATCAGTTCCCACCAGTTGACAATTTTCTGGAGCTGAAGTGCTCAGGTCAACATCAATCATTTCATCTATTAACCTTCCACAATTTTCTGGAGCTGAAGTGCTCAGGTCAGCATCATTCATTTCATCTATAAACCTTCCCCTTAAAGCCAGCATTTGTGCATCTTCCACATGTGGGTTCCTACTCTTTGTGTTAAATCTACTACCTTCATCTTTTGCTTGGTTTTTAAATCTAGAGTCAGACAAAGCATCAGACCTTTTCAATTCAGATGCACTAGAATTTTGGACCTTTGGACTGACATCTGCAACCTTCACAGAATTGTAGCTCTGGATCTCTTCAGAAACTTGACATTCCTTGGTGAAACTACCCGTGTTTTCCCATATCATATGATCCTCATCAGAGATTTGGTTGCCTTCACAGGTCATAGGTTTAAACAGCTCAGCTTCTGCCCCGTACAGTTCATTGATATTATGATCCCTGCTTGACTGATCATCGTATGCTATCAAGATGCCACCAGAAGAACTTGCCTCTTCCGATTTGGACTTTAAAAGGACACCACAATTCTTTTGTGGCAAGTCATGGGATTTGTCTTCAAGAAGTTGATGGATAGTTATTTTATTTTCGCCAGAAAAACAGGGAAATTTCACTGCAGAACTAAGATGGGGTGTAACATGGGGTTTATCCATATCTTTACTTTCTGGAGTAAGTACAAAAGCAGCCTTCACGCTATTGTCATCTTTATCCAATTGTTCACAGGATCCCCCTTGTAAAAGAGATTTATCAACATTCCTCTGAAATTCTACCTCTCCCATAGACTGTTGTTCTTCATGAACAGGAATGCTATTGAACTTTCGCTGATTCTCTGTCATATCATAACTATTTGAGCTAGATCGTACCTTCAGTTCCACCTTCTGCACATCTGTGACTTGTGAGAATGGTTCCACCTTGTCCTTTGTGGCAGAGTTAATTGTAGATGAAACTGAGCAGCATGAACTTGAGCATTGGACATTAATATTTCCAATTAGAGAAAGGGTTCTGGAAACTTCTGATTCACTTCTGCAGGCACCAGTTCCTTCTGGTTCTTTTGAATCAACACATTGAAGAACATTTTTCTGCTGGGATTCTTCAGGGAAAATACTGAATCCATCCAACACACAATCATTTAAGTGCAATTTATTTTCCTGGAAAACCTGTTCTCCAACATAGCAGGAATTTGGAAGGTCTAGCTGTTCAGGTTTTTCATTTCCACAATCAGTTATCACCAGTTGACGATTTTCTGGAGCTGAAGTGCTCAGGTCAACATCATTCATTTCATCTATCATCCTTCCACCTAAAGCCAGCATTTGTGCATCTTCCACATGTGGGTTCCTACTCTTTGTGTGAAACCTACTACCATCATCTTTTGCTTGGTTTTTAAATCTAGAGTCAGACAAAGGATCAGACCTTTTCAATTCAGATGCACTAGAATTTTGGACCTTTGGACTGACATCTGCAACCTTCACAGAACTATAGCTCTGGATATCTTCAGAAACTTGACATTCCTTGGTGAAACTACCCGTGTTTTCCCAGATCATTTGATCCTCATCAGAAATTTGGTTGCCTTCACTGATAGGTTTAAACAGATCAGCTTCTGCCCCACGCAGTTCATTGACATTATGATCGCTGCTTGACTGATCATCGTATGATATTAAGACACTACCAGAAGAACTTGCGTCTTCAGATTTGGACCCTAAAAGGACACCACAATTCTTTTGTGGCAAGTCATGGGATTTGTCTTCAAGAAGTTGATGGACAGTTATGTCATTTTCGCCAGAAAAACAGGGAAATTTCACTGCAGAACTAAGATGGGGTGTAACATGAGGTTTCTCCATATCAAAAGCAGCCTTCACGCTATTGTCATCTTTAACCAATTGTTCACAGGATCCCCTCTGTAAAAGAAACTTATCATTGTTCCTCTGAAATTCTACCTCTCCCATAGATTGTTGGTCTTCATGAACAGGAATGCTATTGAACTTTCGCTGATTCTCTGTCATATCATAACTACTTGAGCTAGATTGTACCTTCAGTTCCACCTTCTGCATATTTGTTACTTGCGAGAATGGTTCCACCTTATCCTTTGTGGCAGAGTTAATTGTAGATGAAACTGAGCAACCTGAACTTGAGCATTGGACATTAATATTTCCAATTACTGTCCGATCATTGATCACATTTTGCTTTTTCCCAAGGGAAGAGGGCGGCCTCAATTCATGAATTGGATCTACAGAACCAACTTGCCTCAAATTAGGCATAATGCATGGCTGAGAGCTTGTCTTCAAAGGACTAGGCAAAGAAGAAGCTTTTGGCTGCAAACAATTTATCAAAAATGTAGCAAAGGAAAATCAGACATATTGAGTTGAGAAAATATCATCTCTTTTATGCAGCTGCAGAACAGTTGTTTGAAAAATACCTGATGAAAGAAACTCAGCGATGGTGATGGCATCCGTAAACCTGATGGCTTTGATGTTGGGAGCTGAGTACGTGACAAGTTCACACCAGTATGAGGAAGAGGAACTGCAGGTTTTCTGGATCTGTCATCACAGCCATATGTTGTATGACCGGTAGAAGGAAGTGCTTGTTTTGAGATCGCCTCTGGAGCTGCAGTTTTCCGGGATCTGTCATTACGGCCATATGATGCATGACCAGTAGAAGGAAGTGCTTGTTTTGAGATCATCTGCGGAACTGCAGTTTTTTTGGATCTGTCATCATGGCCATACGATGCATGACCAGTAGAAGGAAGTGTCTGTTTTGAGATCACCTCGAAGCCATTATTTGCTTCAATAGTAGGTGGACATTTTATTTTGGTTAGTGAACCCTTCACCAAGCTGGCCTGCAAAATAATGGAAATTCACAACACAGGAAGCACATACATCTTTATTAATACCAGATTGTTGACGCAGTACAAAGGAAATGTCTATAGTCACACGTATTATTAGTAGTTAATTTACAAAGACTATTACTTAAGCTTCAAGCTCTCACCACATTTCTTCTGGCTTGCCGAACAGAACTTTTAGAAGTTAAAGATTTTCCAGGAGCAACTTTTGCATTATTTGGCCCAGTTTTGTTGTTGTTCAATTTCCCTGCTGCATGAGAGAGAAGTAGTTAACAGAATATAAACAAATAATTTCCATTTGATTCAAATGTGAAAATCTTATTTCTTTTTCTATATCTATATATATAAAGCAAAAGGCAGAGAACGGTAAAACATTCAAAATACCAGAAAATGCCCTTTGTTAATGCAAACATTAAGAATTGAAATTATTAATTAAATGAGTATAATATGGTAAATTCACACTTTTTCATATTTTAAAAAATTAAAATTAAAAGAAAAATCAGATAATGGATCCTAAATTTATGGAACACAACTACCCATTATCTTTTTTAATTCTAAAATAAATTTAAAAAAAAAGGTTCTCCGCGTGTGCAGAGAAGCTAGTCCTTTAAGAAAGTACGAACATGTTAGACTATAGGACCTTCTAGAAGCAGTTAAATAAATAAATAAATCTCACTAATAAATGCAGTCAATATCTAAATATTTACCAGGGTGAGCAATCTGATTCCTCTTTAAATCATTTGCACCAACCATCACATTCTTGGAAGTCCTAGACAGCAGACAGGGATCAGGTTTTCGAACCGGTAATGTAGAAATTCTTGGTTCTTTAATCGGTGATTTCATTGTATTCACATTTGCAGGCCTTTTCAGAGTTCACATAAGTCAAGGCAAACCCTCCCAAAAATTCATTAACATAACAAAAGACTCACCAAAACTGACATATAGAAAAATTAATCAAAAGGATATGAAGAGGAGGCCAAAGGTCGAGGGCAACCACTGCGTTTTGAGCCACTTCTATTGATATCACGGGCTGAAAGCACCTTCCGCTTGGCCTAAAAATCAGAAACATGACTCCAATTGAACAATCTTCAACTTAAAGAAAACTTTCCCATCCTATAAGAGATTTGACAACTAACCGCAGAACCTGGCGCCGCATTATCTTTAGCTGATGAGTCACGCTTTGGTAATAAACTGCCACCAACAGTCCTATCTTTACTTGAAGGACTTTCCGGCAATACCTTGAATAATTTTTCTTCAATCACCTCTAGATCTTCTGAATCAGCAATGCTATTTGTGTCTTCATGGATAACTGACAGCAACCCATTAGAATTTGCACTTCCACTAATCAGGGATAACTCTTCGGAATTCAAAACACCTGACAAAAGTACCAAAATGGGAAAGAAAACAATAAACCCAGCTTTAATTTTCTTTTCTATATGAAAAAAATTAGAACAATCCAGAAACAAAACAGAACCTTCATCAGTAAAGAAGGCTCGATCCCAAGCTAGGCTTTTACGCAAATTGTATCCTCCCCCCTTCTTCCTCTTCATTTGCTGCGGCTGGAGGCTGAGTTTTTGTTCTTCTATTTTGTTTGCATTACTACCATTATTCTCTTTATCTATACTATCTCTACATGACGGAGAGCTTGGTTTTTGGGATTTCTCATTCACCACTGCAATATAATTCACAGAGTTTTCATTGTATGCCATGCAATGTAGGTCCAATTATGTTCATATACATATAAACATGTAAAAATAAATCACTAAGACGACGAATTGCACACTACAGAGCACAATTAGAGGTCAATCTGAGTCAACATTATTCAAATGAAGAGAAAAACGAAACCCTAGAAGGCCAAAACAGAGAGCAAAATGTGAAGCATAGACTCAGTGAGAGAGTAAGAGAAAACCCTAACCGACTGGCTTGGATCTGCGGGGTTGGAGAGGCGAGCAAAAGAAAATGGCGTCGTCGCTGGTGCTTTTACTTCTGTTACTGCTCGCGTCCTGGATCAATTGAAGCAGCGAATCGTCTTCTTCAGCGATCTCGATGAGAGGGACGTCGGATTCCATCTCTCTCTCTCTCTCTCTCTCTCTCTCTCTCTCTCTCTCTCTCTCTCAAAGTTTCTAGAAAGATCGAATGGGAAATGGGGGAAATGATCGAAGTAAATGGGCGTAGTGCAGAAGTCTGCAAATTGTTTGTTTGTGGATCTTAAAAATTTTGAATGGATCGACGAGCGGCAAAGGATGGATGGGGATGGAGACAAATGGACAGCGACCACGTGACTGCTGAGTCAAATTACGAATGATTCCCTTGTGGTCGAGGGGTTAAAGCTAAAGGGATGGAGGATAGTTTTGACTTTGATGATTAATGCAATTAAGTCAGCGGATTTGGTTTGATCGTTACTTGACACGAACACGAATATGATAGAATTTGTTAAACATGAGTATAAATGATTCGATTCATTATCAACCTTAGTAGCCTGATCTTCGAGATGGGGATTTGAGCAGCATGAGCTCAACTTGAATTGCTCAAGCAAATAGCGTATAACAACACAATGGTACAAATTTTGAACCTCTATGGCACCTTCGTAATATGTGTGTGAAAAACTTCATTTCTTTACAATTTAGACTATTGCTTTTATTCAAATTCTTTGATTCCAAACATGTCCCCTAAAGTTAAGCGCGATAATTACCACCTATATAATTTAGACTATTGCTTTTATTCAAATTCTTTGATTCCAAACATGTCCCCTAAAGTTAAGCGCGGTAATTACCACCTACATATCATCGCAAAGACGACGCTGAAATACTTGAAAAATGAAAGTTAACTCTTGATTATCTTCCGGAATAAAATTCATAAAGAAAGTAGCTACAAATTAAAACTGTCAAGGGGAAGAATTTCCATCATATCATTAAGCTCTTAAAGTTGAAGAACACTGTACGAATATCATGCTATTTTTCAGGCACAATGAGCTTGGAATTATCTACTTATTTATCCTTACAAAATGAATTTCTTTGAATTTGTGATTCATAAACTTATACATGTCTCAATTGTAAAGAATCCAGGACCAATTCCCAGCAAAATCAGCACTTGATGTGCATGTGTGTGTAAGCTAAACAAACTAAAATCCCAGAAACGCTACACGGTATGATGATTCCCCAGCTCCTCTTTACAAACGGTGAATCTAATTCCCCTGTCCTCTCTCATTCCGATTAGATATGAATGAAATACAAACAACGTAAATACAACTATGAAGGGAACTAACCATGACTCTTGTATGGAACCTTTTTTTTTATACCAATGATACACCAAATGAATACGAGCCAGGACTTTACATTTCTACGTCAAAATCGAGCATCTACCTCCTCTATGCCACCCGAAATGGGGCTCTCTGAATTCCATTTCAGGCTGGAGCTAGAACTCTGCCATTCTTGGTGCTTAGCTTACATATCTTCTCCTTCCAAAGAACAAGAAAACTGGTGTACAAGTGGACTAATCCTCATCCTCAGTTATGGAGGCAAAGGAAAAAGGTTTGAACTTATAGCCATCTCCATAGTAAAATTTATTTTGATATTCCACCCAATGAAGACGCAGGGCGTGAAGAAAAGCACTGAGCGTCTCCATCATGAGTAGTATGAATGCTGTTGCAAACGCAAAAACTGCTAACCCAATTAACCGGATAACAAAGTTGTCGTACCTGTTATAATTATTTTCACAAGTTCATTATTACTGATTGAAGAATACATGCACCATCATATGCAACGAGAAAAACTAGCAGTCAGAAGCACATGCATGCCATGATAGAGAATTAAAGGTTGGAACTCACCCCCAGGCAAGGAGAAGGACTTTCTCATAGAAAACGGTTGACAATTCTGAGTGGGCCAAGCTGTAATTGCAGTAACAGATATTAAAGAAAAGGGCTACCACATAGATGAAAGAAAACCACGGAATAAGCAAAAGAAAAATATATATACATACAGGTAAACTACAAAATATGTAATATGTAAACAATATAGGTATACCTCAGAGCCCATAGTCGTAGATATGATGCAGTATTTGAAACTGCACCAAGAACAAACTCTATGGAGTGTATCATCTGGTGTACAAATACCTCACTGAAATTAAACTCCTCATGATGTTGCCTCGCAGAATCAGGCTCTACATCAAGGTCCATCTCTGAGGTGCCAAGCATCCCATACGCACGACCTTGAAACCTCTGGAAAATAACATCAGGAAAACATAGATATCATATCTTCTCAAGCTCCTTATATCTCCCCTCAAATACCTTTAAGTGAGTCAAAGACAAGTCTATACCACACATAAATAAACCAAGTCCACTAATTGAGGATACTAATCACTAGTAATCACATTTTAAACAACATTTACAAACAGAAACGTCAAAGAAAATTTTGGCTTTAAGTTTATTCCTTTGCTGGTTTTCTTAAAAATCCAAAACTGAAGCCTAAGCATGTTACACCACAGTACCTCCGTATGAAGCTTCTTCAAAATAAAAGGTTTTGGAAAGAGCATCCATGGAACTGCGATTAGAGCCAAAAGCAACAAAATGATCTGCAAAAACAGAGCCCTGTTAACCATAACATAAATTGAGAACATAAGCAATTATATATACAAAGTAACAATAAAGAGGAGATTAGAACTTGTGCCTGAAGTGGTCTTTGGCCCCAGAACAATTCATTTTCACCAAGATCATCAGTCGGACTTAAGAACATGTAAATCATTACATGATAGAGGTCCGCCTGAGAGCCGGTGCACCACTTGATGACAATAAGAAGTGAAAGATATCCAAAAAGGCTGTTAAGAAAGATCACCTGCGGCACAAACTGGTACCTAACAACAAGATGCAGAACAAGTCAAACGCTTGTGCACTTCATTTGAAAGTAATACAACAATGGGAAAAGTGAAAAAACAGGAGACCCACTTTATATCAATCGAGCTGCTGAAAAACCGTGCATTGAAGTAACTAAGTAGAATTCCTAAGTTCATTTGCGCCACACCCAACAAAATCGACATTTTCATTTTGAGAGAATTCAAGAAAGGCAGCTCTGAACGACTTCCACGCCAACTGGGATCCACACCAAATGGGTATGGATCTCGGTACTTGATTAAACCAATAGTGTACGCCTCACTGCTCAAAAGAAGACAAATTTATGATAAGTAGTTAGTTTTCTGCTGAGGAAAGTCATAAGTTCAGCCAGCATAAACAATGGGAAGATTTTTAAGAGTTATAAAATAGAGGTGATTGAGAAACCGCCAGACAACATAGTGCCATAAATGCCTAGTGAAGGACAGCTATGATTAGCAGATCAAAGTAAGTTCCAACAACAGCGATACACATGGCTTGGATAGATATCGTATCTTCTCAAGCTCCATGCACCACAGACCAGACAGATGCTCGAAAGTAACACACCACCAAAGTCATCAATCAAGATGGGGAGAATCCCCATGGATTGAATGAGGGACGACCCTAGCGGCAGCAGGCCATAGGAATGAACTCTAAAGGAGGCAATGAAACCACCAATCCATCCAGAATGATGATGATGATGAAAAATAACTATTAGATTAATAAATAATTATTAAACTTTTAATAGGAAGATTCTGTGAATCTTATAAATATTAGATTATTCGAAAAAATATTAAAAATTCTTAAAAGGATTGATCTCTAATTAAGCAGAGGTGTGATAAAAGCCATGCAACACCAGACTAGCAGTGGGGTTTAAGCACATAGATTCCAGAAACCCCAATCTCTAAAACAAGAGGTCAGAGTGGTATATTGTTGAACACAAACTCATTCTAAACAACCCAGCTGAAGGAAAAATTAGAGATTGAAGATTTAAAATAGAGAGCTTACCTGCAAGCGGTATCTCTACATTTGTAAGCAGACCCACCAAATATGTGAAAAGGAACAGAGAAGAACTCATTGTAAATCAACCCACAGTAGATTGAAAATAGGGACATCAAAAGAAGTACATATCGCCCACCAAATAGCATCTCCATAAAGCTCCCAAGTTTCTGGTAGGAAGTAATATAAAATTTCTTAGTAAGACAAGTGGAAAAAACACAATTCTCTTTCACGTGTTAAATGCATGTTATGTTCTTTCTAAACACCAGAATCATAACAAATATTAGTTAAAAACGAAAACTGAAAGAGAACTATCCTACTTTTTGCTCCATTTGAAAGAAATTATTGCCACTGTTGCTGTTATAAGTATTATTATTTGATACTGTCATCATTACCACAGTAAGACCACATCATTCCTCCATAAATAAACCATGAGATTGTGAATCTAGCTCAGGATATTACGTTGGTGCTAGCTAAATCTTTGCTGCAGGATTGGTTATATTATGAATCCTTGGATAACAAAAACCGCAATCTCTATTATATTAAATCTTGCTGAATAGCATAGACACAGTAACGACGACAACCAGAAAAAAAGTTCAGGGTCAGTGGTACTAGTGGACAATATTGGTTATGGCTAGGGTTGCAACATATCTGTTGACAACTTCTGGGGAGAGCGAAAGATACTTTTAATTGCAGCTGATCGAGTCAATGCCTATGAACTGGAAAATGGTACATGTTGCCGAGCAGCTTGAAGAAGTTTTGACTTAACTAAAGCAATATAATTCATTAGTGATCAAGTATAACGTCTTCAGATAGTACACTCCTCTTAAATTTAAATGCTAGAAGTTCACAAAAAGGGCATACCTGAGCACTGAGCTTACTTTCACGAGCTATAAGAATTAATGCTCCCAGCAACAAGCATATTCCATGACCCCAGTCCCCAAACATCACCGCGAAAAGAAATGGAAAAGTAACACAAGTGTAAACAGCAGGATTGGCTTCTTGATATCTTGCAACACTGCCAAATGATAGTATAGCTCGTCACCTAAACAACTTATTATGTTGATTCACTTATCATTTTCCCTTTGTAATGAAAAATGCTAACAGAAATACTTAAAAGGAGAATTGTTTCCTCATCATGTACTTTGCAACTGGCTCTCGCTCTTAATTTTTCTTTTTCATTTTTCTCCTATCAATTATGAAGATTTAACCCAGTAGTTAGAACACCAAACTTTCTAGAATTTCAGCTAATTTTTCAAACGAAGTTGAAAAGTTTAATTCCCCTATTTTAGGTGCGGGCAAAGGAAATACAGAATATTCCTCATTATTTAGTTGTAAAGTAACAACTTGCAGCAAATGCAAGCCTCCCATCCCATTCCTCGACAAACTCCTGACACATCCAAGCTCCACCCTTAAGTAGGTTGGACATGTAAAGCACACAATGTCTGATATTTAATTTGCTTGTTAATTGAAGGACAAAAAATCTATGTAGTAAATCACTTGTGCCAGCATGCATTGGCTTTCCTTCCTAATGTGTCAACCATAGACACCTACCAATATGTGAGAAGTGTACAAACAGAATGTAATTTCTAATCCAAAATATTCATTATTTCTAAGAACATTTACCCACTGTTCACCATTAATTGACCATGATTTCACGAGGAAAATGATGCACCAATTTAAAGACAATTTCCTTTCATTAACAGAAGAAATGATAAAGTATCTAAATATCATATTTTGACTAACCCATATGCATCAACAATTTCCTGAAATGCACTCGTGAAGCGGTTGGTTCTGAAATATGTAGGAGGTGATTCTATTGCATCCATCAGGTGAAATATTATTCCCACTTGCGAATTGCTATCAAATGTAGCACGTTGCAGTGCCTCCTGAATCTGTTCAACCATAAAATTACTACATAAATATAACACAAGTTCGCAAAATTCATCTACAATCAAAAAGTATTAAAGTAACAACATAGTAACATACCCTCAATGATGCAGGAGCATCTATTAGATTTTCCTAATCTAAGTGGGCATCAGCCAATAAGGCTAAGTTCTAGTTATATTAAATTAATAGGTTATTTTATTACTTGTTTTCCTATTCTTACTAGGATTTGGTTTAATTTCCTGTTTAGGTTTTAATTTCCTTTGTCAATTAGGGTTTCTTATTAAACTAGGAATAGGAATTCTAGGCTGGTGTATTCTAGTATAAATAGGCTATTTAGAGACTCTTGTATTGAGTTTTGTTGATGAATATAATTTCAGACGTTAGTCTATAGAGTTTCTGTTGGGATTTTGCCCTAGAACTCAATTATCTTCGTTCCAACTTCGATTCTACTGCTTTATCCTTCTATTCTCTGTATTTTGGGTATGTTTGGGTCGCTGGACAGCAGCTTATAGCCGCTGCCCTGCATCACTCAACAAAGCTAAAAATTAGATATAGGTACTCACTAGCTTTTTTTTTATGCGAGTCCAATGGTATCTTTTGGATCTTGCCTTATTTTATGGCTTTTTGGAAATATCAGTAATGCCCTTTAAGTATTGAATATAATAACTTGTATATTTACGTAAATTCTAAAACTCACATATTTCATTTTACTTTACGTAAAAGTTGTATTTTGGGAAAAAAAAAATCGTAAATATCTATCAAAGACAACTCATGATAACTATAACATTATGTATTACAAATGAACTGATGTACCTGTAAGACAGATACATTATTAAAATGAATGATTGCATCAAAAGTGAACTATAGGGGGGCATAGGCTAATCTATCCATGGTACATGCATTTTCTAGAGATGAAAAAAGGCCTTATGTTGCGTTAGGATAAGGGATCTGTATTACCGTTACATAAATTATTTTTTCAAACACAACCTTAGGTTCTTCACGGGCCTTGTTTCATAGATATTGACGAATGTTGGCAAAAAATACAAATTCTATGCAAGACTTGGGCATTTATAGACGCATTGTCGATTTTTACAGAAAAATGTACAATCAACTCATAAAATTATGCAGACACGTCATTAATGAGAGACCTAACCCAAAAGAAACATTGGACTTGTGATACTGCAACAAAACTATTGATGAACCTAGTGACAGATGTTACCTTAGTTTTTGCAAATATAGGACACCAGCCCTCTCCAACAAGACATTTTTTTGTAACATCAAAGTTAAGCATGTTCAATGTATCATATACAGCTTTCTCCCTTCTCACCTGGTAAAGAGTAGAAAACACGACATAGTTGTCACTATCAGGATAAAGCTAAACCACTCCAATTCACACAAACTCTTAGTCATATATTTGATCAATATTTTTTGTCGCTCAAGCCAAAAAAATAACAATTAACAAGAGGCAAGCAGGACCAATATCTTACCATGTTCATCCATTTCGCTAGGTGAAACCCAACAGAAGTAAGGGCCTTATTTCTGTGACGGATCCCTGCATCCAAAGTTGCTTCCAATTCAGCAAGACGTGATGAAACCTGCAACCGAAAACCTGAACTTTCAAAAAGATAGAATAGAGTATTTGTTGATACTATCATCAAGACCCGCAAATATATGCTATCACACGATAAAACAAATTAAAAGGAGTAGTTGAAGATAATTATGCTATCAAGCTCACATCAGATATACACAAACATTAAAGCAGAACAAAGTTTTGTAAGATGTTTGAATAAAAACAAGGATTCCATCTTTAAGCTTGAAACTTCATTCCAATTAAAGAATAAATGAACTGCCAACTATCTCAACTGAATGCTTACTTCTCTAGTTATTTGTCTCTGCTTAGTTATATCTTCAGGAACAGGATAGCAATTTGCACCAAATGCCTCACAAATTTTCAAAATCTTTGTTTTTGCCTGCAGCCCTGAGAAGAACACTACAAACACTGTTTTCTCAACCTGCACAACTTTCAGGAATTAGTAAAAGAAGCGAATAAATATTCTCATTCTACACATAACAAAGCTCAAAGAAACCGCACCAAAAACAGGAAGAAAAAAATACAATTTTTATAATACTGAGGCAGAAGAAAACCATTTCAGTAGATAAAGGATCCATGATCTGTTCATCTGCTGATGCTTGATTAAAAAGCATATTGCCCCTTGTAGCACGAAACAACATCCTCTCGAACCTGAGAGCTTTGGATTTACAAATAATTCCACTAACAAAACTCAAACCAGATTGGTCTGATGGCCCGGGTCTGATATCCTGTAAAATGCATAATCAATTACAAATGAAATCATAGCAAAAGGTTTTGCACCAAGAAGACATTAGATTTAGAAAAGCATAATTAACAAGTACCTGCTCAAGTAATGAAACTGAATCACCATAGTCATCATTTGAGTAAACATTCTCATCTAGTTCTCTCTCCTCTGGAACCGCATGGCTATTACTTGAAACAAGAAAGCCACTTGCCTGAGATTGCCGACATGAAGATATATAATGAGGCACAGGAAAGAGCATTTGAAACTATAATTAAGGTGTACTAAAGGAAAGAGAAGCAGACAGGAGGCTGCTAATACATCAGTAAAGGCTAGTTACCTTTTGCAATACTATCTTGAATTCCAGGAGTTCATTATATGAATGTTGAAGTCTATCACTATTAGAGTTCATTTCAATTAGCTCATGCTCGTGCTCAGCAAGTTGTATCTGTAATAGATACATACAATTCAAATTATCAGTTTACAGAATTAAATGCTCTCTAAATAAGGGCGCAATTGGTTAGTGCCATTTTGGACTACAAGTTTCAGGTTCACACTACTGCTGCCATTATAAAAATCATAGCCAAAGGAGGGAGAGATAAGGGGTAACAGTAAATGCACCTCTAATTCCTCCAACTCAATATCTGCTTGCAAAACAGGATGTACAGATGAAAGTAGACCAGCTTTACTGATTTGATCTCTGAAGAACCGCAGCTTTCTTGACATCTCTGCACATCGCTTTACCTGTGGAAATCCTCACAATGATATAACAACTAAACTTAAGTATGATTGGCTACTGCGATCAACATCACTATCAACTATCTACTATAATCAATAACTTTTCAATAAACTCAATCTCAACCTACAAATCTCATCAGTTTAATAATTTATAGAGATTACCTAAACAGGGTTCAATTTGCACAGATTCCAGGTAGATAAAAAGACTACCATAGAATACTATTTCTAGTTAAAGATCAATAGCTTTTTTTCCTCTGGTAAATAACAAGGAAAGTGGGGCATGCACGATCAAGGTTTAATGTTGGAGAATGTTGCTTTTAATTAAGCAAGTAAAGCTGGCAGACATGTTAGACACAATACACAAGGAAGTGGAAAACCAGGCATTGAATATACAACGATATAGGGAAAATTATACTTATGCCTCTTCAACTTTGGAATCCATCCCACTTACCCCCTGAAAAGAACAATTGACTCAATTTCCCCGTATAAATTTGTTGCACCATGGGTCTTCTGTGCAACTCCATCCAAGATTCTGTTGGACTCCCCTAGTATTAAACTTCCACATTTAAAAAAAAAAATTGGCTGAAGTTGCGCAAAAGACCCATATTGGAACAAATTCATAATACAGGGGGGAATGTGAGCCAATCCTTTTCTTATGGAGAAAATCCAGACACCAAAAAATTGAGGGGCATAGATTTAGTTTTTCCAGTATATAAGAATATGCACACTAAAAAGTGAAAGCATGAAGTCTCTAAAACACCAGCAATTCAAGAAATGAAACATTGAAATATCATATTAGCAAAATATTCCATTGAGAAAGATAGATGCTGCAGTCCAAAACATTCAGATTGCAACTGTAGTTCTAATAAAATCTGAGTAGATACCTGATTAACAAATGTTCGTTGGAAAGGACTTTTATCAGCATTTAACTGCAAAAAAAAAGACAAAAATAATATGACCCTGAGTATATCTGAACGAAAACTAAAAAGACTATATTGCATATTCATTTAAAGAAATTATAATGAGAGGAGACCAGCAAATAAAGAACAAAGAATTTCAATGCTTTTCATAAGATGTCTCATATACAATACAAATTCAGGTGTTCCACCAATAAATACAGAGTGTTGCAGAAAATGCGAACTCAACCTATTCTGATGGAAATATGCACTCTCTGATTCTAACACAAGAAAGTATGAATAGCCATCACTCAGGGGCATTAAAAGTACTACTTTATAAACAACACTAAAAAGGGTTTGGCATTGTTTAATGATTTATAGTTACAGAAATTGTTTAAACCCAACTAGATATGGAAAGTTTGAGCATACTTCTCTGGTTTGGTTTCTAAAGAACTTAGAAGTTGTCTTTTTCTATTATCCTATTAGATTGCAAGCTGCTGTGGATTGAATATATTGGTTTCAACACTTCAAAACATACTCAAATTAGACAAATTTCTCTAACTATTTCTTTCAAGCCTTGAAACAGTTAGATGATACAAGTCCAGTACATACTCAGTTTAAAGAGAACTATAAAATATAAAAAATCCTCAAACCACTTTTAGACAATGTATTATTTCAAGCTTTCAGTTTCAGGATTTAGCTTATTCCTTTCCTGCCAACTGCCATTAGAATCGGAAACACCGCCACCACACTAATCAAAATGGAGATTTGATTTTTTGGAATTACTAAGATAGATTTTGACAATGTATAATTTGAAGTCTTTCAATAGGTAGGTGCTACAGCAAGCCCAGTACATCTTTAAAGAGGACATCAACAAAAATTCTCTAACGACTTATGAGTTACGATTATTAGCATAACAGACTTTATGATAGTAACGATGGACAGACTCACTTTTACTATATCATTTTGAAAATTATAATTAGTAGTACAACTAATTGTTCAGAATCATCCACAAAATTAATTGCATAATGGGTAATGCAAATAACTCTGCTTGCGTGATCAATAAAGAAAAACTGGGTACAGGAAGATTATAAGTGAAGATAGTTTCACAAATACATGTGGATGTGCAGGGCACCACCTACACGGACAGCATAAAACCGTTGGCAGAATTGGGCTTGTCAAAACAAATCAGTTCCAAAAACTCAGTCAAGCTTGGAAAATGGAATATGTGAATATCACATAATACCAAAGGATAGCCCAAGTATCCAAGACCTAGGGAAGCATCATATTAAAAAGCCCAAAAGTGTTTCAGGCAAAGCCACAGAGGTCCCAATACTTCACAGACCCAAAAGTACAGGTTTTTTTTCCATCAAATGAAGTTAGCAAACCTGATCTAAGTGATAATAGGATATAAGCATTACGGAAAGACAACTCAAATGGATTATATAACTGAAACTTAAAATTCAAATACCTTAATTGAGAGGAAGATGTAATTTATGTAATTGTGAAGTGGATTAATCTGGTATAGAGACTTAAAAATTTATTCACAAGTGCGAGAACTTAAATTTAGTACGTAATTATTCAAATTAATGAAAACATGCGGTTGTATATCTTGCACAATGAGGGTAAGGCATCCTTTACCTTTAGGATACTTACATGATACCGAACATTTCTCAACCTACCCAGGCAAAATACCATTAGGAATGCAGGAGGATTTTTCTTGTTAAAATCAAGCAAAATAGGCCCCCATGCAAACCCCTCCTAACTGGGAATATATGCAATATAACCAGATCTAAAGTACTCTCAAATACAATGTGCGTGTGATACAAGTAAAATATGCTCCTGACCAATTAACCGAACAATCAAGGAACCATAATGATAAATCTCAATTCCCCAATCGTGCCCCAAAAAAAATCTAAACTTCGGTAGAAAACTAAACAAATCAAAAACTTTCAGAAGTAAATTTCTCAATTGCTGACTGGTATCTACTCAACTACTTAATTTAATCAAACTGAAGCAAAACTCTCATTTATCCTAAACCAATCAATCAAACCTCTCACTTCAGATCACTAGAGACACAGAGAGATGCCAAATCTAACACAACTCACGAAGACCGAGTCGTCGGATCTGAGTTCTCGAAAACTTACGTCTCGGAATTGGAGCAGGCCGAGTTCGCCGAGATAAGAAATGGCGCGGTGGGCAGACTCGACGGGGATGATGAGCTGGACGAAGGTCATCTTCTCGGAGCGCATCAGATCCATGGCTGGTAAGTTGTCGATGAACTTCTCCATTTTCTCTGCAACCAAACAGAAACTGATTTTTTTTTTCTTTTTCTCTTTCTTCGCCTCTGGATCTGTAACTCTCTTTCAGATCTGAAACTGAAAACTGCCTCTCTCTCTTTCTCTCTCTCTCTCTCGTTTTCTCTCTCTACGTGAGTGTGTGTGGTTTTAGTGCGTTATTCCGAGGTTTTCATTTTTCGGGTTTTTGCTTTTCTTCTTGCCAACTGCCATTAGAATCGGAGAATTCGCATCACTTTCCATGCCCGATGCCAAGTGATGTTGAAAATAATATTATTTTGACAAAGGAAATATTATTTTTTTTTTTTTTTTTTTTTTTTTTTGTTTGTTTTCAACTAAAAATAATTTCAAGGTTGGCGTAGAGCCAAAGTTGGTTAAGTGAAGTCCTAGTCCGCACCGAACTTTCCACGTTAATTAACATGTATTAGGTTCCAATTAAATCCATGTTGTGTCCAAATGTTGTATAATAGTAGGCATGTGAACTCTAATTTTATTTGTATTTTAATGGATTATTGTTTTACGTATTTATCTTTTTCAAATGAAGTATTTATGTTTGAAAATTTCTCTTAAATAAGAGGATTTTTGGCCAACTTTAAAATTTAACCATAATGGCTCAATAGAAAAAGGCTTTGAATTGCAAACAAGTGTTCCCATGTTTGAATCCCACGACGCTTGGTAACGCTTAAGGGAATTCTATATCAGCCCCAATATATTGAAGACACCCACTAAATTTTGAATATGAAAAATTAGTTTGCTCTAACATAAAATGACTATTGAGGTCAAAGAATTTTTAAATGTAAAAATTATTTTTGTGACAAAATTCCAATCCAAGGGCCCATATTTGGTAACTCACACCCATCATCTTCTTCAAACTCTCATATTCACCCTCATTCCACTCATTATATGCATAAAAATCACAAATATTGACAACAACTAGTTATTGTTTACAAAATATAGTGTCATATCTTTTTTTAATATAAGAGATAGTCTAAACTACAAGGGGAATGAAGTTTTACACACACTATCAAGGTATCATATAGATTCAAACTTGAGACCACTAATCTGCAAATAAATATTTTTTTTTTCATTATGCTAGATCCCGTTGACCAAAAATGATATCACTTTTAAGTTCATACATAGCATGTAAAGTAATAGTCAAATATTAGTTTTGTTTCCATCTTGAATTGTAATATCATCGAAGAATGCACATGCTTAGTAAAAGACATCACATTGATTGTTTGTTGCATAAGACATGTGGTTTGTATTTGGATTCAATCAAAAATACTAGAAATCAAATTCTCAACAATCAAAATATGAAAATTCAGTTTTAGTATAAGATACAGTTTATATCAATATTGATACCACATTTAGGCACGTCCCTATGGGTGGGCTTGGGCCAATCCCTTTTAAACTTCAACATGCCTTGGCCCAAAAAAAAAAAAAAAAAAAAAAAAAAAAAAAAAAAAGAACCCCCCCCCCACAAGACTGCTAACCTAACCAACGCCAAAAAATTTAGAGACAGCTGACCTGATAAAGAACTCTAAATTCAATGATGTAAAGAATGCGATAAAATACTTTGTTTTAAAGTAACTAAAAAAGTCAAACAGTCCACGCTTGATTCGAGTTTTATACATACAATTTAGACAGCATAAATAAAGTCCACATGGCTTTCCATATGTGTATATTAAACGTCATGATACCCATTTTGAACCGTGCAATGAAATTCTCTAAGAAGGTTTGTAAAATAAGCAAGCGTATTTGATATATATTCTCATTGTTGGTAGTGTCGATACCGTAAATGTAAAGGGCGTGTAAAGGAGGTGTAGTCTAGATATTTATGTGCATTTAGCATGAGTTGTGCTAAATAGAGTGTTTCCTTTCTAACTTCTACTTTGAACTCTTTAATTATTCAATAAATTTTTACGTTTCATTTGAAAGCTTGATACTCCAAAACGAACATCATACACTTATTTTATCCGTTGTATAAACACAAAAGAGAATTGTAAAATGACTTTTATTTTTGTAAATTATTAATCCCATTTTACAATGAAAAGAAAACTTCAAAAAAAAATAAAAAAATTAGAAGTTGGTGCTCTTCTCTAAGCACTATGGCTAGTGGCTAGTTGACAACTTGGCATAGTGCACCACTATGAGTGTCATGGCCAATTAATCACAATTTAGGAGTCTAAGAACTCTGGTAGCCCAAACTAGGTCCAACAATTATTTTTTGGTCGGAGATATATATAAGCAAGCGATTTGGATCTCATTGCAAGTCAAACTAAAATACAACACTACAATTGTAAAAATTGAAATTATAAGGACTGAAATGAAAAGGGGGTATAAAAAAATACGTGGGCCAAAAGTAACGAAGATTAATAAAGCAACCCAATTTGTCTCTTATAAATAAATAAAAACCCCATTTGTCTCTCAACTCGTGTGACGGTGTCCGTACAAAGATTCAAGCGCGAGAGGGCTTCGTCTTCTCAATCTTAACCAAACGTCCTTGAAATCGCTCTGTAAGTTGCCCTACCTTCTCTCTTCTCAATCGTTTATAAATCTGTTGCCTTGTTCTTTGCATCAAAATCGTCATCGAACCCTGAGATATAAAATCTCTAATCTTAATTATATTTAAGCAATTCAAGAAAAAGAAACAAGAACCCTTAGGTTGTTTAAGCCAAACTGATAGTGAGGTCCGGAATTTCTCTTGCTTTGGTTGGGATTTTATTTTGGAGCCAAATAACTTTTAGTGAAAATTGTACTCGGTGGAATGGGAAACTGAGCTGGGTTTTGTTATTTGGGTGAATTTTTGGTGGTGGGTTGCGTTGATTTCTTATTGAAATGGTATAGGGTTACCCCTTTTTCAGTTCTGGGGCACACGCTCACACAAGCAATTTTCTATTCTGCTATATTGTGCTCTAGATTTCTTCAACCTTTTTCCACCTCAGAGAGCCGAAAGAACTGTATATTAGTACGGGAGGTGGTATTGAGTTCAAGATTTGATAGAATGAATTGTAGACCGCTTTCGTATGCTGTTGTTTTTCTGCTAAGTTGGTTGTTTGTGAATAAACCGGTTGTGTAAAAGGTTTATGCAATTGTAGTATTTTGATGCCAAAGAGTGGTTGCAAAATCCAGCAAAGGTGAATGGTGTTCCTCCACTTGGTAAGAAAGAATATTTGGTTTATGTTAATCCATATGGGAGGACTGGTATTTGGAAATGTTGTGCCACTATTTGTCACGGGGAAAAAACGTAGATATTCCGTTTAGGAACGCAAGGATATGTTGGTATGTTTGATGGCATTCTTATGCAAAGGGCAATGAATTTGTATATTTCGTTATTGACTGTTGGTTGAATGCATTTCGTTCAAGAAGCTGAATTTGGGAAGATAATGTTTGCGATTTTGTCTTTCTTTTCATAAATTAAGTGTTTCAATTGGAAGATGAGTGTTCCTGTGTATAGTGGCACCAAGGACGGTTGTTGTGATATAGGAGAGATCAAAATCTAAGGGGGCCAGGGCCACTCCAGGCCTAGGAGTGGCTCTGCCACTAGTTGTGAGGTTAGAGTTGATGAGGGCCACATTTAGAGCTTGCACAGGATGGTCCTGGTGTGAGCAACTGTCTGACTATCACATTATTGTTACTTCAATGGCCTATTTCTATCAATTTCTTACGTTTTTCATTATTATGTTTCTAAAGTATCGAATCCTTGCTTTCTATATGATGGCCTAACTCGGGTTTTTGAATTTTGTTTGATCAGGAGTACATAAACATTATCTACCAAATGGGAAAAACCAATCCCGATGAAAAGATTCTCAGCTACAATGATGTTGTACTCCGACGATCAGACTTGGATATCCTCAGTGGCCCATATTTTCTCAACGATCGAATAATTGAGTTCTATTTCAGTTATCTATCATCGTGTTCTGAGGAGATCCTGCTGGTTCCACCTTCGATTGCATTCTGTATAATGAATTACCCAGTTGGTCAAGGCCTAACGGAGTTCCTAGAACCTCTTCATTTGCCTGAGAAAAAACTGGTAATCTTTCCCATCAACGACAATGATGATGTGAGTGAAGCTGGAGGCGGGTCTCACTGGAGCCTACTTGCATTTGAGAGAAACGCTAACAAATTTTTTCATCATGATAGCAATAGGGGGATGAATAGTATCCACGCCAAACGACTTTACAACGCTGTTGTTAGCTTTATGAGTGTCTCCGGTTCTGCAACTAAGCCGGTTTATCAAGAGTGTAACTCTTCACCACAGCAAATGAACGGTTATGATTGTGGCCTTTATGTGTTGGCCATTGCAAGGGTTATATGCAGCTGGTATGGAGAGAAAGACGAAGATGGAGATAAAATGTGGTTCTCTGCTGTGCAGGAGCAGGTTACCCCAAATGTTGTTGCCAGAATGCGAAATGAGATCCTCGGGCAGATCAGAGATCTCATGCCCATTAAGTGAGGTTTGTTTACGAAGTGAGAGAATGTAAAAGGGAACAAGAGAGGAACTGATGTTTTGGGAAGTCTTGAAACACAAAGTAGTTTATTAGATAGATCTGCTTGCTTGATACAAGACGATTGTAGAAATCCGTTCGGTTCCTTTATTTTTTTGATATGAGATGTTTGTAGAATTCTTCTAGAACATGCCCACTTCCCTTGGTTCTTGGACCAGGAACATAAGCACACTGGCTAGTAGAAGCATTTGATGGCATTCTAGAGCTTCAGAAACTCCATATTTATAGTACTCTGCAGGTTTTCCTATAGTTTTTTGTGTTCTCTGAACATCTCTATGCTCCAACAAAAAGCTGAATTTTGCATGTTGACCAATTTTCTCTGCTCCTTGTAGGTGGCAGAATAGCATTGAATGAAGGATTTTAAACTATATGTTTCAAATTTTCAAAAATAATCTAGACATTGAAACTAGAAATTTTAACGATGAACGTCATATTGATGATAATCAATATATAATAATTATTTAAACTTGGTAAACAAGTCCAATTTAAAATATACAAAAACACTTGACAAACAAGGGGCAGAAAATCTGAGAAGATGACAGCAACAAGAATGCCGGCGTGATGACTAAATTTTCTCAAGAATAGAGGAGGGAAACCTAATAATTAAATGAAAAAAGTTGAGAGAAGACACTACAAAATTGCATCCACGTGCAATGTCGACCAGCATCTATTAACAATACATTATACAACTTCTGTACTTGCAGGGGCGCACAACAGCAAAGAGTAAAGTGAGCTTCAGAAATATTTGTGATGTAATTTGGTCAATTTTATTCTTGAAATTTGACAATGATAGAAGACGAAAGCTGCACAAGGAAAATCATCCACATTTCAAAGATACCTTCATAATCCATGCAACAGCAAGACCAATGATAAAAAGAAAAATAAAGTGTCAGAAATCAAACGCTCACAGAAGAGAATTGAAACATCATAAAAAATGCAAAAACATCTGCACCCTAAATTATGCTGTAAATTTTACATTATCACAACACTCTTAATATATAGGTAATATTTTCTACATAATAAAGAAAATGATGGAAGGATCAAGTATAGAGAGTTGATATTAGGAAGAAAAAGATATACCTGTCACTTTCTTTTGCATACACTTTGTCATAACTATTTATAAGGAAACTACATCAAGCTACATCGAGGTTTAGGAAAATTACAGGAACTTTTTACTATTTCAAAAAATCACATATGCTTAGTGTATTGTATCAAGGGATCTTTGTGTAATTTGTTAAAATAGGTTTCTGAAATTTCAGTAAACCTCAAGAGAGCTCTGTGTAATTTACTCTTATTGGATTTAATGTTTAAAAAAGAGATAGTAGCCCTTTTTATAGGTGAGTACAACCTTCCACTTCATTAAAAAGACCATTACTGAAATGGGAGGAAGTTTCTAATAATTGTAGGTCCCACCTTGAAATTATAAGTATGGACAAGAGAGAACTTGTAATTTTAATTTTGTTTTAATGGAACATATGTGACTTTGTGGTGCAACCAAACCTTGAAGGGCTCAAACTTATATGAAAGGATTCACAAGTTACTCTTACCACATTTGTCGGTCATTCATATCATGCTTCTATCCATCGGATAACTCCCTAGCACCCGCAAGAATGTGGCGAATTCCTGCGAAGGAAATTTAGCGTTGAGGAAAAATTTCAACTGAAAAAACACACTACCCCCTCCCCTCCCCTCCTCCCCCGCCCGCCCCCCCAAAAAAACACCCACCCATAATCACACACACACAACAAAAAGAAAAAAGAACCTTCAGATGCCTAAGGGCATTTTGTGCACTTTGATCAGCCATTGATGCTTCAAAATCCACATAAAAAAGATAGTCAAAGTATCTGCCATTATTATCATCAGACGCTCGCAGCGGTTGCTTCCGCAAGGGACGGCTTTCAATCTGGTTAACGAAACAAATTAAGAAATCAACAGTTGCACCAAGCAACTATAGGAAGCCTCATAAAAAAAAATCCAGGACCAACCTTTGTGAGATTGATTTGACGCAAAGCAAAAACAGCAAGCGCCTTAAAAAGGACCCCAGGGCCTTCCTCTAGTGAGAAAACTATACTCGTCTATAAATTCAATAACCGTGTGATTAACAAAAAAATTAATTTATAAAAGGAGGTCTACCTACAGTAAACTGGATACCAATGTATTCAAAAACCAAAACAGGCTTAACCTTGAATGGCCTATCTGTGCCGGGAATAATAGGTTCTCTTGCAAGCATTAGAAACCGGGTCACATTGTCACAATCATCCTGTACATAGAAGCATATAAATTATCACTGGAGTGAAGTATAAATCATGAATACACCAAATGTCCTTTGCGACAAACCTGAATATCCTGTGCAAGTATCGTCAGACCATAAATGTCTGCAGCTGCTGAGCTAGCAACAGCTCCTGTATCTTTTAGTTTGTGGAAAGCAACATGCTACAATTTATGGAGTACACAGTTAGCGACACCAATATAAAAGCCATGATAGTTACAATTAGGTGACAGTACTAGACAATTTAATTAAGAAGATTGTAGTTTTATCTGTAGCTTCAAATAATGCAACCTACTTCAACCATACTGGACCAGAAGGCCCCCTGAGCTGAGAGTAATGAAAGTTGTTCCACTTAAAATAGGCAGGCCCCATGCAATGACTGTATTGAAGTGGATCCACTTAAATAGACACCCAATTATAGTTTTTGGAGGGAAAGATAGAGAAGAAAAACTCCGAACACAAACACAAATACTATGCACAAATCCTGACTCATGAGGTAACTTGGTATCAGGACTTAATGGACTAGAAAATCAGCTGCCCAACTACCTGATCAAGGGCATACCTTTGCTGCACCAGCAGTATCATCCACCGCTTCTCGGACCAATCCCAACTTGGTTAATGTGTGCTCACACTGAGAAAGAGCCTGAAATATGACTAGTTATTGGGGGGAATCATGAGAAAATACTAGATGGACAGAGAATCTAGGAGCACTGCTTTATATACCTGTGGATGGCTAAGAACCCTTTTCAGGTCTTCCACTTCAACACCATGATTAGCCAGTAAGCAATGCCGAACTGCAAGTTTCACTTCCCCTACTATATGCAACCTGTGCCTGAGTAAAAGGTCGTAGTTTCTGTGGATGCTTCCACCTAATGAATTCTCAATTGGTAAGACTGCTCTGTCCACAAGCCATCGTTCAACAGCCTGCATTTGAGTTGAATGGGGAAAGAATAAAACATTTACAGTTAATCCCATATTTAAGAACATGATTTCCATTATTAGACAGTTTAGTAGTTTTCCTATTAGAGATGAAACTGATAACCATACTCCTTGTGGCATCAAATATGCACAAGTCAAAAACACCACGAAGGGGAAGAAATATGGAGCGTACAATATTTTCCTCAAAACTCCTTCCCTACTTTAACATATTGAGGTAAATTTGTCCATCATTTTGATTGTACCAAAGACCCTTCTTCTATATACAAAAGGCTTCTAACTCCAAATTTTTGCATAATCAGAAGTTAGAGTAATTCCAAGGGAAGGAGAACTAAATTTCACCATTCCAAAATCATGCTATCAGTTACTTTACTTCTTACAAAATCAAGCCCCTAAAGGAAAAACCTTTCACATGCAGCCTGACTTAGCAATGTCCAGTGGTTTAAAGTCCATGAAATCAAATGCAGTTTCCCTTAACAATTACTAACTGTGGAGCCTCATGATCATTTCATTTCCACATTCCATATGCATTGTAGGTGAATACTCATTAACAAATATTGAAAACCTAAAATGAAAGTTAGTTTCACAGTTTGATCCAACAATGAGAAAAATGATGATGATAAAAAAATTAGTAAGTATTCACTTCAAAAGCGGTATCAAATTGTTCACAAGGCACTGCTTCGCAGTTTGGATATGCTTTCTCCGCAGCTGATTCACTATATGCTCCACGAACCCCCTGAAATTTCAACATTCAACCATTTATAAACAATTGAATTAATTTTATTCAATATCAATCCCAAACTCAAATAATTTGAGGGAAAATTAGCATTAACCAAATTCATCACACACATGCATATGAAAATGATCAAATGAAAACCTTAGTTGAAGACCCACAAGTTCCAGCCAGAAAATAAAGTGATGACTCTGGTTGAGTATATTAACCATTTAGAACAAATTTACAAAAGCCTTGTCTAAGGATATACTTCTCAGCTATTACATCAAATCTAGAGAGCTAATATACACAAATGGTGAGACTTCAGCCGTCCTTATAAATGAGAAACAAGTCCTTATATAAGGACTGTTGTAGAGAATAGCATTACGCAGGCACACACACATAATGATGCTTTCGTTTGAAACTGTGAATCAAAAATTGTATCATTCAGAGCCATAATTCAACTTTATCAAAAAACACAATTGTTGCAAAATTGCATGGTAAGAAAACTAGAATGTTTGTCCAAAGCCATTATTGGACTGCATATTCTCTTTATAGTTGCCGTGCATGCAATAATTTAAGTCAAATCAGATACCAATTAACATTTGATGTTTTCCTATCTATTTGAAAGCAACAAAAAGAAATTATCAAACTATAAATATTATTCACATTCCAGATAGGGGAGCTCCTAATCTTCAATTATCATAAAACTGGCACGCATGATGGATACAAGAAGAATGTTCAATCAAGGGTTGGTTTCTAATAAAACCAACTCAATAAAAAGTTAGTGAGAGGTATAAAATCAAGCTACTTTTACACCAGGTGCACTTTGAACATCATCAATACATACACATCAAAGATATGTACAATATATGCATGATATTCTACTCATCTATTAATATTGAAATCCATGCTTGTTAATTAAAAAGAAAACCCTCTATCAGAAATTGAATGTTAGTTGATCAATTAAAATTCCTCCTGCTAGAACATACACATATAAGTAACTAACTATAAAAAAATAATAAAAGATAGCTACTTTCAGTCATAACAGTGGAAATGTTTCAATTGAGTGCTAGCTAATTGGCTTAGCTATTTATACACTCAGATTTTTTTCTTTTTTTTTCTTTACCTGATATGCAACACGAAGGCGGGGGCCATCAGAGACCGAATTGGAGAGATGGGTCGATGACAAAGGTCCTGAAGCAAGCAAGACACGAAATCGAAAATGACACCCGATTTGTTACAGAGCAATCACAACAATCACAAGGGCGAAAAATGGTACTTGGGAGAGTATGCAAGTCTTTCGATACGACGTCGTAGGGGAAGTCCTCCAAGGCGCTGCTGTCCAATTCGAGAGCACCTCCAACCAGGTGGTTGTGGCCGTGGCCGCCGTTTCTGCTGCGATCGTTGTCGTCTGAGCGAAGAGAGGCCAGGGCCAGGGCGATGCGACAGGGTTTGAACCGAGGGTCGAAGTTTAAAGCTGTTTTGGGAAAGTGATCGGACTGCGAGGGTTTCGATACGAAGTTTAGTGGGAAAGGGGTTGTTGCGGATCGTGCAACAGAAGACGCCGCCATGGCGGGTTGAGAGAAGTTCCAGACGGCGCCTGAGATATTTTCCGAGATGCCCAAAAGATTATAAAATATTTTGCTTATTCACTTTTAATTTTATTTAATTTTTTTTTTCCATTTAAAAATGGAAATTAAATTGGATTGTCAGAAACGTGAACTCAGGCCTCAACAAAACTCAAAAACCTTCCCCAGCGGCCAGGCCAAGTATCTTAGGGTCCCAAATTTTGATTGAGCCCATGAAAATGAAGCCCAAATTACAAAAAAAATAAAAGCATCGATCGACTGAATAGAACCATTTGGTTGATTGGTGAAATTTTTCAATATTTATGGTCTTTTAGCTTTTTTTGTTTTCTTAAAGTGAAACGAGAGTTCATTAATCTCAACAAATCAAACAATAATGTTGATGTTTAGAAGTGTGGCCTTGTTAAAAACCTTCTTGAATAAAATAATGATATTTAACTATAAGAGTCGCAAAAGAGTCGAAAGCAAAATAAATTCCAACATTTTACAACATCTAACTTGGTGTCAAGTATAGACAGATGTTTGGAAACCATTTCAAGTGTCCTTGCTAATATCTGACAATCATAGTTGCTATATCCACATTTTAATTAAAAGGAAAGCTTCTTTGCCAACATATTTTGGAAAGTATCTGCCTTTGAACATTCATGCTATAACTATATAATTCGCCAACCCTGTTTACAAAGTAGAGCCTATCAAACTCACAAACTTGTTGAAGCCAATAATCACTAAAATTTATGTTGGTATATCAATTTCCATAATTTCCAGTGAATTCTCTTCTCCTCATGTTTTGACCACCAACATCCTGCAATGACATTTTGAATCTTATAACATATGCTAACTAGCAATGAAAACACAATTAAAGGTATGACATGATTCCATGACACACAACTCTCTTTAAAACTTCTCTACCCGCCGTAGACATCAACATGATTTCCCACCACGGATTATGTTCCACGCACGAATTTTTTATGTCTCGAAAAATCTTTTGTTTATCTCAGTAGGGAAACCCAAATAATATTCATGGCATATGACAATAGTAACTCCCAACATGTCTCAAATGTGTTCTTGATGTCTTCTTGATTTGAGGGACTAGAACAAAGAGGTGACTTCTTCAAATTACTGTTTTGGCATGAAGCAACTTTATAGACTCCAAAAAGTCCATTGAAATTTGTTGTCTCTACAAACACAGCTTTATAATATTTTTAGAATTCACATGTATGATATCGTTGAAGGCTTATGTATTAGTTTCTTCCGATATCTCATATGCAAAAATATTTTATTTTATAAATATTCATTATATTCAAATTAATAGTATCATGGAAATGAAACAATGGTGCAAATCCTTCCTTACCCTTGCCGGTAAATATAACGTTTTTTCATTGTTATTCAATGTCATATAACAATATGTGTGCTGCAAGTGCACATTGTGTGGGTGGTTTGTCACAGAAGTGGTGTGACGAGAAAGGATTCCAACCAAAATGAGATGGATTCTAGCATCTTTTTTTTTCTCGCAGAAGTCAACTTAGTGTTTAACAATATTATAAAAAATTAATTACTAAAAACCTTGTTAAATCTGACATTAAATCAAGTATGGCTTTGGTTTAATTGGAATTAAATATTATTATGTGATCTTGCATAATGGAAGCAGCCTTGTGGCTTCCTGGTTGGTGATGTGTCAAGATGAGAAAGCAAGGGCCCTTAATTAGTTGTTAATCTCGAGGATGACACATGGCCACTTGGCCTTGTTTTAGCATAAAAATAATGCCGACAAGGTATATTTATTAGTCAAATCGTGGATTAAAATAGTAATGAAATCTTGGTTGTTCTTCAAACGGGGAATGTTTTGTAGAAAAAACTGTTCCTTAAACGTGTTTTGGCATGTCAAAACGATGGAATATATCCACCTCACTTTCATTTTAGTATATTGTTTTTCATTGATTTAGGCTTTCACATTCTGTATGAAGTCGTCTAAAGAACTATATTCAATCAGGGCCAAAGTTCTATAAACTTTGATAGACAATTTTAATACTCAAAATCTTTCTAAACAAAAATATAATCTACAATAAGTTTTGGAGATTTGTATCGTATCGATTTTCATTAGCTTTTGTTTTTCGGGGGCTTTCGAAAATCAGAAACCCTACACAATAGAGCCACTTGCACTATTCCATGGCCGCCCCCTGTTTTCTATTGGAAAAACAAAAAAACTCTTATGATCTAATGAAAACTTACTACATTATATATTTTGCGTTTGAATCCCATTTTTTGCATAATTTTTAAGGTTAATTATTTCTGATAATATAATTTAACATAATCAAAGAAAATCTCAAAGATTAAGTTCGAAATATGAGAAATTCTGTTTTTATGTTTTTGTTTTTGTTTGTTTTTATGTGATAGAGGGAGTGGACCTTGTGCCTCTCAAGAAACATTGCATGAATCATGTATGAACAAAATAAAATGTATACGTTACCAAAGCTCTCGTCATAAGTTAAATACAATTTGGACCGTAGTCGCTAAACATGTTTCATAACTGACCCATTCCCACACTTGGCGACAAAACCCAATCCGTTACCAAACACCCACTCTCATGATCTCATCCCATCCGGCCCATGATGACGTGTACCTGTTCCCTTCTCGTGCTCCGCGTGACTCTCCCATCATTATTCCCACGTGCCCAATAACCAACTAACCTCATCTCTATTATAAAAATAGAATATTGTAGGGTAGGGTAAGCCATTAGGCTAATGCAGGGAACTTTGAAATTGGAAAATAAAGAAGCTGTATGGAAAGAAGTTATTTTTATTGAGTTGTTTACTAACCATATATAAATTATAGTATATGAATTATAATTGTTTGTACGGGTTTTAAGTGAGTGTTATTACGAATTTTAATATGGAATCCATATGTTTTTCTCATTCGTTATGTGTTAGAAAACACCAGGAAGTCGGCTTGACAAAAAAAGAAAAACAGTAGGAAGTCAACAATTAGAATCATTCACATTCTTTTCATAGGGAGATTCTTCAATAAATATTTTGTGTTAATGATTAGTTACATATTTCTTATCTTGGTTGTTATATTACATTCATAATATATTTGTAGTCTCTTAGATGCAATCTAACTGTTGAGATTATAAATATGTAATCAATCTTTGACTTAAATATTTATTAGAAAATGCATATTCATTACTGATAAATAAATATGCTATTAAAGTAATTTATCATTTATAAATTCCTTTGTATAATGAAAATATAAATAATATATTCAAATTAAAAAATACCAAAAATAATAAAATAATTGAGGAGAATTATCCTTTGCTTGACAATAGAGGACAAGGGTGGGGGTCCACCGGTAAAGCCCACTAAGGCGGCCCAGTAGGACTTGACAGGTGAGGGTGTAGGGACTGTTTGCGGTGCTGCGGTGTACTTTCCTCGTAAACTGAAATATTCGTCTCGTAGCCGCATCGGTGGTGCCACGTGTCCGAGCAAGAGGGACAGGGGCATTATCCGGTGGAGCCCGCACTACACCGACCATATCACTCACAGCTGTCCCTACGTGTTTCTTTGCTTCTCCAAGTCGGCTCCTCCTATTCCCGCTTCTGGAATTTCCAACAACCAGCCTCAGCTTTGTTCACACTTCAACTTCAACTTCAATTCCCTTTTCTTTTTCTTTTTTTAATTTCAGTTTTTCTTTTTTTTAATGTGAGTTTTTCTTTTTCTTTTCTTTATAAACAAATATACATTTAAACTTGAAACCTTAGCCACAAAAAAAAAAGTTTCATATTTTTATGTATAATTCTTCATAAATAAATAAATAACAAAAACAAATTAGGAAAAACTAGGAAAGTACAATGCTTCTCTATTCATTATATGGCAAGCCACATTCATTGTAGAATTGCTTTGTAAGAAACATGAGAAAATGCGTGCTGCCCAATTGAGAAATTCAATAGTGAGAATTCGATACGAGCGAAAATAATAATTCTCTAAAATGTCTTAGAATCCCGTCCATAAAAAAATATGTGAAAAATCACGTTCAATGAACCAAGTTAATCAATTACATAAAAGCAATGACTTCAGCAGTGAGAATATTATTAGGAATAATTGTAAAACTTGTTGTTTTAACCATAGTCAGCTCAAATAACCGAATCATTAAATTAATAAATTCGCTTTATTTATAACAAATCACAAAGAAAATTTCCGAGAAATCGCGTTGAATTAAGGCACACATTCACATCACACCCATAGAGTTTGATGGTTCAAAAGATGCACACATTTGACCATCAAAGTCTATGGGTGGTGTGATGTGAATGTGTGATATTAAGTTATAAACCCAACCTCCAAAGTCCAGATTCTTTTCTTCACAGAAGATGCATACGCTATCACTATTCACTATCACTGTCATATATATGTCCCTGCCTGGCACAGTTTCCCATCCCACTTTACCTCTTTTTCTCATTTTTGCCCCCTCAGTATTTTCTTTGACCGATCTGTTTGACCAGTCAACTCACTTGACTGATCAATCCCGATGCTTTCATCCCCATCTGGCCCCACATCTCATCCCTGGCCCACCACCACAATGTTTTGTAATTGCACCCCAAGGTTGCTATGCTTGCTTGTGAATTGCATTATTCAACTATTTTCATCATCAAAATTTCTTGTTTAGAATGTTTATATTTTATATTTTTTATACAAGCGTTATTAGAGAGAGGTGAATTTGAATCCATTAATGGAAGAAATCATAATTCGAAAGCAAGACCTCGGATATATTGTAACTGCTCTTACATACGTTTCTTCTTGAAATGGGTTCTTGGAGATGAAGCCAAAACTTCATATTCTTAGGATCCAAAGGATGCGATATGATGGTGGTCTCAATCATTGTTTGTTTATTATTTTCTTGGTTTCTGACAGGTGATAACATGCAAAATACTTGAAAATCTTGGTTGGTACATGGTGTTTCCCGCTAGCTACTCCAAGAATCTTGGTCCGAATATGGCAAATTTGAACACATGTAAAGATGGATGAATATCAACCGTTGGATGTTCACTTGATTGGCTGATCTATCGACCATAATTAGTGCGTTGCATGTGGATAACAAAAGAATGATGTGTTAATTTGATTATTATAACAAATAAGCCAATTAGTGAGCTAATAATTCTCATTAAGGAATGATAGCTCTAGATAAAACTTTAATGACAGAGCAAGAAAGCTGCTGTGTGTTCAAGTGTGAATGATTAAGATCAAGACCTTAGAACCGACAAAAACCATTTCATTTTCTAAGTGACATATCCAAACATGCCCTAGTCTTGTTTAAGATTTTGTTTTTGTTTTTTTTGGGTTTTATAATGATCCAATTAAAAAAAACACATTGATCAGAGTCTTGGCATTGCTTTCAAGAAAACAGGCAAGGTTTCTCTTTACTGGGAAATGGAAAGAAAACTCAAATTGTGCTTTTATGATGAGCATGTCATTCTAAAGCACAAGTCCACACAAATCTAAGAGGTGATATTTTGCAGAGAAAACGAACCTTCATCAAGACAAGGAAATGGTAATTACATATAGTTTAAATTTTTTTGGGCAGAGCAGAAAAGAGAAGATTTGGTTGAAGCATTGAGCTGACATATGATATGATCTGGGCTCGATATTGCACTTTTGCAGGTTGTAGTTAATTTATGGTGTCCAAGGTGCATGGTACAAGACAATTGTTATCTTATTAGACAATTTTATATGTTATATTTTAAGATTTATTAGTCTGGATCATTGATTAGGTTGATCTGATTAACCGATTTTTCATGACATAACAATCGACATCTCCTTTAGATTGGATAAGTTGAGAGTGTTGATAAGACTTCATTTGCCAAAAAAAGAGCAACATCTAATATACACATCGTCTGCTCGTATTATAACATGTGAATTAGTTAAATAACACCACGTTATGGTCACCAAGAAAAAATAAAATCCAACAGAAATCAATTTCCTTTCCCTTCTTCCTTAAGATTCCAGTCAATGCACATAATGACATTAGCTGTATCCTGTCTATGAACTCAATGAATCCATAGATTGTTGTAAAACTAATTGCACTCACATTAAGGTAGGCTCCCTCATTGGCTTACAATTAGATCAAAGAAAAACAAGTATATTTCGAGTACATAATGAATGAAGTAGACGTACATGTGCTACCCAGCCGTAAAACCAGTACAGAGTGGTACAAAATAATGGTGGTTGGCATGCTTTTAGGTTTGATTAAGACTGGTCACAAAATGTTCTCTCAATCTTCTCAGTATTAGATGGACCACAACCTAAGCTAAGCTATTCTCTAAACAAAAAGAAAAAGAAAAAGAGAAAGAAAAATCAAGATCCTCTCTCTCTCTCTCTCTCATACACACACACACACACAATCAGCTGCAGTTGCCTGTCCCAGCCATCATCATACAGTCCACATCATAAGAACCTTCAACCAGACAATCACAGTAACAACAACAACAACAAAACAACAAGACAAACTATTGCATAGAATTGAAAATAATCAAATAAAAAACATGTTTTTGTTCTGTGGGGCCCCGCCATCCACCACTAGAATCCAAAAACACCTACCTCCTCCTTTCTTCTCTTCTTTTCTCTTATTAAGGTTAGACCAAATCACTGTTTTATTTTGTATTTAAAATTTTGTTTAATCATTTTTTGTTCTTCTTCATGTTTTTGGAACACGGGGATTGTGCTGCAGTCTGTCTGCATAAAAGGGTTTTTAGGTGAGGAATTGGGTTGAGCGGTGGGAGTGAGAGGGAGAGAGGTGAGGTGTGGTTAGGTTAATTAGAAGTAGAAGTGGTGGTGGTGGTGGTGGTGGGGACCACACTAATGTGGGGTTGTGGGGCCCACAAATAGTTGAATCCACGCGAGAGTGGGACCCCACACATAAGAATGGGGCTAGTAGAGGGAGGTGGTGGGGACTGGCTGATGTTGCTGCTGGTTGGCACTCTCTCTCATTATATATGAAACCGTTGCAGAGAACAGAGATATGAAGAAGAGACTCGAATTTTCTCAACACACACACTTTCTCTGCGTGCAAGCTAGCTCATCTAAATCCCTCATCGATCAAAACCCATCATCATCATTACCCCATCTCTCTCTCTCTCTCTCTCTCTCTCTCTCTCTCTCTGTGTTGTGTTTTTGGGCTTGCTTTGCTTTATATACCTCACTGTGCATGTGACATACTCTGCCTATACCCAAAACTCCCTCTTTACTCTTCATACACTCTCTCTCTCTCTCTCTCTCTCTCTCTCTCTCTCTCTCATACACAGACTAAACATTTCTTTCAAATTAAGGAGAGGTGTTTGATTGATTGCATGAACTATATGGATCCTTCAAGTGGACAACAACACCAGGTAGGAATCAATAAGAACTGGGCAAATTTTATTTTTCTTTTGTCTTTTTTATTTTAGTTTTTGTTTCTGTGTTTTATATTTTCAATAATATTAGCATGGTCCATAAATTCTTCATAAAATTTTAATCTACCTTATTACCAGTTGGTAGCTGATTCTTTGTTCTTGGGTCCCAATTCGTCAAGAAGAAGAAGAAAAATATTGACTTGAATTGAAGCATAGAGTACTCACTTTCCATAAGAAGAATTCATCTCTGAGTTGTGTTTTTTGTTATTTATGCATATATGATGGTTTTTCTTTTTCTTCGTCTTCTTCTTCTTCTTTTGTCCTTGAGTGGGTACAAATTACAATAACGCGTTTTCTATTCTAAGAAAATTATTAAATTCATGGGGTTTTGTTTCTGTTTTCTACAGTCCATTTTCTTGGCACTCAATTTTCACACTTGGCCAGAAGAACGAATTTATTTCTTTTTAGTTTTTGTTATGGGGTCTAATTTTCCAAGAAAATAATTATCCCCTTGCTTCTTCTCTAATTTACTCTTCGGTTTTTTTATATTTAAAATCCCCCTCCTGCGTCAAGAAAACTTCAAAAACAAGCAAACATGAAATCATTTTGCTATCATCTTACTTTGAACCTAAACTAGAATTCACTTGGGTTCATATTTTTAATGTGTGATCTAGATTCGCAGTTGAAAACCGTTACGGCTCATTATAAAAAGCTGTCGAGGTACATGTGTGATTGTAATTAGTAACATATGTAACTTAAAAGCTAAGATTAGAATATATCCAGCACTACTATTCCATTTCTTGACATACCTAGATTTTTGTCTGATTTTATGTTTCTAATATTTTCAACTTTTGTTGACCAATTCAGGAAATGTCAGCTCATTCACTGGACATGCTAGTCTGCTCAAAAACCCAACAGCAGCAGCAGCAGCAAGACAGGAAGCCAAGGCCTCAACCAGAGCAGGCTCTCAAGTGCCCAAGATGTGACTCCACAAACACCAAGTTCTGCTACTACAACAACTACAGCCTCTCTCAGCCAAGGTACTTCTGCAAGGCCTGCAGGAGGTACTGGACCAAGGGGGGTACTCTGAGAAATGTTCCAGTGGGTGGTGGGTGCAGGAAGAACAAGAGATCCTCCTCCTCATCAAAGAGATCACAAGACCAACAACCCCTCACACCCAATTCCAATAACCCTCTCCCTTCCCTTGGATATGACTCAAATGACCTCACCCTTGCATTTGCTAGGCTCCAAAGACAGTCATGTGGGCAGTTGGGTTTTGATGACCAAGAACACCTTTCTATTTTGGGAAACCCCAACAACACCACTTCCCATGGTGATCATTCTATTCTTGGAAACCATGGCCTTAACATGAACACTACTTCAGCTGCTGCAGCACCTGGGTTTCTTGATGCACTCAGGACTGGGTTTCTTGAAACCCATAATGGTAATTTCCAGAACATGTATTATGGGTTTGGAAATGGGAGCAACAGCAGCAGTTTGGGTGAGGTTGAAAATGGGGTATGTGGAGAAATGGGGCTCCACACATTTGAGGAAATGACCAACTCAACCACCACAGCAGTCACAGTGACAACAATGAAGCAAGAGCTTTGCAATGCAAGAGATCCTCAAAGTGAGAGCAACAGGGTTTTGTGGGGCTTCCCATGGCAGCTCAATGGAGATGCAAACAATAATATGGTTAGTAATGAGTGTGATTCAGGAAGAGTAGAGAGCTGGAATGGTCTTGCTCCATCTTGGCATGGGCTTCTCCACAGTCCCCTAGTGTAAAACCCTTAATGAATTCAGCAGTGTTTAGTGTGATGATCAGCAAGAAAAACAAAAGCTAAGAAAGCATAGGTTTTTAATAGGTTTTTTTCTTTCTTTCTTCTTCTTTAATTTGTTCACTTATCAGACTTAAAATGTCAGTTTTAGTGCTTTTAAGTTTTGCATTAAGGTGTTATATCATATGGATATGATTCACTTGAATCATCATCATCATCTCCATTTTCATTTTACTTAGTTTTGGTTTCCTTTTTTATTGGTTGATAAAACTAATGAAATCCCCAAGATTTGTTTGCTAACCAAGTCAAGAAACTTGCAGAGGTTGCCAAAGAATCATATGTACATTTCCATATAAAAAAAGAAAAAGATTGACAGAGAGAAGAGAGAGAGAGAGTGAGAGTGATGTTTCATGGTTTGTGCAGTCTGAACTCTCTGACTATTTGAAAAGCAAAGTTGTTGGAGAGAGAGAGAGAGAGAGAGAGAGAGAGGGCTTTGGATTTCGAATGAGTGGTATTTTCAACATATTCTGCTATGATTACATCTTATTTTCAGGTTGATATTCTTGGAATATTTTAATTGGGATTATTAAATTACCTAGGAATAATTATATATTTGATAGGGTTCTCTTCTCTCCTCCCCAAGCATAAAAATTTCAGTGAAGCATGACTCCATGAGGCACCAATTTCCTGGTGGATTTCATTCTGTTAATATTATTAGCACACCAAATCCAAGTTAGGATTTGGGCGTGAGATAATAGTCAGCAGAATCAGTAGCTTCTGTTTGAAAATCTCTGTTTAGGGCAGCTGTGCCTGGTTTTCATATTTTATTACTGGTCTGCCAAATTGACTGACATTTGAATTTGAGTGGGACGACAAGATTTTCAGAATAGAAAATGAAAACATGCAAATTCCAACTTCAGAATTTTTTATATGATATGGTATGTTTGGTTTGGATGACATTTTCATGTCATACTGAAGATGACAGTGCTCATTAACGACAAGGGGTCGTTATTCACTCACCGAACATGCCTTACAAAATTTGTCCAATTTGCATAATTATATGATATCAGGCTCTCCTCCAGTTGTTATATTAATTGGCAGGGCATGTTATTAGTCAAGATAACGAAATCTCCTAGTAATACCAAATAAATAAAATCACCTAAATATCCTTGCTTTTCTAAAGTGAAAATCTTCTCCCCCCAACAAAATTTAAATTTTATACGAATTTTCAACTCAAACGGTACGGATCATTTTAGTCACGCTTTAAAAGAGATATTTTTAGTTTTTTCAAAAGTTTTCATCAAAGCGATATTTCTCTTCTTAATGGTAGAAGTGGTCACATGTTCAGAGTTTTCAACAAAAGTTTTAACTGTTGCTCATCAAAACAATAATATATATATATTTTAAAAAAAATTCCAAAAACTAAGAACTATAGCTGTTAAGATAAACGTTGCCCTGGTGACCATCCCTGTTAAGAGTTGCATTGTAAGTAGCATCTCATGCATACCTATATGAAAATGGTAGTTTAGATTGTAGGGGAAATGGCATTGATGATCAGGTTCAATGCTGTTTTATGTTATTAGATGTACTAATTTTGATATTAAATGATCAGGTAGTTGATTTTTATATTAGTATTTAATATAAATGTGTATATATATAGTCCTAATATGTGCATTAATTATATATTTTAATAAGCTTGTATATATACAGACATGGACGGATGTGCTCCATACTACGCACCGAGTTCAAATCCCTTTAATAAAAATAAAAAAAAATTTAAGCTTGTATATATGTAGGTCTACCTCGACTCCATAACTGGGTTGTTTGGATCGGGGGTTCACATAAGAGGCTTCAGAGCCGAAGAGAGGGAAAGAGATGGGCCTTTTATAGGCAAAAGAAATGGGGCTTTCACTTGTAAGCTTCCATCTTGGCCCAAGTTGGGCTAACTACAGAAACAGAGCAGATTGTGAATAGGATGGAGAAAACAAAGGAGGTGAGTGAGTGCTGTGCCAAATACATAACGTACAAGAATTCTATAGTGAGGGGGTTATACATGATCCATTGCTAGTAGAGTGGAAAGAACAAGAGCTTGACCAATGAATAGAACCACCCACCTTGTTAAACCCATGTCCATATTATCATGACTGCTAAACCAGTTAGTAGAGTGTGTATTTAGTTAGTCAACAAGGAGGTTAAACAACATATTAGGATAAGCTTCCACTGTCAGCATGGTTATGCAACATCACCGTAAACAACTTGTATGCGAGTAAGGGAGTTGTTATTGACACTCAAAAAAAGTCATTCTTGTGCGTTTATACATGAGATGACCCTTTTAAAGTGCCAATAACAGCGAGTAATACTTTTTTCAAATAAGAAACCATCTCATGTTGAGAGTCGCTCGTCCCTCATGATCATTGGTTAATTGGGCTTAGAAGAAATTGCTTGGGATTTGAAATTTGTTAATGCAGGCAAGGTTGAAGGTATCGATATGATATTGGTTAAATGGGCCATAATCTTGTGAGAAAATTACGTACTTGTTTAGAGAATTCAAGCGATGAGAAAGCTGTAAAAGCTAAACACTTCGACAGGTAGAAGAAGCACCAGTATATAAACCAGCGAAGGGGCTCGTTCCGCAGTGACATAACAAACCAAAATTTTGATACTAGATCATGCAGGCAGAAACTTCACGTCTCTAAACATTGCAGACTACTAAAAGATTTGATACTGCACCTACATAGAAGCTGGGCCAAAAACCAATGCACACAGTCGACACATAAACAAGCATTGACAGATGAAAAGGCCAAGTAAAAAACGAGCATGGGAGTGATCGAGAAAACATCATCAGAGAAAAGGAACATATTTAGCCACAAAATTTCCATTAAAACATAATTATCTGATTATAGAAAGAGGAAGAGAACAACTGACAATGGAGGCATAAAATGCTGACAAAATCTCTAAATCAAAACGTTTAAGTAGCACAACAGATAAAACATTTTATAGGAAATTCAAGATCTTGGCTTCTCCTTCTTCTCCTTGAAGAGGGCCAAAAGTGACACGCCTGAGACCTTCACAACTTTGAACCTAACTCCGGGAATATCACCAACAGCATGTCCCTTACGACCAAATCCAGCAATGAGAACCTCATCCTGCATGCGGCCACAATAATCAGTACAACCAAAACCAATCAACTAAAAGACTTAATTTTTTCAAATATGAATGCCAAGGGCTGGCAGCATTTATTCTCTACTATACTCACATTCTCTTCAATGTAGTTCAAGCAACCATCATTTGGCACAAAGGCAGCAATCTTCTTTCCATTTTTAATAAGCTGAACTCGAGCACACTTTCTAATGGCAGAGTTAGGCTGCTTGGCTTCAATACCACTGCACAATACAACACCAAAAAAAATGTAAGAACTATTGTCTAAGAGTTCGGACCTCAAAGGATTGGTTGAAAGAGTGAGGGATAAGGGATCAAGCTGAATTTCCATACATTTTCTCAAGAACAATGCCTTTTGCGTGGGAAGATCCAGCAAATGGTTTCTTCCACTCATTTCCAAGATGCGATTTCTTGTAAGACTTGTCAGCCCACCTTTGCCTTCTACGGTGGTCCTTCAGCTTGCGAGCTGCTCCCATACCACGTGTCTTCCTGCGAAAAGTTGCTACACGTGTTAAGTCAATTATTTCTAGAAGGATTTAAAATCTGTACTGACATTGATTGGTTTTAAAAAACTTGTATCACCAACACAGCCAATAAAATAGTCACTTCACATGACAAGTATGGAGTCTGATTTTTTTCATTGCATCAAATAACTAATACGAGAAGATAAACAAGATAAAAACCCAGCTAATCAAAATATAAAACGTCCCCAAACTATTTCAGTTTTGTGCTTATTTTTGTTCAGTCAAGTTTAGTCAGATAGTATTTAACAAAAACGCCTTCTAGAACTTGGGTTAAGCTTATTTCAATTGTATTTTGGTTACAGAACCAACTCAACATAAGGGTAGAAATATTTTCTTCTTATCTCAAGAAAACAATTCCCGGAAAAATGGTCACGAAGCGAAACGTTTCCCTTTCAAACAAACATCATAAAAAATTTCCAACTGGAGAAACTTAAGCAATCGAAACCATAATGAAACGAGTCAAATGCATTGATTCAATTTCTTTCTAAAAAAAACAAACCGGTCACTGAAAAACTAACATATTCACTCGGTTCTTAGATCCAAAAACGTGTGCAATAATTTGCAGAAAATAATATATTATTTCGGTCCTAAGCTTCATTATAAACTATTTGATTCAACTAATATTGCTGAGATTTTGAGTAGATTCTATTCAATGAATTCTATCGAGAAACTAGTTTCAGAGAAAACAAACAGAAAGTGAAAGCTGAATTGAATGGATGTAGGAACGGGAAGCTTACCCCATGGTGACCGACGAAGAGACTCGACGACTAGCAGAAAGAGCTTCGGAGCCGCAAAAAGAAGAAGAGCTCTAGGTCACCAACAGCAATGAGAAACCCTAGGGGCTTATCACTCTCATTTAAATATAGGTCTTCGTTTTGGGCTTAGATATAAACCAAATAATGGGCCTCAGCTGCCTCAAATGAAAGGCCCACTAAACTTCAATTTACCCATAGGCCTACTATCTTTGAATGTGGAGGTTTTCCCACAGTCCAATCCATTTATTTTCTTTTTACATATAAGCGATTTTGAGAAAAGGGAAACCGAAACTACGATCTCGGGTAGATGGGTAAATGAAAAGAGGCTTGCCCCGGATCCAAATTAATTAAAGAAATTTTGAGTCAAATTTTTGTGCCAAAGTGAGTTACTCTTGCTTGACACTAACTTGTTGGCACGGAAAATGATACGACCTACTAATACAATTAATTATTGTATTTGTTGGTACCCTTTGTATAATGAGAAGTTTCCAAACATTTTTCAATTTTTTTTTTTCAGTTATTGCAACTTGCCAGTAATTGATGTTGATCTATAAAATGTTGTATAAACTCAAATCCACGAGTCACTAGTTTCCTTCTATTGTGATAGCTAAAACTTGTTATCATAGAAAGAATGTTGGGAGCCTGGGAGATATGTGATAATTTTCTTATCCATAAGAAAAAAAACAAAAGACAAGAACAATAAAAAGACATGACACAATACGAAGTTTCTCTTTGAAAAAAAAAAACAGAAAAAACAGCAACAACAACAAAGTCCCCGCTCGCTTGGTTTATTTAAAATAAAATAAAAAGAATCATCAAATTAAGAAGAGCTAATGAGATTTTATGAAATGACCTTCCATAAAAATAAAATTATGAAATGAGGGACACTTAATTTGGGTAGGAAGTTTCAGCTTCTCTTGGGTTGAAGCCTCATTAGTGGTAAGAATGCACCATGGCACTTTAAATAAAGCAGAAAGAAAGGAATTTGGCACACATCACTTTAATCAACTCAGATAATAATAAAGAGGAAATTTCCAATCAACAATTAACAAAGGAATTAAGCGCTCAATAAGGAGGGGAAGTAGCCAACCCAGATATTTTAATAAGTAAATAATGTCTCCCATAACAGTAAAATTTGTCCTTAACTAATACATACATATATACCTTCCATAACTCATGGCAGCAAAGCTCAATTTTTTCATATAGCAGAAAATTCATAAATATAAACTCTCTTCTGGGTAAAAGGGAATGAACCAAAATAATCTATGCATTGCTGCCACTACACTAGTAATAGAAGCTTAGTAGATTGCCAACTTTAAACCAACTGGATTAGCTCTTCCCCAAAAAACATAACATCTGTCGGAAGAAAAATAAAAATGTAGTTAGATTATAAGTAATTGCAAGATGAAAAAACCATAAAGTTGATGGATGTAAGCAAAACTAAAAGTATCAACCTGTCCAGCGGCGTTTCTATTTCTGCGGCTTCTTCCAAAAGACTCCAATCTTCTTTAGCATGTTCCCATTTTTCTTCTTCAGTAAATCATCATCCATATCTTCAGAGTATGGTGAGCCAAACTTCCCAGTAACATGATTAAAGCTGCTGTCCAAAGATGCAGTTCTGTCCATGAGCTTGCCATTATTTCCGGCTGAAAGCATGGCTGCAGCTGCCTCAGCAGCCTTCCTCCACTGGTCAGACTGCACTTTTAGCCTTCTCAGTTCTGCCTCCATTTCTGCATTGGCTGCTTGAGCTGCCTCCAGCTGTTCAGCCACCCTTGCTACCCTCTTGTTGCTCTTATCTGCCTCCTCCATCACAATCCCAAGCTTCGTGAGAGCCTCTCGCTCCGCGCACCTTGCTGCCTCTACTTCAGCCACTACCTCATTGTTTACTTTACTCTTGTTCATTTGGATTTTGTTGATTTCCAATCTCAGCATGTCATTCTCTTCAGATATACTCTGTAGTTCTGTTTCCTTATCCATTAAATGAGCCTTCAAATCTACAACATGCCCTTTCAGTTCTTTCAATTCCTTTTCCAGTTCATACTCTCTCTGGCATGACAGGCTCTTCTCAAGTTTGGAATTCAGCCCCTCATTTTCCTCTGAAATGCATTGTAATTCAGTTTCCTTATCCATCAGGTGTGCCTTCAACTCTTCAATTTCAGCTTTGGTTTTCTTCAGTTCTGCCTCCAGTTCCCCCTCTCTCTGACTAGATGTAAATTTTATCTGCTCCACCAGTTCATTAGCACTTCTTAGCTGCACTGTGCTCTGAGTTTGTTCTTCATGGTATTTAGTCTCAGCGGTGTCAAGAGTAGATCTTAGCCGTTTTACTTCAGACTTCAAGGTGTGAAGCTCTGCCTCAGTCTGGTTTGATTCCAGAGTCTCTCGCCTTTCTCCTAATTCCTGCTGAAGGTCATGGTCACCAGTCTGATTTTGCGAAACATTGCCGCTTGCAATAATTAGGTCAGCCTTGAGTTTGCTAACAAGTTCTTCTAGTAAATTTATATGCGCCTTTGACTGATCTAACTCTGAAGCAATAGAGTTGTAAGCTTCTGTTGATTTCATGCCATCTAACCTGAGTGCCTCCACTGTTGTTCTTGCAGATTCCAACTGCAGTAGGGTTTCACCAACCAGTGCTTGTGCGTGATCTTCTGATTCCTTACTGTCCTTTAATTGGTTCTTCATGTTCTCCAAAAGAGAAAGCGTTTCTGCCAAGTTTCCTTTCAAGCTTTGGAGCTCAGCATTTGCTGATTCTGCATGCTTTGTCTGCTCAGCCTCGGATGCAGCTAGCGATTCAAGCTGCACCTTAAGACTCTCAATCTCACCAATGGCAGATGCCAAGGCAGTTGAGTCAACCGAGTGCTGCTTCCGCACAGCCTCAAGCTCGACCTGCCATGCTCGATCTTTTTCTTGTGATATCTTGTGAAGCTTGATAACACGAGCTTCCTCAGAAAGAGAAAGCTCCGGAAGCTGCAGCTGGGATTCTTCGAGCTTTGAAGACAAGGACAGTAATTGCTTCTTGGACTCCTCAGCATCTTGCTGAGCTTTTTCCTTGCATGATTCAGAAGATTGCAACTGGTCCTTTGCCTTTTTCAGATCTTCCTGGAGCTGAGAAATCTGAGATTCCAATTCAGATATTCTACGAGAGCCCTTCTTCTGGGTCAAAAATATAGATGAATTTTTAGAACCTTTTCTACATCACATAACAAGTATCCAATGAATGCAATACAAACATTTTTACTAGCAAATCTCACAGCTGTGACACATGAGGAAAAGGTACCCAAGTAAGGATGGCATTTGAGCAAAGACAAGATGAAGAAAGACCTTTTATAACATGATGAAGAACTGAGCTAACAAAAACCATGAATATGTTTTAATTGTAAAGGAAGAATAACTGAAGAAACATATTAAATGTTACATGTACTGTAATGGCCCTGCATTTATAGATTAGGCAGAACAGGGTTTTCTCTTCAGAAATGAGAAGCTTCTCTGCCGCCTCTACATCCAAAATGTTACTTCTATATCATCATAATTTATGTTGGCGTATGACACTAAAAATTAATAAAGAAGAAACAAAGGCCTCCAGCTTCAATATTTTTAAACAGAAAGGAAAAAAGTTAAAGAAAAATATGATGCCTAAAAATATGTTGCCATTTCTCACAAAGTTATAAGAAAGAGAAAAAAATCCAACCACAAAGCAAACTCATATAATTATGTCTATTCAAAATCCAAACAGGTTCTCTTGCAACTAAAGCATTTATGAAGCTTCTAGCACATATAAAGTATAAAAACCCGGGTTTAGACTATCCTTACAGTATACAGCATTCTATATATTGTGAAACAGAAGGATCCATGGAATCCGTTCAAAAGTACCTCAGGCAATGGACTTCTGGGTGATCTCCGCTCATTCACTTTTGGGCTTTTGTCTTTAGATATTCTTCTAGCTTGACTTGAAGTAGATGCAGAATCAGTCTCCAATGCAGTTGGCCTGAGTTGGCGAGCAACTCGAGGGGAGACCTTTTGAGGTGGAGAGACCCTTTGAGGTGGAGAGACCCTTTGAGGCACTTCAGAGGAGCCACTCCTGATAGAAAATTAATAAATGAATCAAATGAAGATCAGGTCAACTATCACAAGGTTCTGGGAATTCAAAAGGAATTCAAAATAGTAACTCTCAGAACGATGAACTTGTGCTTTATTTCATGAAAAACACAGGTTATGTACATTGCAAGATTTCATCCTAGAATACTGACATTTGACTTATATCCTACAGTGGCTGGTGGATAAATGGACTAGCCCATTGTGCAAACCTTGGCAACATATTTAGAACTTAGGAGCAAGTCTCTACCAAAATATTTAATGGAGGATAAAATAATAAAATGAGTAAAGTTGATACAATATTAAGAGGGATGCCATATTTACTGGAAAGAAACAACTTTCCTAGTATGGAACGTTTTGGGGGGCACTGTTTGCTGATTTACAGTATAACTAAGATCCATATTCTGTGCAACTAATATAATTCCACTTGATACGAACAGTTTGGTTGCTTAAAACAATTTACCAAGATTTACAATATTCATATCATAAAACAATTTTATCCAGTTTTTATCCACTCTCAAACAAATGACCTAAAAAAATTTCGAACTTTCGAGAATCATAATTGTTGCAAGTCCACAATTCCAATCAGCTGCAGTAATGGAAAGATCCCATACAAACATAAGTAGTATACGCACTGACACAAAGAAAACCACCAAGAAAACGTTTCCTGCAATGACCTTCAGTAATAAAAAGATTCCACATAACAAACACAGGCCAACACAGAAAATTACAAACAAATGCAACACAGTGATATAATCCTTCTCTTTCGTAAGCTAAGAAGTTGTAAATAATGATGCTGATACCAACTAATGATAAAATTCCTTTCCCATATAATCACATTGCCCAACCAATAAGTCCTCAATCTAATGTGCTCGTGAGATTATGCAACTAAAGTCACTTAATTGGTTCATGGGGCCCGTTACGTTCCTTTGATAGCTGCCAAGAGGCCCCAGCTTAACCTCAAAGGCAGAGGAGACGACAAGTTGCTAAATCTTTATTTTGATGCTGATATGATAGATAGATATTGCTACCAAGGCCCTTACCACAAAACCAGTCCACTACTATCAGCAGTCAAAGTGCCACAAATAGATTGGTAAACGGAAATGGAATACATGATACAAGTATGATGTTCCACAGACATAGGACAAACTCGAAACCAGATGTAAAGAGTTGAGTTTATAAAAATTAAAGGAGATGCTCCTGGGAATAAATAAATATAAATGCATACAAAAGAGCTAACAACAACGTCAATTTCTCGCAGCATCAGTGGGCACTTCTGGAAATTTATCCTTCACCATTATTAGTTTCATTAGATTATACAGCAATAATGAAAAGTATACAGCATTACCTGTTGCCTCAAAAAACAAAACAACCCCTCATACGAACAAGCTCCTCGGAGGAGAAGATACCAATCATAAAAGAGAGCAAGTGAAGTTACCTTGCTTTTGGGGTCTGCATATTCAACTGCCCTTTTCTAGGAACAAAGGTGAGAATGAGATTGAACTAATTTAAGCTTCACTACTTGAGTGCCTGCGACCCACAAGACCTGAAACAGTTGAGATAAAATCACAAGGGTATCCAATGTTTTAATGTAAAAGAAATAAATAGGTTTCATGGAGGACATGTGCTCCTTATCATCACAAAGGAAGCCATTATGGCAAAGATGTGCCAAACATAAATTCAACGTTCCAAACCAAAAGATAAAAAATAGTATCTCAACAAACCAATTTAATGCTTGATACCACAGCCCCACAGGGTCTAACCATGATCAAGACCCATCATTGTAATCACAGCTGCCGACCAAATTACAGAAATACCCCTTATCCTATCAAGGAACATAGTCAGCTAATTTCGCTCCCAAACGAGGGCAGTTTCGTATTAGGGAGAAAAAGTTCCCTCCACCAGTTCTGCCGTGAAATGAGGGAACTAGTTTAAAAATGGAAGAACACAAAATGGTTTTCTCAAAACTGCTCAAAGCTTTTTGGTAATGTATTATGTGAGTTGAAACCCCCCACTAATTCTTGATTTTCGAAGAAAATACTATTTTCTCGGAAGGGCATCATTATTTTCCCTAGAAACAAACAAACAGAAACAGATCTGGAGACAGCATAAACCCAAAAGAGATAAAATAAAATAAACCATGGAATCAGAATCTGCAGAATAAAGCAGGTAATGTAGCTGAAGAAATTGAATAAACGGGCTCTTTGGAAGAGGGAAAGGGAAAGTAGATTGTATGGAACAACTTTTTGAGATTCGATTTTGCTTTTCAAAGTCTGCAAAAGACAAAAAGCCTGCAAATGCTGAAGCTCTTCAGCCAGAAAAGAAGAGCTGCATTGTATTGTATCACTGAGCAGAAGAGCTTCTTTTTATATACTCAGATTTCAGCCAAAAAGAAGTTCAAAAGAAACATCATTACCCTTGAGACTACAAAAAAAAGTTTCGAAAAAACTGTAAAACGGAACTAACCCTGTTTGGTTGCCAAGAAAATGTAGGAAAAGAAAAGAAAAAGAAAACCCATTGGGACATCAGAAGCAGAATGCTTGAAAATGCACGGTAATGGGATAGTGCTGTTCTGTTTCCTCTGTATCCCACATTTTCACAGCAGACAACCAAGAGCAGAATATTTGGGAAAGTTCACAGAAAATTACAAAATAAAAACAAAAAACAAAAAAATGGCGACATAAAGAGAAATGGGTCAACCTTACTTGGTGAGCTTGTGGGAGATAATGAAGTATATTGTAAATGCAAGAAGCAGAGTATGAGGACTGTCCTTCTTCCTCTAAGTTTTGTTGTTGCACTTTTGGAGGCGCTCTCTGCAGTCTCTATATATGAGAAAGGCTTTGCTTTGTTTGTTCAGGCTTCAGACTTTTGGAGAGTGGAGGGGTGGACTGTTGGAGGTGGAGCGGAGAGGCATGTACGCAGAAAAAACAGGGGAGGACTATTTGTCGTATATTGAAAAAGGATCATAAAACTGAATTTAATTCGACTTTTACGTCCGAATCGGATATTATTATTATTATTATTATCCGTCTCCTCACCTCACCGCAGTTTTTTTTTTCAAATTTCAATGACAAGCCGAGAAATTGAAGAAAAAAAGGGAGCAGGTGCAGGAAAAATATAAAACATATAATAGAATTAAAAACTATTCTTTTCGAATTTTTTAGCTCGACTTTGTGCAATTTTACAAATTTACAAATTTTCATATTTGATTCGGGCTTGTTTGGAACTGCTTCTCTAGCACGCACTTCTGCTCATAAGCTTTTCTAGTAAAAACTCTTTTACTATAAAGATGTTGAAATTGTCTGAAAAAATAGAAATGCATCCTAAAAAAACACTTCCTGAAGAGGCACATGACATGTGCTTCTCCATAAAGCACTTCTATGGCACAGAAGCAATTCTAAATTTTTCTACCAAAAGTTGTCAGAAGCGCTTTTAATTGTATGCTTTTTTTGTTGTATTCTTATTTTTGGGCTTTAATTGTATTTAGGGTGAGCCACTGGACTATGTGTGTTGTTTTATTTTGAGTTTTTTTTGTTATTGTGTTGACCTGGGTGTGCGAACTTTGTTCTAGACTTAGTTTGAATTTCGATATTCTTTCTTAGTTATGTTACGGTTCTATTGTACCATTGATTTGTGCTTTATGCACTTGCCTATTTGGTGTTTTAATGAAATGAGACATGAATTCAAAAAGAAAAAAAGGCACTCCCAAACAGAAAAGTGGGGCTACATACTGCATTTTGCAAAGAAATGTTTTCTAAATCAAGTATGGAGATTGGGTACCATGTGAAGTAAAGAATTGAATTGGTCATTTTCTATTTCTTTTTTATTTAAAATGTACTCTTTTTATTTATTTATTTTAAATTTGGTGTTGGCAATGTGACTTTTTCCTGGCATGATAATTGGCGCCCAGAGGGGCCTTGGGCTCTCCTGGTGTGGCCTAACAAGAAAGAAGGGTCATGTTCTTGGTTGGTCTTGGGCTTCCTTATCGATTGTTGGGCCTTTCAGCCTAGTGATTGTATTTTCTTTGTGGGGCTTATGGACCTTTTTATTACTTGGGCACCCAAATCCAATCTAATACGTATTGGATTGTGGATTTTCCGATCCAATTTAATCCGACATGGTTTAAGATCCGATCCAATTGATGTTGAATTATTGGATTAGATAATCAGATTTAATGATACGAAAAAATATTGAAATACGAAACAATTCTTGTCAAAATTAATGCAATCAAACATTTTAATAGATAGCAATGGCACCACAGTCGAAAAGTGAGCCAAATTCTCCCTTCTCCTCCCCTCCAAAGTACATTCGAATTTGATTCACGTATGAGATAATCTTCAAGTAACCTAATATATTATTCTCCCCTACTCCTCCCTACTCCCTAGAATGAAAAAAAAAAAAATCATTTTAATGGATGCAAATGTAAAATAAAATTTATAGATAAATATATAATAAGTTTGACCAAAAAGTCAGAGAAATTTTATCGCGTAGCACCGACTACTTGGTAGTTTCTTTATAAGTATTATATATATATATATATATATTTTATGAAAACTTTCTAGGTACTTTCGGTTTTGCATATTCCAGATGTCATTCAAGAACGGTTCTGGGCCCCTGCCCTTTCTCTCTTGCATATTCCAATTTCCAAGTCTTTTAACTTTTTAATATTATAGGTTCATAATTGTATGGCATTCATACCCTCTCCTTCTTTACAGCCACTTGCTGTGTACTTTTTTTTTGGAGCCAGAACTTGCTGTGTAAGTAAAGTGCACAAGTTGGCATCACTCTGACATGTGAAAAACAACCCTCCACATTTTTCAGCCCAAAATATTTTTCATTAATTATTTAGCGCCCGTTTGATAATCATTTCGATTTTAGTTTTTAGTTTTTATCGTTTGTAATAAAGTATATAAGAAAGTGAGGGTATAAGATTGAGAGAAAGGATAAATAAGAGAAGTGAAGACAAAATCTTAAAATATGCTGGCTTTATCTTCAATCGACATGCAGGTACCTTCAATCGACATGCAGGTAATGATGCATATCTGGTGCTGGGATCCACGAGTCTCTATCATAGTAGTATTTGGGGGATATTGGGAGCTTGCCATTTGGGGAGCTCGCCATTTCTTTGGGTAGGTGTTTATACTTGAGGTTAAGATATTTTGGATATTTAAATGGTTATCTTAATTTTTTTTGTTTTATATAAGTGGTATTGGGAGAGAGTGATTTGACCACATGACCTCAAGTGTATGTAAGGGTAACTGCTCTTAATCATTTGAGTTTCAAACCCCTAGCAATATTATAATTTTTGTTGTAATTAACTTGATATTGTTCACGGTAAATTGGGTCAATTTTAAAGATATATTTTTTATATTGTCACAAAGAATCACACACTTAGGATCTATGATTTGAAAGTGGTTAAACAAATTAGAGGGAAAGTAGAAATGAGCAATGAAGTATGATTTAGAAGTAAGAAGCGTGTGATTTCAGAATAAGATGCGATAAGAGGCAGATAGACAATTTGAGTTTCGCAATTGGAGATGTAGGATTTGAAAGAGATGGGACAGAGGAGAGAGAGGGTTTCCAAGTTATGCCATGTTTTCAAAATTGTAATTGACTCATCATATCATAGAACATTGCTTTTTGAAGAGTAAAAATCTAGTGGTCTTGGTACTTTTGAAAACCCAATCCAATCTCTACATGCCTGAATTCATGCGAAATTCTATAATGAAGATGTCATATGCGGACCCTTCAAATGAATCATGTGGCTAATATGAAGGTCTACATCTATAGTCCATACATGACACCCTCATCATAAAACGACTCGTAAAGTCATATACAGTGATATGAAACCAACCCCAATCTTGATCGTCCACGAATTTCGGGCTCACGTGGACAGACAAACACTAGTTCCATAATCCATAGAATATTTATAAAGAAGCAAACTTTGAGCTTCATGCACACATGAAATGCTTAAAATATCTTCGGTCTTTATATGATTCAAAAAATTCATTATTATGTATTTTGAAATTCTTCCTTTTTGGCTGAATTAAATTGGAAGTCATCGTCAACAACAGAAAACCCAATTGAATAAACAAATTACAAATCAATATCTTCACACAGTAACCATATCTTGCCTGTCTACCCACATAGTCAACACAGTAGTTCTTCAATTGCACGTAATGATTTTCCCATTTTGCCCCCAATGCCCACTTTTAAGTAACAAGACAAATTCAAAACATATGGCCAGTTATGTCAGATATACATATCTCATTTCTCATAGCGTGTCGTCTGTGATTGGCAGGGACAGTAATTACGGCAATTTCTTACAGCGCGTGGTAGTCTGTGATTGACGGAGAACACTAAACAGTGCTATCTCTGTTTCACATAAGTTTTTCAGCAATTTTCACTCTCGAAACAACCAAAACCTCCATTATAAAATAACACCCACATCTCACTCAACCCCTAATCAAAACTCCCAACTTTAAGTATCAGAACAGCAGCAACAGCAGAAAGCAGAAAGCAGAAAGCAGAGGAAGAAGAAGAGGCAAATCTTCAAATCTTCCAAGAAAAACAGCAACCCAGAAAAGGAAAAAAGAAACCAAGATCATGAGGTTCAGCAACCACTTGATTGGGCTACTAAATTTCGCCACTTTCCTCCTCTCAATCCCAATCCTTGGAGGGGGCATATGGCTGAGCGGCAGAGCCAACAACACAGACTGCCTCAAGTTCCTCCAATGGCCGCTCATCATCATCGGGGTCTCGATCATGGTGGTTTCCCTAGCTGGGTTTGCAGGAGCCTGCTACAGGAACACTTTCCTCATGTGGGTTTACCTGTTCGTCATGTTCTTCATCATAGCAGCTCTGATTGGCTTCATCATCTTCGCATATGCTGTCACAGACAAAGGATCAGGCAGGCCTGTGACGAACAGGGCATATCTGGATTATTATCTAGGGGACTATTCCGGCTGGCTGGAGGAGCATGTAGCTAAGAACAGCAACTGGAGAAAGATTGCCTCTTGTGTTAGAGACTCCAAGGTTTGCCAGAAGATGGGGACGAGTGTGAATGGTGTGCCCCAGACTGCTGACATGTTTTACAACAAAAAGCTCAGCTCTGTTCAGGTATGTACTTAAATTTGTTTTCATGTTTGTTTCATTTTATTTACAGCCATGGTTTTTTTTTTTCTTTTTGAACAATAAGGGAAAAAAAGAAGAATTGGGTTTCATTAGGAATTTTATTTTGGGTTGTGTTCATATAGCGCAACTTAATCTGATTACTTTAGTGCTTGGGTTTTGAATTAGGAATTTTTTGTTATGTCCTGATTTTTGTGGTTTAGATTTTAGAGGGCCCGGGAAGAACTCGGCGAGTTCACCCAATTTTCGTGAATTAGAGTAATTTAGAATATCGCTATTAAAAAAAAGTCGGAGAAGATTAATTTTTGATTTAGTGGTAGATCCAGTTTAAGATTTGTTAGATTTGGTCGAATGCTTAGGAAGGTTATGGCACATGGGTACCAGGCAATATGACAAGCATGGGTGGTGTTTGAGGTAGGAGCCCCCCTTAAAATGTGGCTCTTGCACCAAATGGAAAATTGCCTCTCGTTGGCCCTCTTTTGTTTTATTTATGTTTTCTTGATAATGACGGAAAACCCCACCAACATAGAACCAAAGTACTCCCACTTGTATACTGTCCTTATCTAATTATGTGATTTCTTATTTTATAACAAAAAATTAAAATTGTCATATTCACAAAAGAATTGTAGTTAGAACACAAATTTTGCCGCACTTCATGTCTCAAGTGCTGTCTTTTCTTTTTCTTTGTGGTTGTAAAGGGCACTGATGTAATGGCACAGTGGACCACAAGGGGCAGTGACCTAAATAGAGATTTTAGTGTCTAGTAACTTATTGTCCACTCAACTTTGTAGGCCTATAATCATCTTAGATTAATTTGTTTGCTCAATTAAGAAACGTAATCCCTTGGTAAATACTCATGATTTTAACTCTCTACCTTTTCCTATTTTCTCCCAATATTTTCTTGATTTGTCATCAATATTCATGTTAACGGTCATCATATCACCCTTTACAATTAGTTAGCCTTAGGTTGTCTGTCTTTAGATCAAAATCTAATGCTAGGGAGACCAACTTTAGATACAAACTTGTGTACCATATCTCTAATAAAGCGTGAGACCCATTGTATTGGAGAGATGGTACACAAGTTGGTATCTAAAGTTGGTCAGAATGTTGTCTTTTGGGAGCATTGGATTGGATGGTGGCCTTTTCTGCCTTATCGTAACAGAATTTCTTTTAGGTGGTATACCCTTTCTCATTTTTGTCTGCTTTCCCTGTTAAAGATAGGAAGTAATAATCATTACAGGCTTGGAACAAACTTGGAATTCTTGCCCAAATCTTTTTTGGGTTCATTTTCTGTGTATTTTCCTCTGTCGACAAGTTTACATTATTGCTGTAAAGAACAAAAAGTCCAAATTATAGGTGCAAAGAATTCGGTTTTCCAGATATTGATGCATGGCCTAACCCATGTTCCATACTTTCTTCACATGTTGGACCATCCATTTTAAAATCACTTGGGAAAGAAGGAACAATTTTTCTATGAATAAATAAGTACAACTTTTAACACATTATTATATATTATTCACCAAAAATAATAATAGTTCCACAAAACAATATTCGCACTAGTAATTTCATGCTTTGATAGGTCATATGTGTAACTTGAAGGTGGTGTAAATTTTTTTTTTTGTGTGTGGCCGAAGTTAGGAAGAGGGAGGGGTAATTTCTTTCACACACATACTACCAAGGTGTCATGAGAGTTCGAACTTAAGACCGCTAGTCTGCAAATTAAGACCTGAGTTAAACCCTGTTGCCAAGGTGGTGTAATTAATCAATAGGGTTAACTAAGTTACAAATTCTTTTGTTTTCAACATTTCAAGCTTTTGGTCAGCATTTCCTTGTTTCTTTTCTTATATAATTCATGCTTATCCTTTGTTGCTCCAAAAGCTAGGGTACCATTTATGCTTACCAGATAGCATTTATATCAGGAAGCAGGTTCTGCAATTTCTATAGATTGATAGAACTGAGGGAAAAGGGGGGCCTTAACTTGCCCACAAAGGGCAGTGTATTTGTATTGATCTGATGACTAAAATACCAATGTTGTTTTCCCATTTGGTCCACAGTCTGGCTGCTGCAAGCCCCCTACAGAATGTGGCTATACTTATGTGAATGAGACGACTTGGGAAACTGGAGGAGGTGTAACGGGAACCAATCCTGACTGCACACTGTGGAACAACGACCAACGGCAACTATGCTATTCCTGTAACTCTTGCAAAGCTGGTGTTCTGGCCAGCCTTAAGAAGAGCTGGAGGAAGGTCTCCGTGATCAACATTATTGTATTAATCATCCTAGTTATCTTCTATGTGATTGGCTGTGCAGCATTCCGAAACAATCGTCGGATTGACAACGATGAGCCCTATGGGGAGGCTCGGATGACAAAATCACAACCTAGTGCTTTCCAACTCTAGTTATAATGGTAGAGAATCTGATACTTGGAAACTAAACTGTGTGAAAAATGTATCTTAAAGGTTTCGGGATTGCACTAGGGCTTATTTGTATTAGACAAGTGAACATCATGACTTTGGCTTGATTTTTCATAAGTTGGCTGTATATGTGAATTATCGGCACTTTATTTTCTCAGTATTAATCATCTATCTACTTGAGAGAAAAACAAAAGATGTCATTTTGCAACAAGACAATAGATTTCACGTTGAAAATACAGAAAATAAACTCTAGATTAAAAATTCCCTAGATATGAAACAGTCATTTATCCTGCAACATGCTCATGGAATATGTAAAATGAGAAATAGGATTCTATACTATAACTGAGCTAGTTCCACTTTCAACTACTGTGATACTTGGTGATTCAACATCAACTGATGTATCATCCTCGCGGCCTTGTTCTGGAACCCATCTTGAAACCGTGCGCTCGTCAACCGTATAGTTCTCCAAACATGATGGGGAGGCAGCATCATGACCATTTTTACTAATACTAAGAACTAGCAATGTCTTTACAACACCTAAACAAAGCCTTAAGGTGCCATGAATATCAGACCACACCCTCAATCGCCCATTTGCTTCACCATCTCCTTCTGATGACACAAGCACAGCATAATCAGAATGGACCAAATTCGGATGGTGACGGTAGGCAACAAAGTCTGCACCATATTTAAATCCGGGCCTTACAACCCAATTTTTCAGTCGAAGATGAGAATAAGCCTTGTAAAAATCAGGGAAAGCTGCTTTTTTGGATTTCATGTACTGCCAGAGCTCTTGAACATCCTTTGGGCGTTTATCTTCACCCACTATCTTGAGGCATTTGAGAGAATAGCATAGGAAAAATGCCTCTTCCATATCCAACTGAAACCACCGCTTATCCTTCTCGGCATTAATAACACGGTCGCCAAAGTAGGCACGGCCAAGGAGATGAGCTTGTTCTTCTTCTGCAGCAAGAAGTACACTACACCCACACAAGATTCCTCGAGCCTCTGATTGGATTAGAGAAGACTGGAGCTGCAATACTATCTTTGACATGGGATCTGCAAGAGCTTTAGCTTCTGCGTCTTTCGCTTTCCATTTACGCGCCATTTAATCCTACAACAAGATCAAACAGTTAGAAATTAGAACATACAACAGAAACTACTGTAACAAAAGAAACCCACCTTTTGTTTTCCTCAAGTCATATATGTTTTAGGAAATATTGAAGACCTCTAGAGGATATCCAGAATCAATTTACAAGTAATGCTCAATGCACCAAACAATCACCCTAAATATCAACCTACAAAATAAGGATGCTGTGTTCTTAATTGAACCAAATATTATTGAAAAAAAAAACATAAAGAAAAAGAAACAGAGACAGAGACTTAGAAGAAGTGACAGTTTTTAGTATGTAAAATCAGAGATTAGACATTAACTGAATTCCTAAACCCCTAATTTCTGAATCAGGAAATTAGAATGTGGAAATAGAATGAGAAGTTAAATAACAAGAAAAAGAAGAGTAGAAGAAGAACCGTTTGTGCAGCTGTGGAGCTATGGAGCGCCTGCAAGCCTGCAAGGTAGACGGAGGAGTGACTGAGGTGGATGGTGGAACCGTTTTAAACGCAGCCGTTTTGCCGCTTTGGCTTTCCCAAAGTTACGGAGAGAGATTTTACAACAGAGATAAAGAAGGAGTTCAAATCTCCTGTTACCATTTTCCCTTTCTCTCTCTCTGTCTCCCTCTCCCACTTGATTCTGAATCCAGACCTATCTCCTTTCCCTGCTCTTCTGGCTTCTTCTTTGAAAGAGAGAGGGAGATCGAGCGTGAAGCAGAGAAATCGAGGGAGATAGAAGTATGGGGACAGAGGCCAAAAAAGGACATTAGCCGGGCGGCTATACCCTATAACTAGAATATTTTAAAGGTATTGCCGAGTTGGAATAGAATATTTTAAACATATAGCCGCTCGGCTACTCTATAAATAGAATACTTTAAAGGTATAGACGAACGGCTATACTCTTTAGAATATTTTAAACCAGGCTATTATAGCCGCGCGGCTATACCGTTTAAATATCGCTCTCTAATTTCATTTTTTAATTACTTTAATGAGTAGTTATGTTTTAATTATTATTTAATTAGTGAATAGTATTTAAATATTTTATTAAAGAACAAATTTTTTTAAAAAGTTACTATTTATTAAGTAATGTAATTTATGAAGTTAATTAAAATAATTAATACTAATTTGAATATCAAAAAGGAGATCATTAAGGTCCACCTCTATGCGCCTTCATGAACTTGTCCCCAATTTGAATATCTTGAACACAAAATGATTACCCCTCAAGGCATCAGGGATGAGCTTTTGCACTTGGAGAACCTTATACTCATTTGTAAAAGGGCTGAACCCGAAATGGTGTGTAACATTGGCAGTGTGTGATGCAAGTGAAGCATGGGGAAGAGTGTGAGACTCTCGGATGGAGGGGTTAAATACGCGAATGGGGTGTTCAGGATCGGTTTGATTGGGAACTGAGGTGTTATGAAGGTAAAGACAGACCAAGCCGTTGATGCTTTGCACTTGGTAGAGATGTTCATTCTTGGTTCGCGGCGTTGGAAGGCTTAGAAGATGGACGGGTATTAAACTTCCTTGTTGGTTGATTTCCAAGGAGAAAGAAGTGTTGCTGCGTTGTGGGTTTGTCCCAGGCAGTGAGGAGGAGGTGAGTGTTCCTGTTGCATCCCAAGTTTTGATGGGCGCTGACAAAGGAAGGGTCGCGGGTGAGAGAAGACCAAGACTTGCATACACATCTGAAGCGCATGAGAGACTTGGACGGCAGCCTAGGGAGAATCTCAAAGCATGTAATTTGGCTGGGGAGCTCTGGACCTGCAGCTGGCTCCATGTATTGATCTTTGTGCCACTTTGGGATATTATCCTTCCTCACAAGTTACAAGTCTAACAGTTGATAGTTTTGTATGGGCAGATGATTGATGGGAAATCTAAAGTTCATAGTTTTCATCAGAGGGAAGCCCAGAGTAAGACAGATTGAAGTGAAGGGGTCTTTAAAGAGATGACAAGTTCCAAGTTGGTATTGAATTCCAAGTGCATCCATTCTTGTTCTTGGTCAGCAGATCGGGTATTCTTAAGTATAATACGAACACATTATGATGCAAACCAACATCATACGTATATTAGTGGGCCCACCTCTATTGGAGAGGTGGAGAACAATGTGATCGATAAATATGATACAAATAATATTATTGTTAGTAAAACTTGTTTGTAACGTGAATAACTGAACGACTAGCTTAGCATGAACATCACGATTCACGTGTCATGCAACCATAGGCCATCATCATAGCAAATGGAGCACTACTACATGTTGTCACCAGAAGAAATGCTTAGAGTTCCATTTCAAAATTTCAAGAATTGAAGACTCTCTCTCACCTATAAAAGGAGACCACTCCCCCATTTTGCAATGATCTCTCTCATCATAGATATTATGTTTGAATCAATCTCTTCTACTATGTAAGGGTGAACCACATATATATCCTCAAAGTGTTTGTACTTACCAAATCATGATATATCCCAATTTAATTAGGTATGTTAACCAATAGGAATTATACATGTTAGGTACATATACAATAATATGCACTCACTAAATAGAGTTGAACAATCCTCTGATCATGTTCAGTCTGACTTTAAAAGATTAAATGAATTGCCGATATCATCATCAAAATTCATGAATATATTGATGACCTGACTGACCTTGTATTGGTTGAAGAGCAAAAACCCATTATACGTACCCTGATTTTCTTGAATGATACGAGACAATTGACGTAATTTTTTTCAGTAGACAAGCACCCCACATTCAAAATACGCAACAACGCTAATTGTCTTTGGGTACTACTTTTGGTTGGGAACTATAATGATCTAGTATGTGACATCTGCAATCTCTACACCAAGCAGTGGGTGTGCTCCACCTCCCACCCCTCAATGTCACAATAACATACGAGCTGAATTTATATGCAGTACTAAGGAAGATGATGGCATTGGCGATGGAAAAGAAGAATGCTGCAAGTACAAAATTATGCAAATAATGATTCATGAGAGTCCAAGGGATAATTCCTTTCAATTCAACTTGCATATGTTATGTAATGAGAGTGGTAAATGATCATGAACAGAGACTGTTGAATCAAGCCCACGAAGCTTTAGTGTGAATCATTTGTGTTCCGATGCCAGTGTTCCTCACAATGGTATGTTGTATTGGTGTGAACGTGATTTTATTATTAGCTTGAATCCTTACTCCAACGATAATATGTAGAGTTATGTCAAAATTGATTTTCTAGGTGTGTGCCAATTGTACCTCAATCTAGTTGCGGATGGTCGAACCTATCTGAGAGTTCACAAAGATGATGATCATGTTGATGGCGAATGGTGTTTGGTACCCAGAGTTTACATTGACCAAATGGCTTTGAAAGATCCATTGATCACTAAATGAAAACATCAAAGCTACTTGAAAAGCACTCTTAAGGTGCAAAGATTCGATCCAAAAACAAGGACGTCTTGTGTCTAGATTTGCATCAACAACTAGTCATGTACAACATTCGTACTAGATTCGTACTAGCATATCAAAACCGCAACTTATTTGAAAAAATTAGTTTCCTCCAATATTTCATCTGTTTTTCCTGCAATTATGTTGGGATAACAATAACCTTTATAGCAAAAAAGAGCAATCTTGGAAACATTATGACCAAAAACCTATGTTTACGAATTGAGCGACATGCGCACAAGCACATTAATCCTAATTTAATAACTTGTGAATAGTCATGCCTCTCACACTCACTCACACAAAAACGCCCCACACCAACGCCCTTATCATCCTTATCACATTTTCTACACTAAAAAATTGTTCTTACAGTAGTTGATCATTTAAAATGAATCACCAGTTTCTTATATCTTATCACCAGTTTCATATTACAATACGGCCCTTTTGGTCTACACACCAAAAATAATAGATTTTTAGCAATAAGTTCATTTTAGCATGACATATTAATTTTTTTTTTGGTAAATACCACGAGGTGTCCCCACATCCGAAGGGTGGTATTACTCTCCGCTAGGGTTCGGCTTGCCCATGACCACAAAGTGCTTCCAACGGGTTTCAAACCCCTACCATTGAGGCACCAGATAGCTCGCTAGCTGAAGATGGCAGTTTGCTAACTGCCCCACACCTTGTGGTTCGACATATTAAACTTTAAGTATACATGTTTTAGGAAATATTGAAGGACCTCTATGGTGAACATCCAGAATCAATTTACAAGTAATGCCCAATGCACCCAACAATCAACTAATCACCCCCAAAAATCAACCTATTTCTGCTGTTAGAAATTAGAATTGGGATGTTGTTTTCCTAACTGAATTCACGCTATAATACTTACCAATTTACCAAATATTATTGAAAAAAACATTATAGAAAAAGAGAAAAGAAACTAAGACAGAGACTGAGATAGAGGCAGACTAGCTCTCAGAACAGAAGTGATTATATTTAGAATAGTATTTGCCCCTCACCACAAAGAAAAATCTGATAGAAGTTAGATATTTTTTTTAATTATTACAGAAATTATAGATATTCTATGCAATCATTCATGGTGGTCGTGTTGTATCTCTTCATCGTAGTCACCTGAGTTGAGTTACAATTTGTAAGGTGCCACCAAGCCCACAAAATTATAAGCTAACAACAATAGGAAATTAGGCATTTATGTAAAATTAACCCTTAATTACAACACTCTTATGAAAAACATGCTAACACATGCCATTTCAAGTTTTATCTATCAATTTTACGGTGTTTACGATTTCGACTTGATTACAAACCAAACAAAATTATGAAGGCCAAAATTGTCAGAAAGTGAAATTAGAAGAATCATGGTGAATAATAAGTCGAACTACACTCCAAACCAAAATATAGTGGATCCTACAATGTATGTCAAATTTCTCCAAAATAAGTTCATAGCTTTTATCAGGAGGAAGCCAAGAGGTCCAGGAAGATTGAAGGGGTCTTCAAAGAATTGACAAGTTCTAACTTTGAGTTCATCGCTATGTATGCTGAGCCGACCATGCAGCTAAGCTGCTTTGGTTTACTCGCTTGAAAAAAATGAGAGAACCCAAGAAGTTAAAAAGGAGGGCCAACCAAACAAATATTAGACTCAAAACTAAAAATTGACAGATACATGTGCAAGGCAAATTGCTCTTCACATTAGGAGGGGGGGGGGAGGGGGGAATATTTTTTGTGTTATTGGCTAGTTGGCTAGTTGTATTTCTCTTCACTTTGTTAGAAGATGTTCTATGTTTCGGGTTTAGGGTTTAGGGCCCAAAAAAATTAAATATAAACGAAAATAAATACCTAATCAAGTTGGAACCTTGACAAAATAAAATACAATATATAGCAAGTGTTTTGCTTCAAATAATATTGGGGTTTTTTTTGTGATAAAACTCACCTATTGGACTTTGTAGGTAGGTGGTTAAGTTGAGAACAATATCAATATTTAGTGGTTTGCTGATCATTCTCTCTGAAATCTTAACAAAAAAACACCTCACAAACAAGTTGCATTTGTTTTCCCTTGTGACCAATTGAACTGAAGCTTGATGATGAAATACGCCATATCTCATCTTAAGAACACAATGCTATCCTCTTGTTGCTGAAGCTTGATGAAGAAATAGGCCATATCTCATCTTAAGGGCACAATGCTATCCTTATAACTAGCCAGCAACTTCAATCGATCGTCGTTCAGAGATGCATATTCGGGGGGCAAAACAATCTCATCACTTCCCCTAAAACTTGCACTCTCCATATTGTATAGAAGCACCCTCGGATGATCAGGATTCTGTATGCTTAACCTTGAAGATTGGAGGAGGAGCTCACCTATGTGAATGGTACAAGAAGGGAACTGGGTACCCTGCTTCCTCCCAATGAAGGGAAAAAGAGATGGTCTCCTTCACCCAAACCTGATTTTGATAGTCCCTCAAAACCCCAAGCCTTAAAATGTTCAGTCTCATCAACTCCTTGTCACCTGTTAGAGCCACACATCCATCCACTTCAACTATACTCTCAATGGGAAAATCAATATGATGTGTAAAACAATTATAATCTTTAGGAAGTGGAATTGCTCTGAATTTCTCATCTCCAATGTCAAAAGCCAGTATGACATTGTTAATCCCATGAATCCAATGTACAGCCCCGTTGACGCAAACACTTCGCTTATGAAATGGGGATGTAAAAGGATTAATACGGAGACCATTACAGTCTACCTCTATGTGCCTCCATGAACTTGTCCCCAATTTAAATATTTTGAACATAAAATGCTCACCCCTCAAGGCAGGGATGAGTTCTTGCACTTGGAGAACCTTATACTCATTTGTAAGAGGACTGAACCCGAAATCATACGTAACATAGACTTTGCGTGATGCAGGAGCGCGGGAGAGAGCGATAGACTCTCGGGTGTAGGGGTTAAAAATACGAACGGCTTTGCATGATGCAGGCTGCAAAGCTTGGGGGAGAGCGATAGACTCTCGGGTGGAGGGGTTAAAAATGCGAACGGGGTGGTCAGGATCGGTTTGATTGGGAACTGTAGTATTATAAAGGTAAAGACAGACCAAGCCGTTGATAATTTGTGCATTGTAGAGACATTCATTCGTGGTTTGCGGCGTTGGAAGGCTTAGAAGATGGGTGGCAGGGATTAGACTTCCTTCTTGGTTGATTTGCAAGGAGAAGAAGTGTTGCTGCGTTGTGGGACGTTTGTCCCAGGCAATGAGGAGGAGGTGAACGTTCTTGTTGCATCCCAAGTTTTGATGGGCGCTGACAAAGGAAGGGTCGCGGGTGAGAGAAGACCAAGACTTGCAGACACATTTGAAGCGCATGAGAGACTTGGAGGGTAGCCTTGGGAGAATCATAAAGCATGTAATTTGGCTGGGGAGCTCTGGACCTCCAACTGGCTCCATGTATTGATCTCTATGCCACTTTGTTAGGATATTATCCTTCCTTACAAGTATATAAGTCTAAAAGTTGATAGTTTTGTAGGGGCAGATGGTGGATGGGAAATCCAAAGTTTAGTTTTTATTAGAAGGAAGCCAGGAGCTTCAAGACGGATTGAAGTGAAAGGTTCTTTGAAAACACGACAAGTTCCAAGTTGGTGTTGAATTCCATGTGCATCTATATTAATTGAAGAATATTAATATTACAAATGTAATGATTCCCAGAATTATATATTTCATATTACTTGGGACAAAAACAAAAATTATTGTTTACATACGACTATGTTTCAAGTAAACGATTCAACATACTCTGTTCCATACGAAAAAAACAAAAATAAATAGAAGGTTAAAAAAATTCCGCTGCCAGAAGTTGAATCCGAATTGCCTTTATAATAGGAGTATTGCTACAGCAGATTTGTTAATCATGAGAGAGATAAAAACTATATAAACGAGAGTTATATGAGTTTTATTTTTGTGTTATATACAATGACCAAGAAGAAAGTTAGGTAAACAAAAAGAGCAACTATATTGAGAAATAGGAATCTATATTTCAAAAAAAAGGCAACTATATTTCAACCAATTACTTTCATTCCTGGTCTAAATGACGTGGCTTTTAATTCATTGTTTATGAAACACAAGTCATTGTTTACCGCCGCGCAAAGAAAATATTTGCTTGCGAATCAACAAGATATTGAGAAATTGTCCATACGTAAAATTATACATGAAATTATAATTATTGATACGGGTCTCTTTTCCACATAAAAAGGGAATCCTTTGTTACAATAGAAGCAGAAGTGATGTGGATTATTCAAGAATCAAAGTCGATTTGCTTTATAAAAAGAAGATATCAATGAACTTCTATGAAATGGTTTCACGGGATTCAACCAATTGTCTTGATCGTGGGATATCATTGAGAAATAGGAATCCATGTTATCAAAAGATTTCCTGCGATTATTTCTAGTATGGAAGTCAATCATCCACTTTTGTTTATGCAAATAATATCGCGGGAGAATATTCGCTTCTAGATCCTTTGTCCCTTGATCTTATTTTTCTCTCCTCCTTGATTCCTGTAAAAAAGACCCGAGTAAATAGATCACACCCGGGGGTGTTGGCCAAAGGCCCTCTGATGCCTAAGTTAGTTAAATTGAATTTAAGAGAAACAATAGTTAAAAAAAAGGGTATGGAAATGTATGTATGGTGTGAACCGGGTAGCCGAAGCCGTGTGGAGAAAATATGGAGATAAGAGAGCAATGTGGGCGACGGCAATGTGGTTGCCACCGGCTAGGGGAGAGAGGAGAGAGAGATCTCGGGTATTTTTGCAGGGTTTTGGAGCTTGGTTTTTGAAGTACCTTGAATGATGAAGTCATCTATTTGTAGGAGCCTCGGAGGCTAAAGTTTCGTAGAGAATAAAACTCTTATTAGAGGAGTTTATTCTTTCCTCAAATTGTAGAGATTGAGTCCATTAAGGATTTGATTGGGATCCAAATCTCCTAATTTGATGATGATTATATCTCCTTATTAGGATAATATCTAAATTAATGATAGTATCTTAATAAATAAAGATAATGTCCTATAATTAAGATATTATCCCAAATTAATTAATTGGCCAAATAAATTGGTTCAATTAATTATTTTAAGGCATAAGCTCTAAACCCATATTCTTCTTTTCCACGTGGTGTGCTATGATTGGAGACGAAAATATTTGCTCATACAACTTTGGTATCTTATTGAACACAAAATAGTGATATTTTTCCTCCATTGATCAAGAATTTAGATTTTTGGGAAGTCTCATTATCTTCTAATAAGAAGGGTTTCAATTTTTTGAAATGAACGATTTGAAGACCTACTAATTCTAACAACTGATTGCAGGGTTGATCATTCGAACAGAAAATTTAGTTTCCTCCAATATTTTATTTTTTTCAGTTATTTTGGGATGACATTAAACTTGATTTGTCACTATCTTATAGACCAGTTATTACCAGAAACATATCTTTAGAGCAGAGATGTGTGCACAATAACATATGAATAATCCATGCCATTCACACTCACACAAATCTACACCAATCATCCATTATCATCCTTACATTTTTTTTACTTTACTTCATTTTTTTTTTTTTTTTTTTTTTTTTTTTTTTTTTTGAAAGGAAAAAAAAACTTTGTTAGATGAGGGAATCGTTGTTGTATAGCTGATCGTTGCTTCACAAATTTGACACCCCAATATCTTCTTACTATATTTTTAAATTGAAAATTAAAGGGAAATTAAACTTTATTTTACTCTCATGGCAGCAGAAATATCAAATTTCAGGGCCTCCTCGTCTTGCAACAATTTGCAAGCACAAGGCACCGTGAAAAAACCTAATATGTTTTTTAAGGTAAGAGAAGCCACCAAAATAACTTCTATTTGCAAGTTCACCATTGAATTAAAGCTTGATGATGAAATAGGTCATAACTCTCTTCTTAAGGGCACAATGGTATCCTCATAAGTAGCAAGTAACTTCAATGCATTATCCTTCAGAAATGTCGATCCGGGGGGCAAAACAATTTCATCAATTGCCCTAAAATTTGCAGTCTTCATGTTGTATAAATGCTCCCTCATATAGGCAGGGTGATGCCTGCTTAACCCTGAAGACTGGAAGAGGAGCTCACCTGTGTGAATGGTACAACAAGGAACAGGGTACCCTACCTCCCTCCAAACAAAGGGAAGAGTGATGGCCTCCTTAAGCCACAGCTGGTTTTGGTAGTCCCTAAAAACCCACAGCCCCATCAGTTCCTGTCCCATCAACTGCTCATCACCTACTAGAACCAAACATCCATCCACTCCAATTATATAACTAACCAAATGCAGAAAACAATTATAATCTTTAGGGAGTGGGATTGCTCTGAATTTCTCTTCAACAATGTCAAAAACCAATATAACATTTTGTGTCGCATGCAACCAATGTATGACCCCATTAACGCACACGCTTCGCAAATCAAACGGGCACTTAAGAGGACCAGAAGGGAGATCATTAAGGTCTACCTCGATGTTCCTCCATGAACTTGTCCCCAGTTTGAATATCTTGAACATAAAATGGTTACCCCTCAAGGTAGGGACAAACTTTTGCACTTGGAGAACCTTATACTCATTTGTAAGAGGACTGAACCCGAAATGGTGTGTAACATGGGCTGTGTGGGAAGCTGGTGAAGCATGGGGATAGACTCTAGGTGCAGGGGTTAAATACTCGAACGGGGTGGTCAGGATCAGTTTGATTGGGAACAAAGGTGTTATGAAGGTAAGACAGACCAAGCCGTTGATACTCTGCGCAAGGTAGAGCGTTCGTTCTTGGTTCGAGGCATTGGAAGGCTTAGAATGTGGGTGGAGGGTGTTAGGCTTCCTTGTTGGTTGATTTGTAAGGTGAAGAAGTGTTGCTGCCTTGTGGATTTGTCCAAGGCAGAGAGGAGGAGGTGAGTGTGCTTGTTGCAGCCCAAGTTTTGATGGGCAGTGACAAAGAAGGGTTGTGGGTGAGAGAGGACCAAGACTTGCACACGCATTTGAAGCGCATCAGAGACTTGGACGGTAGCCTTGGGAGAATCTCAAAGCATGTAATTTGGCTGGGGAACTCTTGATCCGCAGTTGCTTCCATGTATTGATCTTAGGATAATATTATTAACTTTCCTTGCAAGTTATAAGTCTAAAAGTTCTAGTTCTGTAGGGGCAGATGGTGGACGGGAAATCTAAAGTTCATAGTTTTTATCAGAAGGAAGCCAAGAGTAAGACAGATTGAAACTAATTCTGCTTGTTGAATTTGTTTAAAGCTTTGAAGAGTAAAACAAGAAAACAAACATTTACTCAGTGATTTTATATTCCTCGTCAGTATCAATACATAGTTACTATGCCTTTTTGCATTGGCTCTTATTCTATAACAAGAGAAGATGAACGACGAAGAAGTCTTCTTCTATTATTCATCTATTTAACTTTTGTATTACTGTAATGGTTACTCCTTTTTTTGTTTCCACAATCACTGCCCTACACCCTGCAAACCAACAAAGAAGTGAGAAACGAAAATCGAACTCTAAACCACTAGCAAATAATGCTCTGACAGTATTTTCAGGAATTTTAGAGCGTATGATTTTGGAATTTTGGAATTTTTAATTTCAAAATACCAAAAACCTTTACAAAGAAATGTATAAGATAATGATGATGACATTTTAAACTCTAAATGTATGAAATTAGCCCATAATTAATGTAATTACTCTCTAGTTTGCAGTCTTCGGTAAAGTAGTAAATGAGAGAGAAATGAAGAAATAGAGCAAAAGGAGAGTAACATGACAAATAGAGAGAAGGTAAAACATCACCAAGTTCAGACTTCAAATTTTCTAGAAGATAACCAACCATTGAATTGAAGCTTAGAATTAGATGATGAAATTAGGCAATCTCTCATCTTAAGGGGACAATGCTATCACCACCACAACCAACAAGCAATTTCAACCGAAGATGATCTGAAAGTCTCAACCGTGGTGAAACAATTTCACTTCTGAAACTTTTACTCTCCATGTTGTAATAGAACACTTTCACTTGGGCAGGATCCTGCCTAAGCAATCTTGAAGATTGCAAAAGTAGCTCACCAGTGTGAATCGTATACAAAGGGACAGGGTACCCTAAGTCCCCCCAATAAAAAGGAAAAGTTATGGTCTCCTTAACCCAAACCTGGTTTTCGTAGTCCTTCAAAATCCATAACTCCATCATGTTCTGTTGCATCAGGTGCCTGTCTCCTATTAGAGCCAAACATTCATCCAGTTCAACTATGTCCCCAAGGGTATTGTTGATACCATGGATGCCATAGTTATAATCTTCAGGAAGTGGGATGGCTCTGAATCTCTCGTCTTCAAGATCGAAAACCGCTATAATGTTCTGCGTTGACACGTGCATCCAATGTATGGCTCCATGAGCGCACACACTTCTCCTGTCAAAGTGGCACTTAAGCAGATCAAAAGGGACATCATTAAGGTCTACCTCTATTCTCCTCCATGAACTTGTACCTAGTTTGAAAATCTTGAACATGAAGCTCCTATCCTCTATAGAATTTAGAGGCTGAAACCTTTTCACTTGAAGAACCTTATACTCATTCGTAAGAGGACTGAACCCGAAGTGGTGTGTAAGGTGGATGGCGCTGTATGCAGGAGAATCATGGGGAAGAATTATAGACTCTCGGGTGCATGGGTTGAGGATTCGAACGGGATGGTTTTGGTCAGTTCGATTGGGAAACACTTTGTCAGAAAGGTAAAGACAGACTAACCCATTGACACTCAGTGCATTGTAGAGACGTTCACCATTCTTGGTTGGAGGTGTTGGAAGGTTTAGAAGGCGGATGACAAGCGTTGGACTTCCTTGTTTGATTTGTATGGAGAAGAAGGTCTGCTGCAGCATGGCTTCGTCCCAGGTGGTGAGGAGGAGCTGAGTGTGGTTGTTCCGGTGGAAGTTTCGATGGGCATTGACAAAGGAAGGGCTGCGGTTGAGAGAGGACCAAGACTTGCAAACGCATTTGAAGCGCATAAGGGACTTGACCGGCAGCCTGGCAAGTATCTGAAAGCATATAACTTCGCTTGGAAGCTCTGAACCAGACTCCATGGATCTCTGCGACTTCCTTGGGATATTATTGGTATAAATCACAACTAGTTTTGTAGAGGCAGATGGAGGACAGAAAATGCAAGGGTCATTGTGTAATCTGAAGGCGGCCAAAATGTCAAGGGTCTTTAATAATGGACAAAAGTTCCAAGTTTGAATTCATCGTCAAATGTTGACTAAGCTGCCTTTGGTTTTTTGGTTGACTTTAGAAAGACAACATTAGCTTTCCATTTGTTTTCTAAGAAAAGAAAAATGGCCAACATGTCACCTAACCAATTAAAAATTTAAGGGCTGCTTCTAGATTTTGAAATTTTCTTATTATAATTGGGGTACTGGCCTATACTTCAAGAACAAAACATACATAAAAGAAACAAGCAATGAAGTAGTGTGCAAACTTCTGTAAAATTTCTGTATACATTATTTAAGGAAATGTAAATGGCTATGTGCTTCCAGTGGGGTACTCAGTAAATGTACAAAAGTTATGTACTTCTGGTATCTTAATAACTAACAGTGTCAATGAGGACTTGTGCTACTGATTTGATTGGGGTGAATGACAATTCCATGAACTGGTCGTGACCGGCCTATCGAGTTTCTGCGTGAGGTTGCAGCCGAAGAAGGCATTGGTTCAACATTAGGAGGTATTGGAGTTTCAGGTGAGTGGCCAGATATGCAGAGGGCACCGGAATCATCTTGCTCCCAGTAAACTTCTACCATAATCCCTCTTGGATTCTCTGCAGATTCTGTGCCTGGAATCCCCACAAACCTAGCTCCGACTGGTATCTGCATAGTCATTGAGATACAATAAGAGAAAAACAAGAAAACATGAAATTACACGTGATTTTATAGCCATTGCTTATGTATCTCGCTACAGAATGATATAAAGAGAGAAATTGAGCTTACCTCGACTGGGGCTCCGGATGTTAAAGTGAGAGTGACCAACCTCCCCTCAGCTGTGGCAGTTTCTAGCTCTGCCTGCCTTGCAATATTCAAGAAAACTTCCTCTAGAGTTGTAAGACCAAGTTGGATGTCTGATATACCGAATTCACTTTGTCTGTCTTGAAGCTCAGCAAAAAAATTCTGCAGAAGATTTACAAAATATATGAAAACATGTATACCATCTTGGCAATTAAATGCGTCCTCCAAGCTACCGAAACGAAAAACATAAGCTGCATTACACGATTTTATTATCGAATAATCAAATTTATTGGTTTCAACATAACATCTTCCTTCTCCTGCAAATAGAGTAACATGAGAGTTTTCAAATTCATTTTATTAGCCACAACCTACGAGAATTAGACATTGTGCCATCCTTCTTGTATCAAGTTTCGGTATAAAAACAACTGTAATTACCTTGAAAAGAAAAAGTTGCTATAAAAGATATACTAGAAAGTGAAATGATTACCTTCAAAAGCCCCTCTCTGTCGTGAGGAATAACAAAAGTCAGAAAGGATTTGTTCTCTTCTTTTGGTAAAACATCCAAATGCTGTCAAAACATTTCCCATGTTAGAAATTAACCTTTGTATGCGTAAAAAAAAAAGTTTAAATCACTTTCGAAATTATCATACATGTTTAAAGAACTGCTTCACTGCCTCATGGTGAGGTGTAGCAACTGCATCACTGTTTGGAGGACTTTGTCCATTGGTGCTTCCAGTGAAGCTTACATTAGCAATAAAACCAGTCCCAAACCGTGACTTCAGCCTGATTGAAGTTCCAATGCAACGGAGCCTACCCTTTGCCATTATTCCAATCCTGTCACTTAAAATGTCAGCTTCTTCCATTGAGTGAGTGGTTAGGACAATTGCCCGCCCTTTTTTGGCATCCTCTATGATGTCCCATACATGTCTTCTAGTTATTGGATCCATACCAGTTGTCTGCAGATCATAAACTAAAACACATAAACAGAGCGTCTAGATTTACTCTCTCGTTGGCATAGGCTGATTATTGGTCATTTAGTTCAATGGCTGATTTGTAGCTTAAATTAAGTTCTGATTATTAGGCATGTAGTTGAATTTGAGGCATACTGTCTGATTAGCTTAATTCAAGGCTAATCTTCATAGCAGATTTATGTCTTGGTATCCCATATAAGCACCCATGTTATTCTTCATAAGTAATGCAACATAATGATCTTCCTCATATTTTAATAAATTATTTTAATACGAATACAGAGAAAAGTTTATAATTTCCATACCGGTTCATCCAAGATGACTAACTTTGGATCACCAATAAGGGCTATTGCAAAACTCAGGCGACGTTTCATTCCTCCACTGTAACTCCCAGCTCTCATTTTGGCTGCCTCAGTGAGCCTCACCTCTGCCAAGGACTTCTTAGCAACCTACATTTGAGAAGGAGCATTCATCTTATACATGAACAAACAGTTTTTCTGCTAGCTTGAGCTCATAAAGCATGGAGACAAAAATGAAAGATTATAATGCCCAGAGTTCAAACATTTGCAAAGTAGAAAGCATGCAATAGGAAGTTTTCTGCCCTATCATCGGTGGTATACAACCAGTGATAGGGAAGAATTACTCCTTGAATAATTAGCATAGCACATACTGATTTGATTGAAGCTGGGGATAGGCCTTTAATACTAGCGAACAGGTGGAGGTGCTCTTGCCCAGACAATGCATCCCACAGAATGTCAAACTGTGAACATAGGCAACATATGGACAAGTTAACTCTAAATTTATCAATGAGTTGAAGCACCACGATGAAAACTACGTAACTTGCATACTCTTGAAGTACAGACATTCATATACATGCTCATATGTGTGTGTATGTGTGTAGGGAGGGAAAGCAGATCACCTGCGGACAAACTCCAATCATTTTTCTAATTTTTGCCATGCCAACAGAGCTTTGGGCAGAATATCCATAAATCAATGCTGTTATCAAGACAGTTCACAATTTATCATATCCATAGTGATTTCATCAGGGAATTTTTTTATTCATGAACTCAAAAATAATGATACTATTACCATCTCCACCAGTCACCGGGGTGATGCCAGTCAGACAATTAATTGCCGTGGTTTTCCCAGCTCCATTGGGTCCAAGTAAACAAAATAACTGATCCTTGGAAAAGTTCACCCATAAACCCTGAAGGTTGTTCAAAAGAAATCCATTGTTATTATTAATTAAAAACAAACCTGAACATATATGCTGTTTCTGCATTATACTTTTTGTCTCAAGTGTTAAATATTAATGACAGCTGATGAAAATCATGAAATATCAATCATTTTAGCTTAGAGGGGTATTCCTCTAGGCAGCTAAGTGATTGAAGGAGAAGTCCTTTTCAACTTTCACTGATAACTAAAAGTCAGAAAAGGTTCTTTACCTTGAGGGCATGGTAAGGTGAAGTCCTCGTGCATCTACAGCAACCAATATTTGTGGTCCCAGGATATGTCTTTACAAGGCCACGTATCTGAACTGCAATGTTCGGATCAATTATGCCTTCCCTAGTTTGTTGTTTTACAATGTTCTCCTCTTCAAGGACATCTTCATCATCTGGAGAAAGTTGCTCCTGTGGTGGAACTGAACCTATGCAACTGCAAATGCCACCCTCTATGAAAAAGAGGAAAAAAAACATTAAGTAAAATCCAACAAGGTAAACTCACACACAATCTGCAGTCCAGTCTTATTTTTACCTTCTACTTTGTTTCCACCTTTCCCTATCCAGTACCCAGGCTTCAAAAAGTAAAACACTGATTTTCTCACACCAGATGCGTTTGGGATGATATTATCGAAGTAGATAGCCAATACAAACCAGAGGAAGAATGTGGCCACCAGCCATATATAAATGTCATTCTATAAAAGTTCAAATCAGAATATTATAATTACGTACTAATCAAAAGGACTAATAACCTATTGTAAATGTTTTGAGTTTGAGGATCAATGTGTTACATACAATTGTTATAACACAGTCATCATCATTTGGTGCACACTTTGTTCTTCTACTCCAGCTAACCCCAATATCTTGAGGAGTGGATGTTGCACCAGCGAGTATCTGTAGAGCTATGGCAAGAAGATTAGGTGGGAATAATGACCAGAGGCTTCGAAAGGTTCTGGAGATGCTATCAGAATAGGGAAATCCAAATGCTGTAACAAGCTGCAATGACAAAATGGATTCTGTCAGTACCATTGAACCAACAATCCCTAATATATAAATCTTGAACTAAGGAATCTTGCCTGGGTCATAAAACCAACAATAAATATAGAGAAACCCACAGTTGTGGATGAAGATGACTTGCTTATGAAGGCCGACAACATAAAGGCAAAACCTAGCTGGCATGAAATGTTAGAGAGGACGGATCAGAGGTTATGAACTTATGATAAAACCAAGAGGCTTATTTAAAAACATAAATCAGAAAGAATTAGAATGAATTAAAAAAAAGTAATTGCAAACTTGCAAGAAAAAGTCTTACCATATTGAGTTGGAAAAGAAAGAAGACAAGGAACAAGACCGCAAAATTGTTCTTTAGGAAAAAATCAAACTGAAACATCATTCCGAAAAGAACGATGAAAAGTGATGAGAGTAGTGTAATGATTCCCTCCCATGCGAGCCATGAGAACCAGTATGCAGTATCATAAAGACCCATCATTGTCATTGCCTGCTTGGCAAAACAAATAAAACACCAGATAATTAATTGATTCTGCAAAAGAACAGCAAGGCTAGTAATAGTAATAGCCGTTTAACTGGACAGTGTTATGCATTAACTTAAAGCAGCTTAAAGCCATCACCTGTCGAAGCTTTAGTTCTTTCTCTGTGATCAAAGAAGTCATTTGAAACACAAAACCAAACATGGCAGTTGCAAGAAAAAAGGTTGGTCCTACTGTATCCAATGCAGAGAAAAGCTCCATTGCAGGGTGTGCAAATTCCTTGAAAGCAACAACCCAGCTAAAATTTGGAACTGAAGATGTCATTATATGAGAGCTAAGGTCAGGGTGATAATCATGCAAGTAAACTTTCTGCATGTAACACAGGACTACAAGAAACAAAGCCTAATACCTCCAATCAGAGACCGAGCAATTTCACGCTCTGCAGCAATCTGAAGCGGAATTTGAAATTTGAAAGTGGGATCTTCATATTGCCCTCGTTTTGCAACAGGAGTAGAATTAGTCTGTATGCCATAGCTAATAACAGTGGCGTTTCTTTCCAAAAAATGCAACGCTCCTGGGCAATGCATTGGATTACTATACAGCCATGCATCCACTTCAGCTGTTGTTCTAAACGATTTGACCTGCAGAAATAAAAGGCACGACAAGAGTTATTACATGATATTTGTTATTCAGACTTTCTCACACCCAATTGTGATTTCCCTTTCCCAAGCCCCATTTCCCATGAACCAAAAGCACCCTAACAGTAACAAACAATGCAAAAGAAAGAAACTCAACGCAACTCAGTGAACCAACCTATTTAAGTGAAGCATAAATCAATGAGATTTAACATTTTGAATTTTTTTCTCCCCCTTCCCTCCCTTTTAGCCTCAATTTTTCAACAACCAAACCCAAAATTTTGATTCTCAATGATAGTAACAATTCAATCTTAAGATATCAAGTGTCACCATATTCGAAATATAAACAAAAATTCATGACTGAATATGAATATAATCAAGACTTCTTAGTTTTAAATTTTAATGAGGTTTTGTTGCATCTATGCTTATGCTTAAAAATTAATCAGGTCCAAAGGTCATATCAGACAAGGTTTCTAAGGCATTTTTGCATTGTTTAGTCTTAAAAGGTTATCAGGTCAAAAGGGCGTATCATTTATCTTTGTTGGGGTTTTACATGGAGGCTTGAGTAATGAACAGCCCTGCACTAGGTGGCATTGGCTTTTCATTCTTGCATGTGCATCAAGTAAAGGATATATCCTCTAAAATCTGAAAAGCCAATGCCAGCAATTTGTCATCACCCAGATCCCTCATATCCCAAGCTCAGGCAAGACAATACCATCACCAAAATCAGTATTATGCATGCTACATATATACTTAAATGAGCTAACAATAAAATTGCAGGAGAGAAAAACAATCAGATTGATGCTGTAACAAAATCAATTCGCAGAGTCAGAATCAAATTCAAGCCCAAAGTGGAACAGTTTATTTTCAAGCAACTGGAAATGGGTCGTGTGCCTTTGGTTAAAAAAAGTATATGCCTTTGGTAAAAAATTCTTAGCCTATGGTAAAAACAAACAAATTATATGCCTTAAGTCTAAATCCAACAAAGACCACATTGCTGACGTGGCTAAGTAATGCGAACGGTTATCGTTTCCCCAAGTAAAACAAACAAAACAGAATCAAAAGAACAAGAAAAACGGCCCCGAACACTTTCTCCCCCATTTTCTCGACAACCAAACACAACACCAAGCTCTACACAGCAATAATCCAAATCCCTCCTTACCTTGCTCGCAGGAATGGGCCTGCCGGGATTATTATCCATGATAGCACTGACGATTCTCTGAATCCTAGCGCTCCCATCTCCGCTCCACACGAAGTCAAAGCACGGCGTTTTGATGTAGTACTTGTCCTCGCACGGTGGGATCGGCAGCGAAACCAGAGATGGAGGATCGGCGACGCTCTTGTACGCCGTGGACGACGCGTTTCGAGCCTCGATCGCCTTCTGGATGCAGAAGATGAGGAAGATGAAGATGAAGGACGAGAAGAGCTGGAGAAATGTAGCCCTCTTGTTCCGCCATGAGAGCAGGAGGTTCTTCCTGAACAGAGCCTTGAATTGCTGGTGCAACAGCGGAAAACCGCTGCGTAAACCCATGGCTTCTCTGAGCTTTTGCTGTGGACTTTTGAATTGAGAGTTTGTGTGGGCGGATTGGGAGAAGCTTTATGCTTTATACTGATTTTCAGTGGACTGGTCCAGTTCTGTTTCAGAGGGCGCGGTTTTACGCGTTGAGTTTTAGGTGATGATGAATTCCCAAATCAGCCTTGGGTTTAGGTTGAATTTACGAATTTGCCACTAAGCTTAGCTTGTGTTAGGACAAGGAAGTTCGTCTCCACGGGAAGGACGGAGACTTTCTGCCAAATGTCGTGAGATTGTTTGGTGTTTGGTAAAAGGCGCCTGAGAAATGTTGGTGATATTTCGCGCTGTTTTTTTATTATTATCTTGTTTTCTTCAAAATTGACCTTTTGTGTTTTTTTGGGTAAATTATTTGACCTTTCGTGTTGGTTTATGTGCTGAATAGGTCATTAACCCCTTGGATGATCAAATGTTTTTATTTATTAATTATATATATATATATATATATCTCATATGGGTGATGAAATGTTTAAGTGAAAACAAATTTATTTTAAACGAATGAAAATGCAAATAATATTATTGGAATTTTCTTTTTGTTATCAATGTGTTCGGGACTTCGAATTTAAGACATCTTTCAATGTTGTGAAGAGAAATACCATTAGACCAAGAGTTAGTTAGTGAAATTTTAAATCATTTTAAGCGTAAGGAACCTTGTATTACAAAATGTTTTACGAATTGATTAGTTGATTCCATTTGTATTGCCATGAAATTAGGAGCTTTGTTCAATTCACTCTAACGTTCTTGGGGGCAGAAGTGTCATTGTAAAATTCATAACGGTGGACGACGCAGCAATCAAAGAAAAAAATGTACAGAAGTATTACGTCGAGCACAGAAACCAGTTACTTGGAACTTAAGTAATAATGATACAAAGTATATTATTACAGAAATGACTCTTTACTCCTTATCATTTAAAAGTATATAATTTTAATAACACCGTGATCAATTGTGGGCGACATGGGATTTGAATTCCACACAATGTGGTTCATAGCCACATGCTCTAATCCTCTAAGTTACGGACTTAACATGGTCTCTACTAGATCAGAGTAACCTACATAAAATAAAATAAAGAATTTTTCCAGTTCTCATGTTGAGAGAAATTAGTGTTAAAATGAAATTTAATGGTTAATAAAAAAAAGTTATGTGATTTAAAACAACTTATCTCAAGGACTTTTATTATTTTTTTGGAAGGTCAATTTATTGAATGAAGAAATAATAGAATACTACGGTGGTATAGTCACGTGGTACATTTTGTACACGGGTTATAATATAGGTGAATGACAAGGTTTATTTTTTCTCCTTTCAAATAATAATATCTATAAATATCTCGTTATATTATAACACGTGTCTAAAATATATCACGTGACCATATTATCGTAATATTCCATAATCTCTCCATCGAATTAATAATTTTTCACCATTGTGTGTATATGTGATTCTTTGACCAATCTTTAGTTCTTCTCATCTTGGAATTTGAATTTGAATGCAGTGTTCATTTAAGTAAGGTTTCCAAGTTTTGAAATTACAAAGATTATTTAATTGATATCTAGTTTGAATGAACTTTAAAATTCACAAGATACAATTTTTTTTTAAATCGACATGAGTCACATGACATACCATTTGACCGCACGAAGCTCCATGGCAAATGCTTGGTTCAGAGACCACTCTTAAACTAAACATTTTTTGGCTAATCAATTGGGTCTGAAGAAGCAATGGATGCCAACATTAATTAAGTAATTAAAAGTGCAAATAAAGATACAATTGTTCGTTTCTCTATAAGTCCCATCCTGAACTCAATACCCAAGAGGCTGCAACAAGCAGAACATCCTTTGTGTGGTAATTTATAAAATTTATATAACTATTAGTTAAAGAAAAACATACTATTAATAATTGAAAAGAATTATGGATTCCTCATACTAAAAAGAAAAACATTCAGTAACTCCCTCATCAACAATCATTCAGACCAAAAATTCAATGAAATCCACTTGCAGTTTCAATGTCTATTGTGATAGTCAGAAGAAGATGTGTTTCAACTTTCAAAGAGGCAAGTTACCTTCATAATTCTCTTTTTGTATCAATGGCAACAATGCGGGATCTACTTTATCTTTACACAGTAAATCAACTATCAATTCTGTAGTTGATGCATCCGCAGAGAAACCCCTCTCCACCATTTGTTGAATAAGTCCCATAGCCCTGTCTGTCTCATTGTTATTGATGAACCCTTGAATAATAATGTTATACGTATACCCATCTGGAGAACAACCTTTCTCTTCCATTTCGGTTAGCAGCTTTTCTGCTTCACATGTCAGGCCCTCAATACAGAGTCCTTTAATCATGATGTTATATGTCCTTGTATTTGGTTGAAGTCCCTTTGATGATAACCCGCGAAAGAGAACCCTTGCAGATTCAATTTTCCCAGCTATGCACAAACCCTCGATAAGAATAGTGTAAATCACAATATTTACATCCAACTTCTTGCCTTCCATCTCTCTAAACAATTGGATTGCTGTAGAAAGTTGTCGGTTTTTACACAGGCCATCCAGTAGAATAGCATAAGTTTGAACATTTGGAAGTTGGCCACAAGCTTGCATCTTAGAGAACAGCTGTTGTGCATCACGTATTTTGCCCATTTTGCAACAACCGTCCACAACAGTATTATAAGTAACGGTATTTGGAACCAGCCCTTTACCAGACATTTCCCCAAGAAGCATCATGGCCTCATCCATCATCTTTTGCTTACAAAATCCGTTTATCAATATGCTATAACTAAAAGCATCAACCACGGAGCCATTGCTAAGCATTAGTTCAAAAACCTTTTGCGCTTTGTCCATTCTTCCTTGCAAGCAGTAACCATCCATTAGTGAATTGTACGTAACTGTATTAGGTTCAATATCTCTTTGAATCATTATTTCAACCATGCCTTCTGCTTCCAGGACCATCCCCTCCTTACAAAGTGTGTCGACCAAGACACTGAATGTGCGCACATCTGGATAGATATTTTTACTCACCATTTCATGCAACAACCTTGTAGCTTCGTTCCACTTGCCTAATTTGCAAACTCCATGAATCAAGGATGTATAGGTAATGACATTTGGGGCAACACCCTTGCACATCATTTCTGAGAAGAGGTTTAACGCATCATCAACTAGTATATCCTTACTAAGACTGTCGATGATTGTGTTATAGACAACTAGGTTAGGCTGGCAAGCTCTTTCTTCCATCTTCCTAAGCAACTGAATAGCAGCACTATTGTTACCTTTCATGCACAAGCCCTTCAATAGTGTGCCATAAGTAAACACATCAGGCTGACAATTACCTCCCCCAATCATTTTGTTGAAAATTCCTGCTGCCTCAGCCACTCTATTCTCGAGAAGAAAGCCGTTGATTAGAGTGTTGAAGGTAGAGACTATTGGTTTAAGACCAAGTTTGAAGAAATTTCCCAAGACAGATAAACTAAACCCCATTTGGTTCAAATGGCAATGACAATTAATGAGAATGTTCAGAGTATAACCATCAGGTTCAATTCCCGACATACCCATTTGGTTGTACAAAGATATGACGGCCGAATAATGTTTCAATTTCGCAACTTGGATCAAGATTTGATTGAAAGGGGCAACAGAAGGCAGAGGACGCATTTGAAGCATTCTATCGAACACACTGAAAGCATCCCCAAGATTAGTGATATTGGGTAAGTCTCTCACTAGCTGCTTGAGTTGGGTACTTCTAGATTTGATTGGTTTAGAAGGTTGAGAATGAAAGAAAGCAAAGTAATTGTTAAGGAAAACAACAAGAGTGGAGTTAGAGTGAAGACAAGGCATACCCCTCCTGCTCCAGCAAGAAGAAGAAGAAGCCACAGCAGCAGCAGTTGTAGATTTAATCATCTTCAGCATCGCTCCAACTGGTTTCCTTGAGAAAGCTCAAGTCTGTTACCATGAATTCGACAAACACTTTGTTTCTTTTTTGTTTTTTGGTCCTACCAAACACGAAATGGTTTGGTTTTTGGTCTGAATGGCACGAGAATTTATTTATTTGTGGAGTTTATATTGGTTTTGATAGAGAGATAGAGATTTTTTTTTTGATAGGAGAGAGAAGACTGGTTTTGCTGTTTTGCACTCATTTTACAATGATTTGGGATGTAAAACAAAGTTTGTTTAATTTTTCAATTATACCCATATTAAATCAAATTAAAAAAAAATATATATATTTAATAATATATTGTAATTCTAAATTGTTAATGTGTACAAAATGGTCATGAAAAATGTACATTTAATGTTGGCTCATTTTCTCAAACTTTCCAATGTGCAGGGAAAACAAAACTCAAGAGGGAGGAGGGCTTCACTTTCCCTCTACTGTCCCATATGCAAGGTAACCATTTTCCATGCATGGACTTACCAAACATGGGAAAGTAATTGATTTTCCATCCCCCAGCCTCCTTTCTCATGAACCAAACGGACCCTAAAATTGATAAAAACTAACATACACCAATTAGAGGGCAAAGACTAGGACGCGGCCGCATTAGACGTACATCAACCCCTAACTCGAAGAAATTACTAAACATTGAATGTCATTTTTGTGATATAGGCCTATTTGGTGAATTTGATTATGTAATTGGATAAAACTGATGCAAAAACTCAATGGGACCCTGTTCTTATAAACTCCCGCTTACTTATTTTTCTTTTGTATTTCTTAAGTATTTTTCTAAAGAGGTATTTACATGTTTTTCGTGTTCTCTTAAGAAATAATTGTCCACGTTGAGTAAACGACGTGATTAAGATTTCCCACATTAGAGTACACTATCAATGAATATTCACTTAAATCTTAACTTGTATCAATAAATATCCATCTAAACCTTAACAGGTAGATGACTAACTTTGGATCACCAATAAGGGCGACGTTTCATTCCTCCACTGTTACTCTCGGCTCTCATTTTGGCTGCCTCAGTGAGCCTCACCTCTGCCAAGGACTTCTTAGAGAAGGAACAAAGAGTTTTTCTTCTTGCTTGAGCTCATAAAGCATGGAGACAAAAATGAAAGATTATAATGCCCAGAGTTCAAAACATTTGAAGAAGAAAGTACGCAATCGGAGGATTTCCTTCCCTATCATCGGTGGTATACGAGTACAACCACTGATAGGGAAGAATTACTCCTTGTGTAATTAGCAATGAGTTGAAGCGAAACGATGGAAACTACGTAACTTGCATACTCTTGAAGTACAGAGTCTACAGACGTCCATATACATGTTCTTATGCGTGTGTAGGGAGGGAAAGCAGTTCACCTGCGGACAAACTCCAATCATTTTTCTAATTTTTGCCATGCCAACAGAGCTTCGGGCTGAATATCCATAAATAAATGCTGTTATCAAGACAGTTTACAATTTATCTTACCCAACATAATTTTGCATTCACAAACTCCAAAAAAGATTTGATACTATTACCATCTCCATCAGTCACCGGTGTGATGGCAGTCACCGGTGCATTCTGTTCAAAAGCCTACCAGATTGTCAATAAATAACAGAAATTCACTTGCACCGTAATGTTCAGTTTTAAAATAGAACTACAGTTTGTAATTGCCACGCATACTCTGGTATTTTTCAGTTACATTTTTCATTGTTAAGACAAGGAATGCCTAGAAATTAATGAGACTGGCATACAAAAACTCAATCTAAGCAAGTTAATCCAGCTAACTCTGAGATGAAGTTGAATGACCGGAAACAATTGAGTCAGAAGAACAAAATGACAAAATAGATGTGACTAGAGTACAAATTGATATAAAAAGAGCAAAGAACACTTTTAACTCCCTCTAGTTTGCTGAAAAGTTTTATTGTTCCCTCGAATCTCAACTTGAACAATGTTAACACCACATTTTTCAATTATGGCTGATGGATTCCTCAATCTGTTTCTATTAACCAGACTGGAAGGAAAAGAAAACATCCACATAATTCCAATGTGATCTCAAGTCCACATATATGAGTAACTCCCCCCATATACACGTCAGTTGGAAAGTGATCACCAACCCATCCTATGATCCATTTTAGATATAGCAATTCAGAAGGATAATCAGTTTCATTTAGGAAACTTTTATCCAGATAATGAAATCAATCCAACTCATCAAACTACCATTTGGATTTCTAATGCTCTTCTCCCACCTATGATGTTTTCAAGCCAATCAGATAGAGATAAAATATGCCATCAAGAAGGTTGAATTTTTATACATGACGTAGGAGAAAATGGTAATCACAATGCAACACAGATAGAATGGTTGGGCACATTTGATTTTACATGCCAGATAAGCATGACTAGAGCATTAAATTCAAAGATGGCATCCCCATAAGTAAAATCCTATGAAAAAAATTGTGTTCTTCAAATTGACTCATTCTGCTTGCAAAAGAAACCTTATATGCAGAAGTGATGGTGGCATTTGCCTAGCTATTGCATGCATCATTGCATTCTGAAAAATAATAAATGAACATGTTCAAAATCCAAGAGACCCTACCAGTAGCAAAGCGTGTTCAATTCTATAGCCAGAACCCCAATATAGTGCATCAATGGTGACGACTTTGTAGGCTGTCATAACTGGCTTCGACTTATCCTGAAAATTTTGGACAATGATTAACGGATGAAAAGCTAGATATCCATGTAAAAAGTAATATCCAAGAAAATGCAAGACTAAGGTTTTCTCACATGTACAGCATTTTTTGTTTCCAGCCAGACACTTGGGGAACATAATTAAACAATGCCATTCCCCGCATATTTACAAAATAGAATTTGTGTGCCCTATCATGAAGTAGGATTAGAAAAACAATAATGCACTAGAGAGAGAGAGAGAGAGAGAGAGAGAGAGAGAGGAGATAGCACATGGATAGTCACATAAAAAGTTAAAAAAAAAGAAATATAAAACAAACTGTGAGTAACTGACACATCGTAAATTCATAAACTGCAGGGCTAAACTACTGGTAGGGAAGATTCCAACCTGCCATCCCTCTAAAAGTGGACCACGGCCAGTTTTCGCTGACGAAAATTTGGATAAGTTTGTGTTGCTACCGCTAACTAGGTAACTCCAGTAATCCCTTGCAGATGAAGCAATATCAACAATTTTCACATCCCTGGTTGCTAGTTGTTCTTTGCTTAGACCATGTACCTTTAGTTTCAATGTGACAAAGAGAAGAACAAGAAAGAAAAGTTAGGGTATACAGACATTAAATTATAAATTTCCCACTACAAAGGGAGTTATAAAAAAAACCTTAACTAAAGACAACAGAAACTTTTCTAGAAACTTACATTATCTGACTGTCCATTGTCAGCCCTGTGAACTGTTTCAATGGTCAGCTGAAACTTGGTAAAGTATGGGCACTGCAAAAATGAAACACTAGCGATTATGCTTCTAAATTCTTTTGAAGAGAAATTCTAAGAATACAGATGGACAATTAATTGTTTTCAGAAATGGGCAAGAATTCTGTTACCTTGATTACTGTGCTGTAGAGCATCCATTTACAGACAACCAAATACCATGTTGTAACAAATTTGAAGTGCGTTTAATGAACAAGATATACAAAAATTGACATCATGAACGCATGGAAAACCTGTTTTGCATCTTGGGTATGCCTTCCAGGCTTCCTCTTGCATGATGAGAGCATCAGCTGGTGCAAAAGTGGTAAGCCAAGTAGGAGCTTTGCTGATTAAGATAATGTAACCTTGGAATTCATAAAATAAATGTCTGCATGAAACATTATTAACAGTTGTTCTACTTCACAAAAATAAAGAGGAAGGAAATAGTAAGGCCATCATATATGTTGGAACCTAAGCGGTATCAATGCTCCCACGCAGACCAAAAGTCTCTAGGTGATTATGGTTACTGTGCAATTAACTAAAGAGTGAAGCACAACCTTTCAGGTTTCCCCTTACTCCATAAAACAGCACATCTTCAGTCTAAGATAATCTTTTTCTTCACTGTTCACTAAACAATGGGGTTCTAAAACTAGAGGAACGCCTTTCACTTGCCAATTTGGCAGCAACTTAAACCGTCCACATATTACGTGTATTGATTTACCTTTATAGACGGTAAATTTTGAAAGAGTAGTGACCAAAGTACATCATCTTCAAAAGGATCTGTTCTGTTGCTGCATCTTCCTAACCATGTATATCTGCGCTACTTGATACTGCATAGTTCATAGTTCTTTTACAAAATCACGAATTTGTTAACTGCATTTACCTCTTCCAACAACATGCGCATTACAATCCGACAAATTGAAAGGTCAAGAGTTAAGGAAACCTCAAAAGAAAGAGTCAAAAAATATGAAAAGAATATTTTTAGAGGTATTGTCTGACCAAATAACCCGATAACGCTATACACCTTAGAGCATATCCAAATGATGCATAAAAGTCAGTGGGACCCTTTTATAAAAGTCAATGCATATCAATATCCAAAACCAAATACCCAACCCACTTTGATGGTAATTTATAGAATGTATATAACTATAAGTTAAAGAAAAACGTACTATTGGTAATTGAGAAGAATTATGGTTGTAAAGATTCCTCATACTAAAAAGAAAAACACTCTAACTCCCTCATCAACAATCATTCAGACCAAAAATTCAATGAAATCATCTTGCAGTTTCAATGTTTACTGTGATAGAAGATGTGTTTCAACTTTCAAAGGGGCGAGTTAAGTTCATTGTTCATTATTCTCCTTTTATCAATGGCAACAATGCTGGATCCACAATAAATCAACTATCAATTCTGTAGTTGATGCATCTGCAGAGAAACCCCTTTCCACCATTTGTGGAATAATTACCATCGCCCGTACTGTCTCATTGTTATTGATGAACCCTCGAATAATTATGTTATAGGTCCAACCATCTGGAGCACAACCTTTCTCTTCCATTTCGGTTAGCAGCTTTTCTGCATCATTTGTCAGGCCCCCAATACAGAGTCCTTTAATCATGATGTTATATGTCCTTGCATTTGGTTGAAGTCCCTTTGATGATAACCCGCGAAAGAGAACCCTTGCAGATTCAATTTTCCCAGCTATGCACAAACCCTTGATAAGAATAGTGTAAATCACAATATTTACATCCAACTTCTTGCCTTCCATCTCTCTAAACAATTGGATTGCTGTAGAAAGTTGTCGGTTTTTACACAGGCCATCCAGTAGAATAGCATAAGTTTGAACATTTGGAAGTTGGCCACAAGCTTGCATCTTAGAGAACAGCTGTTGTGCATCACGTATTTTGCCCATTTTGCAACAACCGTCCACAAGAGTATTATAAATAGCGGTATGTGGAACCAGCCCTTTACCAGACATTTCCCCAAGAAGCATCATGGCCTCATGCATCATCTTTTGCTTACAAAATCCGTTTATCAATATGCTATAACTAAAAGCATCAACCACGGAGCCATTGCTAAGCATTAGTTCAAAAACCTTTTTCGCTTTGTTCATTCTTCCTTGCAAACAATAACCATCCATTAGTGAATTGTACGTAACCGTATTAGGTTCAATGTCTCTTTGAATCATTATTTCAACCACACCTTCTGCTTCCACGACCATCCCCTCCTTACAAAGTGTGTCTACCAAGACATTGAATATATGGTTGTTTTGTACTTTATAAACATACCCAAAGCCCATTTATAACATAACAAATAGGCTGACTTCTTATAAATTACAAAACAACCATAAATTTCTTAAAATAAACCCAACTCCAAAATCTCATAAAAATACCCAAAACACTCAATAGGGCATTAAAGTAATTTAATAATCAATATTAAATTCAATAAGGCCATCTGTCATTTTTTGGATTTGTTTATAGAAATTCAATGGTGCAGAGTTTATCTATAATGTTAGTGCTAATAATGGGTATATCACTAAATATCTTTCTTTTTTTTTCTGGTCCGACGGACCTCGATATGGTTTGATTTTGGTGGCACGAATGAGTAGGTTTTTTTTTTTTTTTTTTTTTTTTTTTTTTTTTTTTTTTTAGGTGACACGTGATTTTATATTGGTTAAATCAATAGATTGGTTTTGAATATAGATGTCAAACGGATCGAGCTGGTTTGAATACGACACAAGTACGGTATGTTTAAAAAAGGCCCGTTACAGTACAATCCAACGTATCTTTAAACCAAATTGAGATGAAATAATTAAGTTCAATGAGTTGGGCCGGCCTGTGGCCCGCAACGAGTCACGTCGGCTTGAAATCTAACAGACCGGCCCATTTAAAATTTATTTATTAACTTATACTTATTTTATTGCAAAATAATACATAATATTCTTACAGTTTATTTCTTCTCTCTAATAATATAATTAGAATTGAATTTTTTAAATATATAAAATGATAATTTATTTTTTCAAGTTTCAGTTTTTAAAATTCAAACAATAATATAGACATTTACTAGTTAAATGTACTTTAGATAAAGTTATTGACCTCTTTTTTAAACAAATAATAAATATTATTAGTATATACATAATTGTAAAAAAAATATTTAGATGAAGTTGTAAAAAAATTACAAAAAAAATTTGCAATACATAAGTCAAATTTGGTGTGAGCTCATATCGGCATGTTTGGTGGCCCGACACGAGCACGGTATGAGTGCATATGGGCTTGGGGCAAGATTGATGATTTTTCTAAATGGACGGACCCAGTACCACCCATTTATTAAATCTTCCTACTATAAATTGGTCAGATCGACTTGACACAGCCTATTTAACACCTCTAGTTTTGATACTCGCGCAATAAAAGAGAGAACAGTTTGGTTTTGTTGTTTGCCAATGGAATTGGATAAAATGATGTATAAAAGTCAATGGAACCCATTCTTATAGAACTCTGGCCTACTTATTTTTCTTAAGTTTTTCTAAGTTAAAACTTCTTCTCTTAACGCTCTAAAAACCAAAAGTCTCCTATTACCCTTAGGCCCCGTTTGGTTTATGGGAAATGAGACTTGGGGATGGAAAATCAATTGCTTTCTCATGTTTGGTAAGTCCAAGTATGAGAAATGGTTCCCTGGCACATGGGAAAGTAGAGAGGAAAGTGAAGCCCAACTTGAGTTTTATTTTCCTTTATCATGGGAAAGTTTGAGAAAATGAGCAAAAGCATTAAAGATATATTTAGTCATATACCCATTCTTAGCATTAACACTATAAATAAACCCTACACCATTTAATTTCTATAAACAAACAAAAAAAAACCCAAAAAATGACAGCTGACCCTATTGAATTTAATTGATTATTAAATTACTTTGATGCCCTATTGAGTGTTTTGGGCTTTTTTTTATGAGGTTTTGGGGTTGAGTTTGTTTTGAGAAATCAATGACAGTTTTGTAATTTAAAAGAAGTTAAAAGCCTTTTTGTTATGTTGTAATGAGCTTTGAGTGTGTTTCTAAAGTCCATTTTATATAGAATTTTTTTATAATTTGGGCTCCTATATTGGGTATAATAGTGAATCTCCCAACATTAAATATACATTTTTCATGACCATTTTGTTATCATTAACAATTTAGAATTACAGTATATCATTGAATGCATTTTTTTATTTGATTTATATGGGTATAATTGGAAAATTATACCAACTTTGTTTTCCATTCATTCACAAAACAAACATGGGAAAAGAAATAAAGTGATATCTCTCTGTTAATTTCCCAACATTACCAAACGTGGGAAATAAATCTTCCATTTTCCATCCCTTAAGAAAAAAACATGAAAAGTAATTTCGCTTCAAATTCGTTCCATAAACTAAACGGGGCCTTAGAACGCATACAAGACCAAAAACCCACCACAAAATCTACGACATTAAATCTTCTAATTAATAAAATAAATATCATGCAAAAAAAAAAAACCTTGAAAAATTTAACGAAATCATCCACACACAAAAATCACAATCTTGTCTCATTGGAAGGTACTAGTAGAGTATGACGATGGTCACCTGTATTTGTCCATGTATTTATCCCTGAATATTCACATAAACCTTAACTCCTATCAATAAATATCCACCTAAACTTAACTCGTAGATGAATTATACCATGTAATGAGCTCCAATAACACACGGCCTCATTTCAAAGAAATGTTTTAACAATCCTTCTCTCTCTCTCTCTCTCTCTCTCTCTCTCTCCCCTTTCTGCTTTCTCTTCTTTATAGCAATAACTATAAAGCTTAAGCTAGCTCAACTAACATGAAACAAAGTAATCTATATAGAGCTTCAGCATAAGAAAACCATGTTGACGTACCTGTTATAATTCTTCCCCCTCCCCTTCCCCCAACCCTCCCCCCCCTCTTTCATTTTATTGAAAACAAGCTTTGCTTCAATCACAGAAAACAAAAGCAACTGAAACATGGAGTCTCCTCATGGACATGCATGCACCATTCTTGGCTTCTTCTACACATCAAATGGCCCTCCATCCTAAAACTTTTCAGCATAATCTCCAGTTTCCTTGATCACATCCAGGACGAATGCAGCCCTGTATGATAAAAGAATTGAAGAATATTTCGCGGATATGTTGGGCAAATCAAAGTAACTTCATAATTACACTACAAATTTATGGCTATGAAAGTAAGGACTGATGCCCAGTTAAAACAACACCAGACTAAACTTTCAAATAAAAATGTCACTAACACTTACTACAGTTTTATATTCAAAGTTTTCATATTTTGAGCAAATTCCAGTAATTATCGTTGATGGTAATCGATATCGGATTTTCGTAGATACGCGGTTGAAGATGTAGAAATAAATAATAAAAATGTTTGGCATACACTTTAGGAACTGTCATCAAAACAAAAGAGACTCCACTGAAATTTTCCCAGAAACTTTCCACCTAAAAAAGTTTGGCTTAAAAGCTCAGTTCACCCTATTTTCTGCGCAATGATGGATTTTTCTGTTGGCCCCAGCAGCCATGCATGAAACTACCTGACCATTTCTGTGTCCTTTTTTTTTGTTTTGGGTCAACTTAGGCATGACATGACCCAATCAAGATACTACACCTGGCGTAGAAGAAAAATGCTACAAATATGAACTCCCACCGGATCCCATCTCTCCCCGTACACCGGCTCCTACCTACCTGGCAGGCAGCCGGCCCCCGCCGCCGCCGCCCCCCCCCCCCCCCCCCCTCTCACTCTCATCATCTATCTCAGGCTTCAACGGTGATCAGAGAGGGTGTCATCCGATTGGAGAGTCTCCAACTGGACCCACTTGTCAGCCACGTCATCAATTCTCCTTGTAAAGAAAAATGGTTGGAGATTCTATATTAATCCCAAATTCCCAAAAAGAAAAAAAATCCTATTAATCCCAATTCTCTCCAATCCCCACCTACAGTAGTAGTTTCAAAACACATTTGGATATCTTCTCTCTCGCTCTCTGTCTCTGTCTCTGTCTCTGTCATTTTTGCCATGAAGAACTTTCATGAGAAAAACCAGTCCCTCCAATTTCATGCCGGTCCAGAAAACGGGGACCATAAGAATAACCTACGTTCAGAAGACGACACAGAAAAAGAACACCACCATGATCTCTATCACCAACCTCCTCCTCTTCCCAGGATGAAGACGATGGTCAACAACACGTGCCAGTTTAAGCGGCGGCCCATCAAGTACCGCTCTTTGAAACAAATCCTCAGCACCAGACCACCACCTCCTCCTCCTCCTCCTTCTTCTTTTTCTTCTTGTTCATATGAGTACTCGAATGGCGAAGAGGAAGACGAAGACGAGGGTGTGGTGAAGGCGTCAGATAGAATTGATCTGGCGGCATTCGCGTTCAAGTGGGGAAGGACTGATCGGAGAGAGCGTGAAAGTTTGGTTGCGGACAAAACCCATGAGTTTTCAGTGGAGAATTATAACAGAGTGGTTCATGAGCCTGCGGTCGGGTACAAATGCGGAGCTTCTTTGAAGAAACTTCTGTATGGTATGTATGGAAGGGAGGCTGCTGCCATGGAAGACGATGAGAATGATGACGCGACTAGTCGTCCCCAAAATGAACTAAACTTCAGTGAAGGTCAGTTTGCTCGTCTCGTTAATTTCGCCAGGAGAAAAATCATGAAATTTCGGTTCGTTTTTTGTTTTGATTTTTGTTTTGTTAGAGTTAGAGAGGTTCAAACAATCTGTGGAAGAAATGAGGGATGAGAAATGGTGGAAGGAGGGAGACGAAGAAATGAATGTGATTCTACGAAAAAGGAAAAACTTGAAAACATAACAACGCAAAAGTCAATTTTAGTTTTTAATTTCCTTTTTATATACCGTTTCCTCCCATTCTTTTTCTTTCTATAAATTCATTCTATATCTAACAAATAAAAAAATAGAACACGAAATGGTTATCGAACGAGCCTGAAAGTTATACTTTTTTTAAATTATGATTCCAACATGTGTTAAAGGAACTGTTTGTGTTTGTGTAAACAAATCACTACACAAGTTTAATGTTACTATACGTATCTTTGTTATAGCTTTAATTTTTCCCACCTGTATGTCTCTAGTTGATGATATTGATCAATATTGTTGACACTGAACTTGCCTTTAAATTTTCGTTTTTCTACAAATCATGGTTGGTTTGTGATTTCTATTTGAGTGGTCTTGTGTCTTGGGCAAAGATCGACACTCCTTGGCTCGTTACATCTAATGAGTTATATTTCTTTACAGACAAATCAAATTATAATACATTGGCAAAAGTAATTCATTATAATTTTATGCACACATGTCAGACTGTGATTTGTCTACAAATGGAGGAACGGCTCCTTATTATATTTTTCCCTCCAAAAATGTGAAAATCGATTGATGCTTGAAGTTGTCTATTTTAGAACCCATAATTAGTTAAGATTAGGTTTAGTATTATGGGTAGTTTGTTTCAGATTTTGTTGGACCCAATAAATCATAATGTAAATATGAAAATTGGGTGTAATTTTAGATGTGTTGCAGAATTATAAGTAAGTCAAATTTCCACCAGCTATTGGTACGTATGCTTAGAAAAACTTGATTTATTTGAGCTTCCAATGGTTGTTGTTTTTGTTTTTTTTTTTTTTTTTTTTTTGTTTTTTCGTTCTTTCTGAATGATGTATGAGAAGAACTCTTACATTACACGTGAATAGGTATTTCAATGTCGCTTCTTTTTAAATGCGTCGTACGGATTAATGGGGTTTAAAAGAGAGTGAGTTCATGCATTTATCGTCATTACTCACTTATTTATCTAGTTCTTTTTCGTTGTTTGTGTGTATTATATATTGATTAAATATAATTACTGGCTCACTTTCCCTACCGAGCTATAAGCAGCTCACACATCAATAGATTTTGCAGGTAACTAGACTACGAATTTGGAGGTGGAACACCAAAGTGATGCTTTGAGAAATGCTAAATAGCATGCTTGATGTTTTAGTAGCGATTAGGTTGTGCCTTTGTTAACTTCAAGCTGCAACAACCAGCAGGTATAACTTTGGGACTTTGGTTGTAATGCAATCTATTAAATCTTAAGTTTATACCAAATTTATCTTGATATTTTGAGTGTAGAAATTTTGTTTTGAACAATTAGAGTATGATTCACACCCTAACTATAAATTGATGGTAATTTTTAGGGTTAGGGTTTGAATCATGAAGTATACGCTTTATTTATAGACATAACACATATACATATATCATCTCACAAATTTCCGATATACGTTCTCAAAACACACACAAAAAGAAAATTCAATTTACGATGGTAAGATATCTTACAAATTGTTCAAATAAACTATGAATATCCATGAAATCTAGATGGTATCCTCCAACCAAGGTTTTAAATATTAGGGATTTCGGAAATATTGGTAGTCCAAAAATCTGAAAATATTGACAAGTTATCAATTTGGTAAAAATTGGATAAAAACAATGGGAATTGTTTGTGAACTAAACATATAAAAATTTATTTTGACACAAGGAATTGAAGGAAATCTATCGCATAGTGGATTTGAGTTAAGTGATGTCTACAAAGTAATGAAAGAAAGATTGAAACACATCATAATCTTTTGTTTATAATGATTTACTTTATACATTGCATGGTAAGTTACATAAGTAACTTAGTAGCATATATGCCAATGGAGTCTTAGCTTAATAGTAGAACTGTTGGCATGTATGTTAGTGGCAAAAAAATAAATAAAACTTAGTATCATATAGAATTCATACGAGGTTCAACTTTTCACCATTGCAACTATTAGTATCGGTATTTATAGTATGAGTATATGATTTCTTGAATAACTAACATGTCTAAAGGAATAAATATGAGATTGTGTGGAATGGTAACAAAAAAGCGGTTGTAGTTTGTTGGATGAAAGCTCTCTTGTACTAATGAGGGAGGAACAACATGGGTGAATTTATTTTAAATGAATTAATTGTTAGTTAGTGTTGTACCCTTATAATTTTACGAAAATGATTAACAAATGAGCATTCTCTTAAATACAAAAGTAAGTAAATTTAGGTTTTAGTAAAAAAAAAAATTTCACTTTTGGAAAAAGCCAAAACTTTTTTTAAAAAGACAGAAAAACCTCTCAACTTTCAAATCAAAGACATGCAAATGAAAAGGATTCCTTAGGAAATCCAAAAATAAATAAGGACAATTTTGTCCATTTTGGCTTCTTTTACAAAATTTCTATTTCCTTTGTGTTTTTCCAAACTTTCAGTTTTAATAAATTAATGTAACGTGTTCCCCCATTTTTCTACTGCAATTCTATATTGTGTCAAATTTACTATGAAAATGCTGATGGAAAGTTTGTAGATGGTTAGCTGTTGGGGCCATTCTCATCCTAAGTGGTATAACTCGTTCACATAATATAATATATTAGTGAATTAAGAGTTAAGAGTTCGTAATTTAAAATGTAATATCAATAAATATTCACCTGAAAGAGTTATATATTTACACCACGTGTCTATACTCTAGTACCACGTTATAATTACTTTTACTCATTGTAGAGCATATCCACGGCTGCCAAAAGTTACATTCATGCAAATCAAAATTATGTAAGCGTCGATGTTATGCTCTTTTAGCAACTATCACTACTAACTCCACAGTTCTTATTATTTCTTTGTAATTCTTGAATCTTGAATCAATGAATTTCAACAAAAGAAGCCAAACCACAGTGAATGCCATTGCCAAAAGCTTCCCATTACGCTTTAAACGTAGAAGACCAAGGAGTCCAACACAACAGATATGAGAGGGAGGCATCGGGCTTGTTACACAAAAAAGGGTTGTCTTAGTTTTAGCCATAGTCCTATATTGAGGGAAGTGGGTTCTCTATGATCTGCTTAACTTACAAAATAAAATTGCATCATTAGGTTAAAAGTTTTTAAAACACACATATACTTTAAGGAAAAAGAAAAAGAAACCATTTTTTTTCAATAATCTGCTCTCTTCTCATCTCCAATGATGTTTCTTGAACAATTCTAAAATTCATCTATCTGATTGATGGATCATAAAACAATTCATGGTTCGGGCAGTTATTAAGAATAGGAAGGGATAACCGAATTCTGCGCTCTCCAAGTGTGCTTGTTCCTCCTTTCTTCCTTACCATGGCAAGTCTTTGTGAAATAACTCCGATGAGAAGAAAAAAGAAGGCGTTAAGTGACCCTCTGTGCAACCATAGCAAATGTGAAACAATGGCATTGACCATTGTTCTTTCTTTCACCAGAGCCGGTATCAAAAACCGTTTTCCTGACAAAAGTGACTGGCTCGAATGGAAGCTCCATAGGTCACAAGCTTTTTTTTTCTCATTGATGGTTCTAATTTACATTATAAAATAAATTTCTTTCTCGTCACCCATTACAAAGAGGAGAGGCTCTAGTTTGGAAAGCATTAGAGCGATTCCAGCAACATATATGCTTACTTGCCTTTCCAGTGTGAGACCATGAGGCTAATGCCCAACCAATTAAATTCGGGTCGCAGGCTAGACTGCGGACTATTGATCCAGTCCAATAATAGATCAAGTTGGGCGGACCCACAAGCAACAGAAAGGCCCACAACCCTACAGATGGGCCCACCTATGGCCCACGATAAAATAAATTTCCCTTTATTGTTGGGTTATAGTTGGCTATTATAGGAAATATTAGAGTGGTGATAGGAATTCACACTATTGGTAGCTCCTATCTTTTAGTGCAATCCTAACACTCTAATATAAGTCGGTGGATAGAGCAACAGTCCAACTCAAAGTCAGAAGCCTCTCCTAAACTTAGCTGTTTACTCCAGCACCCTGCCTGATAAATAGCAAGCCTCTCTTAAACCCTAGTCACCATATCACAAACGTAGCAAGCAACTCCTTTCACATATTCTTTCTGTCAGTTAAAACTACAGATTTTTAGGTTATCCCTCAATTTTTATTTTTCTCATGAAAAACTTTCAAGAGGAAGATCGAGAATATGATGGAGTAAGGGATGACCACCATCGTATAGGTTCACAAGAAGTAAGGGATTACCATCATATGCCCTCAGAAGACACGAAACAAGGAGTAGTGCATGGTTTTGATGATAGTAAAGGCAAAGAAATAGTACTACGAAGTCTAAATTGTGAGAACAATCAAGATCCAGATCGAAGTCGAATGTGCAATGTGTGCGGTAAAAGATTTGGGAGTGGACAAGCTTTGGGAGGTCACATAAGTGTCCACTTTGAACCTCGTCTAGGTCCCAAGAAGATGAACAACAAGTTTAAGGTCACCAAGCAACAACAATTACAATATTATCCGTCTTTGGATAATAAATTATCATGCCATATTTGCAAAAAGATTTTCCCATCAAGGAAATCCTTGTATGGCCACATGGGATCCCATAGTCGAAGAGTCAAGTCTCCTTCTTTTTCTTCTTCATCATCATCAACATCATCTTCAGCTGAGTGTAATGATCTTGATCTTAAAGAGCAAGATTATGACCGAGTAAAGTTCTTACCAGGCTGGGCTAAGAAAGATAGGGGAGACATGAAGATAGCTAACCAAACACCTAATTATAACAATGCTTTTGCAAGAAAGTACAAGTTCCCCTCATCAAAGAGATTGAAATTCTTAGATGGCCATACATGCAATATTTGCTACAAGAAGTTCCCAACGGGGCAGGCTCTTGGAGGCCACAAGAGGGCTCACTACTTCGATGAAGCACAACCAGTGCTAGAAGCTCCACCAGCAGCTACAGTTAAAGTAGCATCGACCAAGGATCATGATGATGGTGAGACCATAGATCCTGTGGATTCCTCGCCATTAATGCAACTGGCTGAACAAGCATTGCATCTTGCAAGTCGGAGAATACTAGACTTGGATCTCAACGAACCTCCCAAGGAGGAATGTTGAAGGATGAAATCAGTAGGTAGATAAATAGATACAGCTGCTTAATTTGCTTGTTTATTAGTTAGTTAAATTTTAGAGAAGCTGAATTTGCTCCAAGTTAATTTTACTTACTTCGACAATTAATGTAATTTTTCTCTATTATCCCTCAAAGAAAAAGAAGGGATCAAGAATTAATTTGTCATTAAGGACCCGAACGGGACTGATCACAGTAAATCCTAACTTTTGGAAATCTAACATGGTTTGCATGGTTTAACCAAACCGAAACTTTGCACAGAGTTCCATTACTATTAATGGGTAGCTCCACAATTTCTTATGGGCACATGCATTCCAGGTAATTCAGTCTTATCGGTCATGATAAACCCTAACGTTTTTCACTTGTCGCCCTTTCCTTCTTTACAAATTTATAAATAAACCCAATCTTAGACATGTATTTATAAAAAAACCCAAGCACTATTTAAACATAGAAACACACCCAAAATCAACCCCAAAATCAACAATTGTATATTTTTTTGGTGTATTTATAAATGGATTTTGAGTGTGTGTAATGATGGGTTTTGGGTGTGTTTATAAAGTGTTTTGGGTGTTGGGTTTTTTTATAATTTCAGCCCCCATTTTGGGTGTTTTAGTGAAACTCCCTTCTTTCTTCCTTTTTCTCCGTTGCTTCTGTTTCTCTCGAGAATTCTCTCCCTTTCTCACTATTTCCCTCTTCTTCTTCTCGACTCTCTCTCTTATTAGTCTCCCTTTTTCTTGGTGAAGAAATTGGGCTAAAACTAAACAACGATACTAGACCTAATAAAATCAGGAGGATCATAAAAGGTTGACAAACTCAACTCACCAAATTCAGCTAATTTATCTGGCACCATATTGCATTCACAATAAATAGAACATCCCATCTCGATCTTCTCTCTCTCTCTCTCTCTCTCTCTCTCAACCATTTATGCCCTCTGTCTACATCAGCTCAGCTGCTAGATCCAGTTGTCGCCAAATCTGGTCAAACCAAAACTAGATCTTAGCATTCAAGGGCAGAGCCACCCTTAGACTGGGAGCTCCAACTAGGGTTCATCATTGGGCAGGGCCCGCCTGAAATTTTTGGGTGTGGGCTGGGCCTTATGAGTTTTTTTTTAAAATTTTTCTGGCCTAGCTGAAGTTTCAAAGGCCTTGGCATGGGCCGTCATGGGCCTAGAAAAATCATGCCATTTTGTTTTTCCTTTCTTTCTAAGTCTATTAAATATTTTTGTTACAAATTTTTAGACAACAATGAAAAAATTATGATCTTCAAAACCAATATGTACTCAATTGCAACTTTTAATAGTTGGTAGGTGGAATTTCACCTATGTGGAACATCATTGTCTACATTTTTCTTTTTTATATTTAACTTATTGCAACAATTTACTCATAATTCATGCCTTATTTGATGAATTTATGCTACTTACAATATTAGTTATTTATTCGTCTACACCAAGTTGCAACTTTATTACTCTATTTATTATAGGCGGGTGGAAATGGCTTTTCCGAGCCGATCCTAGACGGCTCAAACGGGCCTGACCTAGAAGAACTCAAATGGGTAGGGCTGAGGTTTCAAACCTTAGGCCGAAGCCATACTCATACTTAGAGCGGGTTAGGCAGACTAGGCCTAAATATCGGGCCTTGGACCACCCACTTCGGCCCACAAGCCAAATGATGATCCCTAACTCCAGCCTGGTTCAAATAATTAGAAAAAAGAAAAGGAATTTAGAGTTATATTTAGGAAATTCAGCATATTTTTAGGACACATCATTAAATGAGTTTTTAACCATACCCTTCACGTCATAGAAGCCTAAGTGACATTTAGTTTTTTCATGTATCTTTTGCTTATACCTCCTGCCCTACTTCCTCCCCAATCACCAGCGACAAGAACTCTCTTACCGTTCGGTGCTGGCAACAATAAGTTCATCTTTGTTTTACTCTTCGTTTTCCTTCTTTGTTTTACTCGTCTAAGTCATTTAAATCAGTAACTCTTATGATGATTGGAATTCTTGGATTGATTTTTTGGAATTCAATGGATCACTGATATATCACTTCTTTTCAAGTAGAAACCTTGCTTTACTATTTGATTTCTTCCTCTACGAAAATAATGTGGGGGATTTAATTTTTTTCTTTTTACAGATTCCTCTTTAAAGCACGTCACTGAATTCTAACTAAATAAACTTTTTTTGATTGACCTGAATCCTATTTAGGATATAATTTATACGTTGACAAATTTGTAATTAATTGGCAATTGTAACTAGGATTCCTTATAAGATAAGGTTTTGTATACCCTATATATATTGGACCTCCATTTGGAGAAGAATACATGCAGCTTGATCAGCTAGGGTCTTGGAGACAAAATACATACGAGTTAAAAAGCTCGTAGTTGGACCTTCGGTTGGATAGACCTGTCCCGTCTAGTGTGCACGGTCGACTCATCCCTATTAAAGCCTTGTGCACTCAACATAATATCGTTGTCGAAGTAGTCAAATGAAGTCGTCAGCATGGCACCCGAAGGGGTCTGCCAGTGCCATATCCACAACTGCCATTTCCCCAAGGGGTCTGCCATAGTTTTTCTTATTGCTGGCAATTGAAGAGAGCATGGCAGAAACCCCCTAAACCAAGCTTAGCGTACTTCTCTAGTTGCAGCCGTTCTCTTATCGTAGATAGATGGGCCTCGCAAGTAGAGTAAAATTGTGTTTTCTTCTCTTATATACATTTTTTTTTAGTAAAAGTGCGATCGAAAATGAAGTACCAATGCAAAAAATGAAATTTTAAGTACGAATAAATGGTTTTCCTCGAGTGTTCAGACCTCATCAAGTTAGCACAAGCATGAGACTTCCCCCACTACTTTTTCTCAATAATTGTGGGGCTTATTCAATATGGGACTATTTATTTTCTTTTGATCGGTGAGGAAGGAACTCGAACTTGAAATCTATTCCAACATTACGAAGAGAGGTAAAACAAGTTCTAATTAATTCTACATGGAACTAGTTAGGAGATCTATTAGCGGTGGAGTCTTGTGGACTTTGAAGGAATTTGATGTATAAGATTTTCAATTTTTTGCCACGCCATAAAACCCTCACCATATCTCAATATGTGAATCTTGAAGTCTCGTCAGTCGTCAAGGGCTTAAACTTGGCTTTGGCTACAAAGGACCCAGATTCTGAATTTGGTGCAGATAGAAGTAGGTGCTTCCTTGGACTTCACTTTTTACCAGCACTGACTTTTACCATTCAAAGATTAAATAATAAGTAGCTCATGCACTGACAATAGCTTAGTTAGTTTAGCTTTTTCACTTCCACCTACGTAAGCAGATCTTCGAAATCCCCAAACACCCAATAAATATTTGTGTAAACCCCCTTCCTTAATCGCTTGTATTTAAAATAAAATAATTATTTATAAATTATAAAAAATTATAAATAAAAAAAAAAGAAGCTCATACACAGAATCAGAAACCAGTATGAAATTACGTTATTGTGTCCTTCAAGTGGCTTATAGCTCAAGTAGTTAAGTGTATTTACCCCTACACGGTTGCATCCGAGGTACTAGGTTCGATTTATCCCTCCTCCAACATAGTGTGTATAAAAATAAAATATAAAATAAAAATATTTTGTCCAATTTGAACTCAGCAATTATCTCTTACCCAACGATGTTTTTTACCCCAATTTACCCAATTTAATTACAGCGAGCGTGTAGGATACGCAAACATATTAACCTGGACACAACTCATAATTGGACGGATCAGAATCAGAGATTTGAGCCAACCCCTAGAAGTAAAAAAACTCCAATCAAATCTTAATTAATTACCACTAATTAATTGGGACGATTCTTTGTCACTAAAATAAAAAAAAATAAAAAACTGAGCAGCACATCAAAGCAAGAACTCCTAGGAAATCAATTAGGGCTTTAACCTTGTTGATAGGGTCTCAATAAAACTGAAAATGCAACTTTCTTTTAGAGTTTGTTATAGATAAACTAACAAAGCAGCCTCTCTAGTTAAAACCCTAATCCCAGTACAAAACGATTTCTATAATTCTTCCTCATGAAAAAGCTCCAAGCGAAAAATAAACACCTCCAAGAAGATGATGAAGATCAAGAAAGCATGGATCATGATGATGAGGACATACATTCACAAGAGTCAGAACAAGAAGTAGAACTATATGATGATCAGAAGGGTAAACAAGTAGTACAGAGTGATGTTCATCATCAAAACGGAGATCGGGTTTGTGAGCAATGTGGTAAGAGATTTCAAAATGGAAAAGCTTTGGGAGGTCACATAAAAGTTCACTTCAATCAATCTCTTCTTCCCAAGAAGAACAAAAACTTGTTTAAGCCCAAGAACAAACATCTTTCTTTGAAGGAAGCACATAGTCCTGTTGGTGATGATCACAGCAACAAAATTTCATGCTATGTTTGCAACAAGAATTTCCCATCAATCAAATCTTTGCACGGTCACATGAGACTCCACCGAGAAAGAGACTGGAAGGGTGTCCGGCCTCCGGGGCCTTCTCTGTCCCCGTGTGACGAAAGCAACTCTTCTTCTTCATATGAAAATGTGTCTGAAGATGAGGATGATGGTGATAGTAGTTTATCTGACCGCACCATAGAGACAGATAATGATGTAGCAAATTTCTTAGTAAACTGGACCAAGATCGAACAGAGACGCAGGAGTCTAATTGCTAACCAAACCGAGCCTAATCATGCAGAGAATAGTGGTCTATCTAACCAAAGACAAAGAGTGCCTCATTATGCAGAGGACCAAGTTGGTGAATTTGCAGGGAAGAAGCCAATAGAAGAATCACCAGTTGGATACAAAGGCAGCTCTTCATCTAAAAAAATCAAATGTGATGGTAGAAGTAATAAGAAAAGTACCATGGAGGCAAGTAAAAGTACTGGAGGTACAAAACCCATGAAAGACATTGGCTTGTTTGATCAAACCCACAAGCAGATTCCAACAAAGCGTCAAGAATTTGGATCCAGAAGATCTGATGTGAACATGGATGAAGATTCTGGGTTTAGTAGTAAATATGTGGAAAACCAAGTTGGTGAACTTTCAGTGAAGAAGCCAATACAAAAATCACCTGTTGGATACAAAGGCAAACCTTCATTAAAGATCAAATTGAAACTTGATGGTAAAGGAAAGGCTTCTATGCAAGATGTTGATGAGAATGATGATCAAACTAGTTGGAAGACGAAGCCAAAGAAGATGACGATGAAGTCGACTTCGAAAAACAGGTACAAAACCCATAAAAGACACTGCTTTACTTTACCAAACCCGCAAGCAGATGGCAAGAAAAACTCAAGAATTTGGTACTAAATTTGCTGAGAAGGGAAAATACCATGAAGAAGCTGAAGCAGTGGAACATGGCATCAAACAGTTTGAGTGCAATATTTGCCCCTGCAAGTTCTCAACGGGTCAGGCTCTTGGAGGCCACAAGAGAGGTCACAACTATAAAGGAGTACCAGTGGAAGAAGCTCGAGGAACAGCTCAAGTAGCACCCATGGATTTAGAAGATGGTGAGATCAGAACAGATCCTACAAAATTCAACTTGGATCTCAACCAACTTCCTCATCAGACAGACGATGAAGATATTGGTGTGTAGAGCTGCTTACTTGTTTATTAGTTAGATTTTAGGAAGTTCAATTCAGCAGAGGTTTCAATTACAAGTGAATTCGACATTGATAGTTCTTTTTTTTTTCTTTCTCATAGAAAAGAAAGAATCGAGAAGTTGTTTGTTTGCCATTTTGTACTTGGTTGAAATTTTTGTAGCTGAATTACAATGTGAATCCGAAATGTAACTGTTACAAGTACCAATTTCTAACCAAGGAGCCCATTTTCCTTCTGATTTGGAAGACCGGCGTTGCTTTCAGTTCGAGGGCCTACCAGATTGACATGGAAGACACTTTTTCCAAAATGAACCTGATGGAAATTGCACAAGAAAGTAAATTGTAGCATTCTCAGTATATAAACTTATCATTGTAAATGTGGCATGTATTTTGGGCTGAGACAAAATTATGAATGTGGTGCTTTCCATCAAGCTGATCTACAATTCTTTGTATAGGTAACAGAACAATGTATTATGCAACTGTGGTACAACAACACAAACAGAAAATCTCCTATCTGCGTATTTCCTTCTTTGATAATTTATCGGACTATGATACATGTTAGCGTGCTATACACTCTTCTGTCAAGTTTATGCTGCCAAATGTATCAGCCGGAAAACAATTTCAACTCTTGCATGTCAACTGACATTCCTTCAGTACGTCGTCGAATACGAAATAGGTGGGGGCCTGCTGTTATGCGATGGACGGACGTGATTGTCATTAGAACCCAACGCAAGAATAAACAATTTGCTCCATGTCAACGAAAGCCCATGCCGTGTGGATTTAAGTTGAGAGTTGAGCTCTCTGCCCACTATAAATATCTTCACTTTCAGGTAATAATCTCTGGTCAAAATCTTCCACACTTTTTACCAAAGTCGGCCTCCCAAGTTCCTGTGTAGAATATAATAGCAGTCGTTAAAAACTAGTTTGGAAGCAAGTTAATAGATAGCAGAAATTGACTTGTAATGTAATGTTCAGTTTTAAAATAGAACTACAGTTTGCAATTGCCAAGCATACTCTGGTATTTGTCAGTTACATTTTCAACGTTAAAACTAGGAATACCTAGAACACACTGGCATACAAAAAACCCACACTCTAAGCAAGTTGATCCAGCTAAAGTTCACTCTGAAATGAAGTTGAATGACTGGAAACAATTGAGCCAGAAGAACAAAAATGACAAAATAGATGTAACTATAAGACAAATTGATACAAATAGAGCTCAGTACACTTATACCACCCTCTAGTTTGCTGAAAAGTTTTATTGTTCCCTTGAATCTCAACTTGAACAATGTTAACACTACATTTTTCAATTATGACCGATGGATCCCTCAATCTGTTTCTATTAACCACACTGAAAGGAAAAGAAAACATCCACATAATTCCAATGTGATCTCAAGTCCAAATATAAGTAACTCCCTCCATATACATGTGAGTTGGAAAGTGATCACTAACCCATCCTATGATCCATTACGGATATAGCAATTCACAAGGATATTTAATCTGAAAAAATCTTCAAATGAATCAGTTTTAATTAGGAAAATTATAATCCAGTTAACAAAATCCATAACTCATCAAACTTCTTGTTGGAATAAAGACCGCTTGCTTCTCCCGTGGTCAGGTAAATATGGATTGGTTAGGTAATTTGCGGAAAATGCAGTGTCTAGTGAAATTGAGATTGTGTCGTGTAACAAGTGGTCTTTTTTGTCTAATTAGATTAATAGAATTGGATAGAAGGTCTCAATTATACAAGACCAGAGGTGCACGATTGACGTTTATCAGATTGCGATACTGTAGGGAATAAATTGGCACTAATTGGAAATTACAAGGTTGACACTACTCAAATTGAACTAGAGGGACCAGATTGAGACTTTTAGTAAATTACCACCACCATATAGATAAAGCATAACTTCAAATATGAATTCTTCTAACTACTTTAAAGCTCTATGATTTAAATTCGATCACTATGGAGTTCCTTTTTTCTTTTGCTTTGGATATGTACTGAAATTTAGCAAATACGCAATCTCACGTGTACCAAAGAGTTGTCAAGTATAGAACCTTCATACCTCCTTCAATGAGTCACTTTGTTGTTCAAGTTCACGTATCTGTTCCACTGTCAACCCAAACCATTCATCGATCCAAGCAAAACAATTCCGGTGACTTTCTAGGAAAAGAGCCCGTTCACCCTATAAAAAATATTCCGGTAAAAAACACTATAAAAAGGTATAACCGAAGATAGAGTGGACAAAGATTTGATAATATGAATAGATATTTGAAAATAATTACCACGTGCTGCAAGATTAATGGAAATAGATGTAAACTTAAAAAAATTCACACCACATCGCTTAATAACTTTCTAAAAAATAAAAAGAACATTTTTTTATTCATAGAGAAAAGATGAAGTACATAAGAGGACGAGGTAACCTCAAACACCGCTTAATAACTTTTTAGAGGCCATCACTTCGCTGATCATAACATTGGATTTTTAATGCTTTTCTCATATCTATGATGTTTTCAAGCCAATCAGATAGAGATAAAATATGCCATCAAGAAAGTTGAATTTTTATATACGACGTAGGAGAAAATGGTAACTAACTACAATGCAACACAGATAGAATGATTCAGGAAATAAAAAATATAGAATGGTTGGGCATATTTGATTTGACATGCCCGATAAGCATGACTAGAGCATTAAATTCAAAGATGGCATCCCCAAAAGTAAACTCCTATGAAAAAAATTATGTTCTTCAAATTGATCCTGGCCCTACACACATCCCATTAAGAAAAAAAGGAAAAAAATTTATCAACAACCCAGATATGATAATTGTGACAACACATTTGCAATTACCGTTATCTATATGGTGTACATTTTAACCTACAATTTTGCAGCTCTTGCACAACAGAAGTTACTGAAAAATAACTTTTATTCTGTTCTCATTCTCCAACTGATACTTTGAAATTATCCCCTTAAACAATTTAAGATTTTTCTCCTTTAAAAGATTCTAATACTTTTCTATAATACCAAAAATACTGACTTTTTTAACTTGGCCTCAGTATGTCCGTGACGACATAAAGTTAATTGACAAATGGAAGTTCAGAGCTATTACATAAGCATGAGTTTTCTGCTTGCAAAACAAATCTTAACATATAAAAAATTATTATTGTAAATATAACTCATCAATTGTCTGTGTCATATTATATACAGAAGTGATGGTGGCATTTGCCTAGCTATTGCATGCATCATTGCATTCTGAAAAATAATAAATGTGCACGTTCAAAATCCAAGAGACCCTACCAGTAGTAAAGCGTGTTCAATTCTATAGCCAAAACCCCAATATGGTGCATCAATAGTGACGAGTTTGTAGGCTGTCATAACTGGCTTCGACTTATCCTGAAAATTTTCGACAATAATTAACAGATTAAAAGCTAGATTTGCACGAGAACTCAAGTGACAAGGCAAATCAGAGTGCAATTGTTTGCAAGACTTTTTATCCATGCAAAAAGTAATATCCAATCATATGCAAGATTAAGGCTTTATCACATGTACAGCGTTTTTGTTTCTGGCAGACACTTGGGGAACATAATTAAACAATGCAATTCTCCACATATTTGTGTTCCCTATCATAAAGTCAGATCTTTAGAAAAACAATAATGAGAGAGAGAGAGAGAGGAGAGAGAGAGAGAGAGAGAAAGAGAGAGAGAAGATATCACATGGATAGTCACCAAAAAGGTAATATATATATATAGAGTGAGCTTCGGTTGAGGGATTCATCAAATAAGTTTATTTGAGGTACACCCTTGTAGGGCCCACCATACATTGTATTTCATTCATCCAAACCGTCTATTTTGTAGATATTCATTCGAAGATCATCTCTACAAAAAATCAATTGAATCCGATATCATTTGACCGTTCAATTAAATTATTGAAATTTTAGTACTTTCTTGAAGCACCGTGTTCATGATTTTGTAGGACACCATTAGATGTCTAAATGGTTTCCGATTTGTCTAATTTTTTGCAAGGATGATCTATGAATGAAGACTTAAAAAATAGATGGTTTCGATTGTTGGAAAAAAATTTGTAGGGCACCCTAAAGGGTGTCCCTCAAATAAAATTATTTGAAGGATCCCTCAATAGAAGGGGACTGCTATATATAAAAAAACCAAACTGAGTAACTGACACGTCGTAAATCATAAACAACATGGTTAAGCTACTGGTAGGGAAGATTCCAACCTGCCATCCCTCTAAAAGTGGACCACGGCCAGTTTTCGCTGACGTAAATTTGGATAAGTCTGTGTTGCTATGCTAACGACGTAACTCCAGTAATCCCTTGCAGATGAAGCAATATCAACAATTTCCACATCCCTGGTTGCTAGTTGTCCTTTGCTTAGACCATGCACCTTTAGTTTCAAAGTGGCAAAGAGAAGAACAAGAAAGAAAAGTAGGGTATAAGGACATTAAATTATAAATTTCCCACTACAAATAGAGTTATAAATCAAACTTAACTAAAGACAACAGAAACTTTTCTAGAAACTTACATTATCTGACTGCCCATTGTCAGCCCTGTGAACTGTTTCAATGGTCAGCTGAAACTTGGTAAAGTATGGGCACTGCAAAATGCAACACAAGCGATTATGCTTCTAAATTCTTTTAATGATAAATTCTAAGAATGTAAATGGACAATTAATTGTTTTCAGAGATGGACAAGAATTCTGTTACCTTGATTACTGTGACATAGAGCATCCATTTGCAGACAACCAAAAACCATGTTAAAACAAATTTAAAGTGTGTTTAATAAACAAGATATTCAAAAATTGACATCAAGAACACATGGAAAACCTGTTTTGCATCTTGGGTATGCGTTCCAGGCTTCCTCTTGCATGATGAGAGCATCTGCTGGTGCAAAAGTGGTGAGCCAAGTAGGAGCTTTGCTGGATAATAAAATGTATGAATAGATATTGTAACCTTGGAATTCATAAATTAAATGTCTGCATGAAACAGTATTAACAATCGTTCTACTTCACAAAAATAAAGAGGAAGGAAATAGTAAGGCCATCATACATGTAGGAACCTAAGTGGTATCAATGATGTGGTGAAATCAGGATCAAACTAATATATTAAATTATCCTTTCTACTGAAGAAATAAATGTCAACATAAATAAACTATTTAAATGTAGCTGTACAAGAGTTACCAAAAATCATTAGAGTCCCGCAAATGCAATGCACCACAAAAAGAACAGGGAAAGCAAAAACAAAAGGATGGAAACAAGACAATAGTACAGATTTTGATCCGCAGCCCTTTTCATGAATCAACTGGTGCCAATTTCAATCTCCATATTTCAAGAGAAAGTAATTGACACATAAATGCCTTCATCAAGATATGACCTCTTTTTTATGGCCTGAAAACCTTAATCAATATATTAATCTGAACTTATCTATCCAAAACTTATAGAAGCCTAAGAAAACAAGACTCATCGTTAACTAGATCACAGAACATAAACCCATGTAGACCAAAAGTCTCTAGGTGATTATGGTTCCTTTCAGGTTTCTCCTTACTCCTATAAAACAACACATCTTCAGTCTAAGATAATCTTTTGTTCACCGTTCACTAAACAATAACGGGTTCTAAAACTAGGGGAACGCCTTTCACTTGCCAATTTCGCAGAAACTTAAACTGACCGCATATTATGTGTATTGATTTACCTTTGTAGACGGTAAATTTTGGAAGAGTAGTGACCCTTTCCAAGTACATCATCTTCAAAGGATTTGTTCTCCAATATTTCAACCCCTTCAGTACTGGTCGTGTTCTGTTGCTGCATCTTCCTAACCATGTACATCTGCGCTACTTGATACTGCAGTTCAAACATGTGGTTAAACAAGTACTCCATAGTTCTTTTACAAGTGAAAAGTAATATTGTAACAACTAATGGCTAAGCATTTTAATAGAATACAAAATTATGAACTTGTTAACTGCATTACCTCTTCCAACGACATGGGCATCACAATCCGACTTCACGCAAGTCCCCAATTGAAAGGTCAAGAGTTAAGGAAACCACAAAATAAAGGGAATTGATTTATGGCATTGCAAAAGTAGTAAGAATGAAATGATTTTTGGAATGTATGTATGTATGTATGTATGTATGTATGTATGTATTCTAAATTTCATATAATGCCATATTTCATATAAGTTTACTTGCAAAAGAGAAAAGTTTGAAAGTGGCATTCAGTTTGGTTAGGCATAAATGTATAAGAAGAACATTAAACTTTAAAATCTGAATCCTTTGATGTTTCATCATAGTAGCACCAAAACAAAAATTATCCTTAGATCCCCCCACAATTAACAGCACAAATTGAAACTTTGTCTTCCTATTCTTTGTTCTTCATTTCCTTGGCAACCAAAGAATGTTTAATGCTCCAATCCCACATGAAAAAGGAAACTAAAAACAGAAAAACAAAAAGGCCAGTAACTGTAGACTTGTATGCATTGAACAAACTAGTCCATAATGTATAACAAAAAAAATTTGCTCAATTGTGTTAATCCAATATCTGCCCACTCAAAGTAAGCCTACAGTAAAACAACACAAATTAAGTTCAAATGGCATTTTCTTAGCAGCCAGAGAAAAGGCCATCAGAGAATTCAAACCCATAATCCAGAATTCACAATTAAAATCAAAACAAAAAGCAAAACAGCAAGGATACAATTCCTTCATCAGAACCATTTCTACCGGCTCGAGCTTCAAATTCCACCAAATTGTGATGCTGAGCTTCAAATGTGGAAAGAAACAGACAGAACCCAGAAAGCACAAAAGAGACAAAAGACACCGAGGATGTCTGGGCAGAGGCTTAAGAATGATTGTGAATTTATTTGCCAAGTGCAGGGAAGGAAGAGTTTCTCATTTCTTTATATGCGTTGGACTTGTAATAACAAGGCACGTCACCAACTCAACTCACAGCGCATTTTAGCAGGGAGCCCCAGAGACGAAGTCAATTGAACGCGAGGGTCTTTTTTGAGTGCTTCGTTTTTTGACTTTTAACGTTCTAGACACGCGTTTTAGACCCGGTTCCACGAAACGATGTCGTGTCAGTGGATTAAGAAAACAGAAAGGATATTTTTATATTTTTATAATTTGAATTGAATCTTTTTATTTTATTTAATTTTATTTGCTTGACAATGACACCTCATTGCATTGTTCAAGTCGGCTGGATTTTTCTTTTTTGTTTTTAGATTTTCTTTTCTTGAAGGGAATTAAAATAGAGAGGGACGTGGGATTGGGATGACTAGAAGTACGGCAACCACAACAAGGTTTGCTTAAATTTGTTGTTTCTGTTAGCCCACATAGTCCGGCAGCGTTGTCACAATATCACGTGAAGATTATTAAGCCAATTTTCATATGAATCTCTTGCTTTCCAGCTATATTGATTCTAATTGTGAACATAAACATAATTAAAATGAAGGCTTCTATTCTCGCAAGAAAATAAAAAAAGACAAAAAGTTATTTTTGTCCTCTATAATTTATCGGTCTTATCACTTTGGTGCACATAGTTTTAGTTGTAGTTTTCAATTTTTTTAGTTTTATCATTGTAGTTTTCAATTCGAAGCATTTTAAGGACATGTTTCAATTTATGTCAAAATATCTCCCAATTTCATTAAGTTTTGACAAGGTTCCCTTCATATAGAGGGGTATTTTGGTCCACTCGAGCTAAATTCCTCCCCATTCACCGAAATTTTAACCCAAAGATGTAAATGTTTTTGAAATTGCTCCTAAAATGAATGGGAAGAGCTTCAACTTGTGTTTTACTGTTAGATGGCTTGAGTAAACTGAAATAACCTTCCAAGTGATGGGCATGTGGTTAAAACTGTACAAGAATTGGAGGAATTGATATGAATTGAAACATGTTCTTCAATTGCTCCGAATTGGAATTATAATGATAAAATTGAAACTATGGAAACCAAAGTGGTGAAACCGGTAAACTATAGGGACCAAAAGTAAACTTTTACCCCCCAAAATAAAGGCTTCTATTTGTGTACCAATTTAAAATAGTATGAATAAAGTTCAACTTAAAAATGAAGGCTTCTATTTGTTTTCATATTTGAGCTTACTCATTGACCATTAACAAAACAAAATTTACTTAACCCAAAACAAAACTACACCATTTACCATATGCTTATTATTAAAGTTTTTTCATTTATTATTATCACTATATACTAATTTTTCTTAAATTAAAATTGGGCATGAGTACACAATTTGTGCATGTGACAATCTCTCTCAATCCCAAAAATTTGTAAGCGTCAGAGAGTCAGGCCACTTGTTTTTTCGAGCCTTAATCCCAATTGACGCAACTATCATGCCCAAAAGACTAAAATACCCATATGCCTAACTTTAATTTACAAATCAATATTCACTAGCCAGCCACCGACAGACCCACGAACACGATAGAGGAATTAATCGGAGAAAGAAATCAACGGTGAGAGCACAATTCATTTACGCTCACCAATTTACCCTTTTTCTAATTTGATATGTAAAGTCTTTTTTAGAAGGAATATATTTTTGAAATATAAAAATAAGAAGTAATGGAAGTTTTATAATAAAAATACCCACGTTATTTTATCTTTTTTATATTAAAATTTTACTTTTATTATTTTATTTCATATTATTTAAGTCATCTTGTTTTAGAAGTCTAATTAATAAAGGAAATTTGTTAGTATTTTATTTTGAAAGTTTCTCTAAATTCTTTGGAAAACAAAAGGTTTCCTAAATTTAAGAACGGGACTGATGTATTAAGGGATTTTTCTTTGGCTTAAAAAAAAAAATCATAAAATCAGCATTTAATAACCCTAAGAGCAGCGTTCTGTTTAGGGAAAGCTTCAAAAATAAGCATCCCTGCAGTACACGCCTATATAATCACCTGTATTTTTAATCTCACTACTTACAATCTCATCCCTACGCGAAGCCCTTAACCCTAAAATCTTCCCAGTCTCTTTCCCACCCCTCGACCGTGATACGTCACTTTTGAAGCTAATCGGTATGTATGTTTTTCCTTTTTCATTTAAATTAAGGGTTTGTACTATGCGATACGTCACGTTTGGTTCATATAGTAGAACTTTGTTTTGTATCCTAGTTCTATTTTATTTGAAAATATGTTTGAGTTCGTTGCTCCATTTGGTTAATTGGGCGTATTTCTCAACAAAATTTGTGTGTTGTACTTCATTTATCTTTTATAAATTTCTACTTTTTTTTGTTTGAGCTTTTCGTATTAGCGTACAACTACTGTTCTTTTATCATACAATGCGGCATGTTATATTTATTAAAAATTTATAAGCATGATCGAGTCAGGCCCACCGTTGTTTGAGCCCTGATCCCAATTGACACACAACTATCAGCCCCAAAAAACTAAAATATTTAGGTTGATGACAAGCCATGCCAATTGTTCGAGCCCTAATCCCATATGCCCGGCGTTAATTTCATAAATCAATATTCACTAGCCACAGACAGACTTCGTTATTTTACCTTTTTTTTACTTTTATTATTTTATTTCTCATTAATTAAGATAACTTGTTTTAGAAGTCTAATTAATAAAGGATATTTCTTAGCATATATTTTGACAGTTTCCTTAAATTCTTTAGGAAAAAAAAAGGGTTCCCTAAATTATGCCTCTGTCTTTAATTATATATATAATAGTCTGTCTTTTCATTTTTTGTCTCCATCTCATCTCTCTTTGTTTTTCGTTTTTTGTGCGTTTAGGGTTCAGAATTTGGAAGACTCTGTCACTATGGGTGGATCAGTGAAGGATGTGCAATTCAAGGAGCTTGATAGCGTGGTCTGGCCCTCGGGGTGTGAGGCTTCGAAGCACATGGACGAGGTAATTTTTCATCCCCAACTGGGTTTTTTCTGTTGTTTTGTGTGTGGTGGTGTTTTGTTTTTAATCTCTAATTGCTGATAAATACTGTAGGTTAGAGTTGCTAGGGTTGATGGGTTAGTTAAGGCTGGAGAACCTGCTCCTGCTCCTACCAGTCTTGAGACAGTCCAAGAGTTAGCAAAAGAAACTGGATCTTCCGATGAGCAAATTCAAGCCCAAAATGGGCTTGATGATGCCTTGAAAAGGCGGCTGCAGAAGCTTATTGACTCTAATCGAGTAATGCTTTTCATGAAAGGAACCCCTGAGGATCCCAAATGCGAATTTAGCAGAACGGCTGTTAATTTTTTGAATGATTATGAGGTCAAATTTGGAAGTTTTGATCTTCTAACAGACAATGAAGTCATGGAGGGGATACAAAAGTATTCTAACCGGCCGCAATTACCATATATCTATTTCGATGGGAGTGCTTGTGATTTACATCAGTTAAGAACTTTTGAATAGATTACACAACAGAAAAATTGCGCAAGAGAATGCACTCAACTTTTGCCAAACGTGATTTTGATTTTGATTTTGATAGGAGAAAAGATACCGAAGCATTTGCAATGTAATGTTTTGATTCGTAAGTGTGTTATTCGCGTGGCTAATTTCTGTTTCTTTTATGGTTTACTTTCTTTTTGAATAGTACACTCTGTTGGTAGACAACATGGTGAGATATTAACCAATTGATCAATATATGGATGATGGATTTGTTTCAATAATATGATATTCCTTTAAGAATTTTTAATGGGGTTACTTTCTGAATTTGTTTGAATTTACTTCATCTTTATATCAGAAAACTGCAGCCCGCTTACTTTATCTTTGCAGCAATAGCAGTTTCAGAAATGCGTGTAACGTTGGAAATCGAAAACTCTAATTCCTAAATTCATAAATGTCACTCAAAATTAATTAGTTAGATTTAAATTTCAATTCAAATTTAGATATATATATATATATATATATATCTAAATTTCAATCTATATATACTAAATGACTTACTTCATTATCATGTTGATTGGTTATAGGATGATGAGCATTGTATATTTGACAATATTTATAAATAAATATTGAAACTTTAAAACTTTTTGAAATTTTATTAGAGTTTGCTGGTATTTCCTTTTCTAGTAAATTTGACTCTTCCCCTTCAAATTAATGGGTGATTGATATGCTATTAAGGGACGATATGTTAGAGGTAATGACAACCAAAAGAAATGGGGTGATTGATATGCTATTAACGGGGAGTATTAATTACAATTATGGCAGTTAATGAAATGCTTGAAATAAATTATAAATAAAATATGAAGTCTAGTGGCAACGATGTAAAAAGATAGGAATACTATGACCTCTTATATCCTACTGATCATTTAAGTTTGCAATTGGGTTTTACACATAGATTTATAGAGTGATGGGTATATGTCTTGGAAATAGAAAATGTATGGATCTATATTGGACAAGCCCTTAATTTTTTCATATTAAATATTATAAATTTTATTTACGATTTGCACGCTAATTGATAATGATTTATATATTTTTTAAATTGTTGTATGGCATTAAGTAATGGTGTAAGTTTGTGTTATATTATGTGAGGGTTCTAGTTTAAATTTCGCATAAGGCCCTCAAAATATCAAGAGCGGCCCTGCATCCATTCCATATATGAGAGAGAGAGTATAGCCGGTTGGCTATACAGTTTCAGTATAATATATTGAAAGAGTATAGCCTTTTTATTTTATTTTTTAAAATTAATAGTATAGCCGTGCGGCTATACTTGTAAAAAAATCGCGGGCTTTTTTAATATTATATAGCCGAACGGCTATATTTTGTAAATATAATATATCTAAAGAGTATCTCCGCGCGGCTATACTGGCGGCCCTTTTTAAATTTTGTCTAATAAAATAGTATATCCGAACGGCGATACTCTTTAAATATATACTGGGATTCTTTTATTTTTTTAAATAATTTTTTTCCTTGTTTTTGTTTATCGATAAGAGTAGTTTAGAGCATTATCCACTACTATTAGGCCATTACCCGAGTCTCTATTGTACCCTTCAAATTTTTTAACTTTTCGAGAGTTACCCCGTATAAAGAATTTAGGATGTAAAGTGCCCCTTTCCCGCTCCATTCCCACCAGCACTTGAGGATGTAAAGAAAAATCACAATCCTGAAATTTTGGAGGTTTTTAAACAAATGAAAATCAATATACCACTTTTGGATGCTATAAAATGAATTCGGTCATATTCAAAGTTTTTAAAGGATTAATGCACTATCAAAAGAAAGCACAATAATGTTGATAAGACCGCATTTTTAACTGAAAATGTAAGTGCAATTCTTCAAACTAATACTCCACTCAAGTACAAAGATCCAGGTTGTCCCACAGTTTCATGTATTATTGGGAATTTTAGCATTGAGCTAGCTGTATTGGATTTGGGTGTAGTGTTAATTTGTTGCCTTACTCGGTTTATAAGCAATTGGGTCTTGGTGAATTAAAACCCACCTCAGTCGCATTGCAATTGGCTGACCAAAGAGAATAAACTATTTCAATGTAGCTGTACAGAGTTACCAAAAATCATTACAGTCCTGCAAATGCAATGCACCAAAATAATAACAGGGAAACCAAAAAGAAAAGGATGGAAACAAGACAATAGTATATATAGATTTTGATCCGCAGCCTTCTGCGTGAATCAACTGGTGCCAATTTCAATCTCCATATTTCAAGGGAAACGTAATTGACTCATAAAATGCCTTCATCCGCAGCCTTCAGGTTTCTTCTTACTCCAATAAAACAACACATCTAAAACATATGACATATCTTCTATTACAACTTTTCATATCTTTGAATGTATTTCTACTCGATCCTTATTCTTCGCCACGAAATTTAACTCATTGCCATATATATATATATATATATATATATATATATATATATATATACCAAAAGGGGTCTAGAACCAAGAGGGATTAGCATATACAGTAAGGAAACAAACGTATAAGAATAGTCGCAGTTTATGCACAAATCTAATCAGAGAATAAACAAATATTGAATGTATAAAAATAATGGTATGAATTAAATGTAATGAATTTATGAACATAGTATAAATTTTGAAAGTACTTAAAAAACTTTTATTGACATAAGTATAGGCTCAGTGAGAATGCTTACAAAAGATAGCTTCCTAAATATCGCTCACATTCAGCTGTTCTTCAGATAGGATGTCTGAGAGAACAATTTGAAACTAGGAAAACTAAATTTTACATTCTGCCTACAAATGAGGCCGAAGCCTCCTTATAAAGAAAGACTTAACTTTAGTAAATTAAAGTAACTCAGGTAAACTAACTCAAGTACAATAATTACAAATGACTTTCACAGATGCTTTCACTTTTTACTTCAGCTTTTACTTTCACTTTGACTCAGATGCTTTCACTTTAACGCTTGCTTTAACTCAGATGCCTTTACTTTAACTCATGCTTTCACTTTAACTCAGATGCTTTAACTCAGCTTTATCCAGTGATTCAACTTTCAATTTTGTCCGCAGCTTGGACACTTAGTCTGAATTCAGATCATATGCAGAATAGGCTTCATTAGGGTCTTGACCATGGGGATAGTTAGACCATCTCATTGGGCGATCAGGACTAGGGCTCAGAGGCCGAGGCTGACAGCTGGAGGAGGACTCAGATCCATTATCTTCATCATCATCTTGCATTTCTTCAGCTTGCAAAAGTAACTGTTTAGCTAGATCTCTTAGCTCAACTTTAGATTTTCCTTCAGTAGAAATTTGGGAAGACTGAGAAGAAGAAGGCTTAGGCTTAGACTCAGGCTTAGGAGGTAGTGCTGGAAAATCTCTGTAAAAATATTCAGATATACGGTGGACCTCAAAACGATCCCACCATTTAACAGAAAAATGACGGGAAAAGAATCTCTTCTCCCAATCTGCATGATAATTCCATTTCATAATCCAGGGAATCTTGTAACGGGTACAGAATAGCAAGGGTGTAGGAAAAAATAGATCACGCTCAGGAAGCTTAACTCGAGCAGAGAATGTAGTAATAAGCTCAGTGACTGCAGAGGGGATAATTCAGAGACAGGACCATGAGTATCCCACCAATGAAGAAACCAGTAGGGAAGCTGATCATATTTAAATTTATTATCAAAATTTATAAACCAGGAATGTGAAAATTCAGGGGTTTGATGTAGGAAAATATAATAGAATGACTCAACATAATCTGCATAATTGTATTGAAGCTTGGAAGGAAGGGTTCTTAACTCATAGGGGTGAGAACCCCAACTTTTTTGACTCAGGACTTGATAAATATACAAGGAATGGTAGATTATTTTCTGGGGATCAACTTTATCACGTATAGGCTTAATATCTACAGATTTTGTTTCAAGAAGAATTTCTCTGTAATATTTTAAGGACTTATAAGGACTATGGGGAAGGAAATGAAAACCAGGGGGAAAATGATTTAAAGCGATTGCAGCAGGACTCATAGATGCAGTGATATGGGGTTCAAGAACAAATAGATTAGTAGTGCATTTAGATACATAAGGAGAAGACTTAGGTCGAAATGTAGAAGAAGATAAAGGGCTTGTATTTGGGGGCAAAGGATAAGGATCATAGCTGGATGTAAGTGCAGACTGGTAGTTAGGTTTAGTTTGGCTCAGGGTAGATCCTAAAGGATTAAATTTATTATTTATGGGAATAGGGGACAGACCAGGGTAAGGTGTAATAGATGCAGGCTCAAGTTTAGGAAAAGAAGAAGATGCAGACTCATGTTTAACAGGATATTGGCTCAAGGTGGCAGGGAGGATTCTGGGCAGTTGGGGGCTCAGATTGTGCTGTTCTTTATGCTTATCTTTTTCTTTCATTTTTCTTCCTGCCATAATTGTCCTGTAAAAACTCTCTGGTAAGAAAATCAGGAATAGAATTCTCACTGCCTTTAATAAATTCAATATCAAAATCAAATATGCTCAAAAGTGCCTGCCATCGTGCAAAAATCTGTTTTGATGCAATGTTTTGAACATCTTTTTCAAGAACATGTTTAGCAGATTTGCAATCAACACGAACAAGAAATTTTTGACTTAATAAATCATCTTGAAATTTAGTAATGCATAATACAATAGCTAGTATTTCTTTTTTAATAGTACTGTAATTATACTGCGACTTTGACCATGTACCAGAATAGAATCGAACAATTTGCTCAGAAGAAGTGGGAGTAATTTTCTGTTTAAGAATACCACCATATCCTATATCAGAAGCATCAGTCTCAACAATTTTAAAAGAACTTGTAGTAGGAATGCCAAGACAAGGGAGTGTCTTAACATGACTTTTAATCTGTTTGACAAGCTCAGTATGAACAGAAGACCAAGGAGGAGGATTAGTCTGTAATCTATCAAATAGGGGCTTACATTGTTTTCTCAGATTCTTATAAAAATCAGAAATATAATTGAGTGATCCTAAAAATCTCTGTAATTGATTCTTATCTATAATTTGATCAGGAAATTTATCTGCAAATTGTATGGATCTATCTATAGGCTGTATTTGTGATTGACTTATATTAAATCCAAGAAATCTAATGTGCATTTGAAACAACTTAATCTTCTTAGCAGAAACAACTAATCCATTGGCTTTTATGACATGCAAGAATTTATATAAATGTTTCCAATGCTGCTCAATAGACTCAGAGAATATAAGAACATCATCAATGTAAACAATAGCAAATTGGCTATAGGAATTAAAAATTTCATTCATTATATTCTGAAATTCACTAGGAGCATTCTTTAGACCAAAAGGCATAACATTCCATTCATAATGACCAAAGGGAGTGACAAAAGCAGTTTTATAACGATCAGACTCAGTAATCTGGATTTGCCAAAATCCACTTTTCAAGTCAAATTTAGAAAATATAATAGCTTTACTCAGGCGATTAATCAAGTCTCTTTTATTAGGTATAGGATATCTAATCCATTCAAGAACATTATTAAGAGGCTTATAGTTAATAACTAATCGAGGAGATCCTCGTTCTAACTCTGCATTCTTCTGTACATAAAAAGCAGAACAAGACCAGGGAGACTTACTGCGTCTAATTATATTCTTCTGTAATAAATCATTTATTTCATTTTTACAAAATTCTAACATTTCAGGACTCATTTGGATAGGACGAGCTTTAGTAGGTATATTTTTCTCAGAAAAATTCTGTATATAAGGCAGGCTTACAATATGATTTTTTCTATGCCAAAAAGCAGTAGGAAAATCAGAACATACATCAGCAATCAATTTATTTTCAAAATCCTTAATCTGTTTTTGCATTGAAGGAGAACTTAACTGAGATTCAATTCTCTTATTTTTAACTTCTTCTTGTAAATGTTTAATTTGATTAGTTTTATCAAGAATCATAGATGTTGCTATAGATGTAATACTTTTCTTTGCAGTTTTTAACTCATGTAATTCAGATCGAGTAAGAAATTCAAATTTAACCTTTTCTCCTAAAGGACAGGCAACAACTCCATCAAATTCAACTTGTAGAGGATATAAAAGACTTATAAAAGGTAAACCTAAGATTACTTTATCAGTTATATTTTTGACTAAAACAAACGAAGTTTTAAAACACACTTTATTTTGGCAGACATGGGCTTTAGGAATCTCATAATTTAAGTGTAGCCATTTTACCAGAAGCAGTACTTAAAGATTCAGTTGATTTTGTATATATTTAGTGGGAACCAATCCTTCTTTTATGCAGTTTAAATCAGCACCAGAATCAATAAGCAATAGTATCAAGCTCAAAATCTTTAATACTATAGTAATTTGAATACCATTTTCTAAAAGAATAGATTAATTAAACTAATAATGTGATCATTTTTTCATTTTCTCAGAATGGGTAGGGCTACTCGGTTGACTGTCAGATTTAATTAATTCTTTTTCTAATAAGGAATTCAAGTTTTGTCGAATATCATAATTCTCAGCTTGTAATTTATGACTTAATTGTCGTAATTCAATTATTTCCTTTTTTACGGCTTTTACCTCAAAGTGCAAATCATGCAAAGTAATATCTTTTTTCTTATTGAACCTTTCTAATGTAGTATTTAAACTTATAACAGAAGAAGAGGGCTGGACTGCATCTGTATGGCTTATAATTTTCTTTAATTTCTTTAGATATTCAGACTTCAACTCAGGATGTTCAATTTTGCTAATCAGATCAATTAATAGTTCTTCTTGTTCTTCTTGCTTAGTCAAAACAGAAATAGACTTAAGGGTATTACAACATTTATCTTTACATCCTAATTGAATATTGGGTGAACTCATGTAGGATTCAGAAGACTCATAATCAGACTCAGAATTACTAACCATAGTGATATCTTCAGGCTCAGAATCTCTTAACTCAAGAACTTTAATTAACTTTTCTTTATCTGCATCCGTGATCTGTAATTGTTTAATAGTATCTTTAACTTTACACTTATTAGCATAATGGCCAAACTTTTGACATTTAAAACATTTAACTTTACTCATGTCGGTTCTTTTCTTAAAGTTTCTACTTTTATTCTTTCTTTTAGGCTTATCTGACCATCTTTTCTTAAAGCGGGACTTTTTCTTATAAAACTCATCATTGGACTAAGTAAAATGTCTTTTACGCTTATAATGACGTTTTTTACGCAGATGACTAGGGGACTTAATCTTATTTTTTCTAGAAGGAGGAGTATACAAACCATATTGTTCCAAAAACTACCTAACTCATATCTTGCAGATTTTCTTTCAGACTGTATTGTTTATATTTTTCATATCAATGCACATTTTCATACCTTCTTGATTAATGTACTAATTATATTACCATAAGTCAGATTATCATAATCTATATGTCCTAATTCATTACTTAAAACAGTTCTACTTTATGAGCAAAACAAATTAGGTAATCCATTTATAAACTTTTCTTTCCAAAAGCTTGATTACTATCTTCTCTCAGCATTACACGAGAAATAAAAACATCTTTATACCATCTAAAATCACTTAATTGAGGGCATCTCAAATTACTCAGTTGATCATGTATTCTAGACTGTGTATGACTCGGAGTTCCTATAAAATGCTCAATTATTGTATAAAGCAAAGTATTAACACTGTCTTCTATACCTTGACCGATATTTTCATTAAACAAGGGCAAACCTTCGGCGTCTAACTTAACGGCATGTATAATATTATTTCGAGACTCATCAGTTAAATGCTTATCCCACCATGATCTCAGAGTTCCTGTAAAACCAGTTTCTAACAGGGGAATTATCTCAGATTGTCTTAGATTATGATTAGTACTGTAACTATTAGCAACCATAGACATGTGAGTTAATTTATTCATGATTTCTTGCTCAGACAGGCCATCTATATTCCATTCATATAATTTATCAGAAGAAACAGAAAATTGACTCAGATTATTTCTTTCTTCAAATTGAATATCAGGTGGTGTAGGCTTAGGATACCAATTTCTAGTTAGGCTAGTAGGGATAGTTAATTTTTTGACTTTTAGCTCAGATTCTAATTCTAAGTTCTTAAATGCATTCTCAATTTTAGAGATATTACTAGACTCAACAGATTCTGTATTTGATTCAGATTCAGTTTCAGACTGTGTATCCAAAGGAACGGATGACCCTATGACTTTAACTCCAGATTTTTCAGGTTGTTCAGTTTTTAACTGCTTAAGCATTTCTTCTATTTTGTCAACTGTAGAGGATGTCTTAAGGTCAAACTTAGGCTGTAAATCTTGGAATTGGACCAGGGGCTTTTCTGCAGACTTAATAGTAGGTTCAATAGGTAAGAACTTATCAATTTTAGTTTCAATTTTATCTAACTGTTTTCCTATAGTGATGAGACTCTGATTTGTATAGTTATTTTGTTCTATAAGGCGTTTATTGGGCTTATCATTTGGGTCAGTCAACTTAAACGGGCTTGCAATAACATTTCTGGATCCATGTTTAATCTTAATCGTTTCTGCAGGGGGTGACTAGAGACTACTTCAGACTGATCTAACTTGATCCATTTTTCTTTAGTTATAGTTTTTAACTCAGTAGGACTGTAACGGCTTTCTATAAAATCAAGATAAAACATTTCTTTTTTCTCAGATCGCATATATTGTTTCCATTTAGTAAATATTTCTTGTCTTTTACATGCATCAGGGACTAGTTGATGATATATATTTCTTCTAGGTGATTAATGGGATCATGCAGATGCTCATCTAGGGCTTTCCAATTAATTTTAAAATTTTCAACTCTTTTAAGGACTTTTAACTGATTATCTAGACCATAAACATGGGCTGCAGCTAATTCACTTGCTATAAAATCAGATTGAGTAGGTGATGTAGGAGGGGATTCAGGTTTAGGTTCATTCGAAGGTGGAGTATTATAGCATGGATGACTTACTTGGGCCTTTTTTCTCAGGGATTCTAACTTTAGATCAATTAAGGCTCTTTCCATTTCTAAATCTCTTTCTTGTATAGAGGAAGAAGCAGATGAATTTCTAGCAGGCTCATGGCGCTTAGAGGGACTTGGTGTAGGTAACTGCTGTAATTGTACATTGGACTTAGGCTGAGTACCAAAATTAATCTTAACAGTGCCATCTAAATATTGTTGTATATAATCTAAATTATTCAAACTACGCTGTATAGGTGCAGGTTGTGACTCAGTAACTAATGTCCAATCTCTAGGTAGATTAATATCAGACCATTTAATTGTATGGGGAATACTTATATTAGCATCAGGTGTACGGCTTTGTATTAATAACGTCTGATCTCTAGGACTCTTATTCAGGGCTTGAAAATTCATGTTTGTGCCTGTAACTTTATAATAAATTCTATAAATCAGAGCTATAGGCTGAGTACCAGGCAAAACATTGTATCCAGAAGTTTTTATATTCAAAGTTAAAGTCTTAAGAATATGCGGATCATTCAAACTAACTGTAAAATTAGGGTAGCAATCAAAATGTACTGGACCATTGCAAAGACTAGATTCAACCATACCAAGTACACTATCTTCAAAATTAGTAAATCTTGCATCTCGCAAACATAATAAAATAGAAGCTTGTAATCCTAATCTGGTTAGGGGTTTAGCAGCAACTTGTACAAGACCAATATGCAGGAAATTATTACCATCATGTTTATGTTTTTTAATTGCATCCAAATTCAATAATTGACAGGATTCATGTTCTTTACTCAAAGCATATACTTGTTCTACAGTCTTAACATGTGTAGTTGTGTTAAATGTATTCAATGACCATTTTTTCCTATAAATATTTTTATCAGGTACTTTGGGTATATTCCAATCTCGGAAATCTAATTGCTCATTATCATTATTAGAATTATATTCAAATTGTTCCTCATTTACTATCTCAGGTAGACGTCCTATAGTGGTTCTAGAGCTGCTCGAACTACAAGAATTTGTTCTAAAGAGGCGACTCATAATTACTCAAGTGTATGGGGTTGGAAAAAGGAGAAGAAGATAAATAGTAACTTCTAAATCTTTCTTTTTAATCTAAGAGAAACCTATCAGAAACCTCCCTAGTTTTCTGTCTCCTGCCCACCTATGCGTGCCACACCTGGGACTTACCGACTGGAAAAAGGACTCACGGGTCAGACCTTAAGGGAAGAAACCGAAAAGAGACTCAAAGAAAAAAAGAAAAAAAAGAAAAGGAGAAACTAAGAATTTCAACTCAGAAATCCTAAACCAGCCACTTGGGTTGGATGAGTTGCGACTTAGACAAGATTCTTACAACTCTTACGGCTCTGATACCAAAAGGGGTCTAGAACCAAGAGGGATTAGCATATACAGTAAGGATTATATTACTAAACTTTTCCATTTTACCTTTGTTATTCTACCAAGTCGTCATTCAATTCAAACCTTGGTCATTCACGCCTATAGTTGTTTAGCAAGTCTTTTAATGAAAATAAAGTATACTAACCCCATAAGAGAAAAACAAAATCTTGGGATAAAAACCATTTCAAGCATAAGAATGTAATAGACATGTACTGCAAATTGCAATCATTTGTGATAAAAACAATACACGAAGTAGACATCAAAATGATAGGATACATGATGTTTATGGCAAACGACATAAAATAGCACTCCTTTCTCTTTTGCTTTAACTCTAGAGTACAATTAACTCTGCCTTCTCTACTGGTTTCAAAGGGTGAATCTTGACAGAAAAAGAACCATTATAAGGGTTGTAAGTAAAACCAGAATTCCTATCGCGTTTCGGGCACTCAAAAGGCAAGTGTTCACCTCGCTTCTCATAGATTGAACAATACTTGATACGTGCACATCCTAGGCTTATGCCACAATTAGCACAACGTGAGTCTCTAAAGAGGCAGCCACATACGAGACACGTAACCACACAACTCTCGCCAACAATTGCGTCCTCTGGGACTTCATACACGTAAGAGCATAGTGGAGTATAGTGGTCACCCACCTTTAAACAATACTCACACTCACCTGTGTGAAATTTGTAGATCCATTGTTATATACATTGAAAGCAATAGAAATAATCATTTTTTTTTAGACAATGAATGAATGAAGATGATAAAACCTAAAAATCAGTACTAGGAGCACAGTGCATAGAATAACGACAAATAATATGTCATAATGGAGAAAAAAAAAGAACAAAAAATGTAAATAGAGAAGCTGCAGTCGCATCTTTTTTGTCCCTAAAGTCAAAAGCTTACCAATAAGATTATGAGGGAGGAGGCTATCTTTTACGAATAATATAGTTAGACTATCGCTTCTATTTAAAATAATCAAAATCAAAGCATACCAATTTCTTCATCATCTGATTCTTCATCCTCTGATTCTTCAGGCTGTGATTTTTCAAGCTTGCTCCCTATTCCCATGTAATTTCATTGTTAAATACAAAAGGAAAAAAGAAAAAAGAAAAAAGAAAAAGGTAATAATGTCAAAGAAGTTAGAATGACATCTATGATCCCATCAACAAATAACTATATTATTGAATACTAGTTATACATCATGCAAACAACAAAATAACTTGGTTGGAGAAATCATTTTTTTAACATACGAGTTATTTTCAACACATGACATAGAACATCAACAAATGCATAGATATTATGTCATAAAATAGAGAGAACCTGCATACATTTTTTTTTCTTTCTTATCTCTAAAATAGAGAGCACGCCAATAGAATTAGGAAGGGGCTTGTATTCACAAAATAAATAAATAAAACAAAAACAAAAGCATAGCAACGGATACAAATAAGTATGAAATTCTTCTTTCGTTAGTTTTGTAGTCTTTGGTTCTTCAACCTTGGTTTCATGATCAACAAATAACTATATTATTAAATATCGGATATCCATCATGCGCGCACCAGAATAACTTGGTTGCAGATATCATCTTCAAAAACTGATTCAAAATTTTGGCATAATATACATCCTCAAATTTCACCAACAAAAATAAAATAACTTCAATTATCTCACAGAAAATAAAAGAGAAAGGCATAACACAAATTTTTTTTTTTGTTGAGAAATACACTCGATTAACCAATGGAGCAACGAAGTCATAAATAATTTTACTCGAAAAGTATTTCCAAATCAAATAGAACAATATGACTGAGTGGAGGCAATAGGGTTCCGCCACTGCTACTACGCAAACCAAAAAAATTAAATATTTCCAATGTAAAAATATAATTTTTCATGTACAAAAGTTGTGGCATAAAATTTAAAGCCCAAACAATTAAATTGCAGATAATCTTGGTCACCCTTGAATTAAAAGAAAAAGGAAAACCATACATACCGATTGTTGGCGTATTGAGGGGGATCATAGCTGGTGAGAAAAGGTCCTTTCCGCCGTCGTCCTTATCGATCACCTCCGAGTGGGAATCCAGTTTCAGGTCCTCCATACGTGAGACGTTGTCCATGGTTGTGTTATGTAGAGCTTGGAGTTTGGGTTCAGGGTTTGTGAGAGAAAAACTGACGTAAGCTTGGCTTTAGGGTGAAATGTGAGAGAATCTTACTATTTGTATAGGTGTGGGCTGGACCATATAATTTTTTTAAATAGTAAATTATCATTAAAAACTAAGAAATATATATAATTCGACAAATAGAATAAAATTATAATATTTGAAAAAGACAACAATTTGCCTAAATCAAAAAGTGAATATATGTTTGAAACCCATTGGAAGCACTTTGTGACCAGAGACAAGCCGAACCTCGAGCGATAATTAATCCACCATTTGAGTGTGAAAACACCTCGTGGTATAAAATTGAGACACCAATTTCTTAACATATAAATCAAGTAATTAGAGTAATACCATTTCTTCATCCTCGGGTTCCATGAAGATATATACCCCACAATTATAGATATAATTTAAATTTAATTCAGCAACCGATTGAAACACAAGAATTCAACAACCCAGATGGTGGTCTCGAAGAGTGGGGTCTCATACTGATACTATGTGCAGATATTGAGGGTTTGGAGGAGCATTTGGTGAGAAAACGAGGCAAAGAGAGAAAGGAATAGATAATGGGGTGTTCAATTTTTGGGGTATGGGTTTTGAGAGAGAGGTGAAAACGGAGTAGAGATTGATCATGTCCTTGTTCAAGCTGAATCCTTTTTTTTTTTTGGGTTTGATTGTTCAAGCTGAAACTTTTCCCCGTGTTTTCACTTTCCTCTGAAAACAATGAAAACATGTTAAAGTCGTTTTCTCATTCTAAGAAGGAAGATGAGATCGTTTTCAATTCTTCGTTTTCCGTGTTTTCAAACTTAACAGCACCGAGCGCATTTTTGGTTGTTTTCATTCTGAAAAACAGGAAACGCGGTAGGAAATCGATAACGAACGTGCCCTAAATTTCTTGGCAGTTTTTAAGCTAATGCTTCGGCACTCCGTTTATTAGACTTTACGTACTTTGTGAATTCGCGTAAAAGTTTAAATGATAGTCCCAACAACAAAAGCCCAAACTGAAATTGGCATAAAAGTTTAAACGATAGCCCAAAAATCCAAAAAGTCCAAAGCGTAAAGCAAACTGGTTCACAATACATAACTTATGAGGCCATCTCCAAACCCATGAAGCCAAACTCAAAATATCCCAAATTTTAGCATGTTTTCCCTCCCAACTCATGAAAATTAAGGGGCCAAAATTTGAAAAAACCCAAATTTGAGGCCAAATATCAATCTAGCTATTGTGCTGCTGTACTATAGTTGTTGTCTTACCACATGGCGGCAGCGGGTGATGTTGTTGTTGGAATCCAACAACAATTCAAACATCTTTTTTTTAGTAAATTCAAATCAATGATCCATATTAAATTCAAGCTATTTTAATAGTAAAACAAAGAGATCCAACAGCTGAAATTTAAATCCAACAGTCAAAATAATATTTTAAATTCATCTAAATCATATCCAACCCAAAACTCACTCCAAACTCTATAAATACCCACTCATTTGTCAAATAATCTACTAAAAATATTTTTTATATTTCTCAATATTTTTCCCTTGTCAATTTCATCAATCTCATTTCATTCTTGTTGAAGATATCCACAAAATCTCAAAGATGTGTAAATTGGAGGCCCGAAGAAGATGAGGTATTGTGCAAAGGGTGGGTTTCCTTCAGGGAAGATGGGGCGTGGCACCAATCAAGTAAGCGACACATTTTGGTAGGGTGTACATCAAAAGTTTCTAGAAAATGATCCAAGCATTAGTGGACCTAAGCGACAAACATACCAAGTCATTGCCCCTCAGTTCAAGTCTGTTAACTAACAGTGTTATTTTTGGGAGGCATGCTTGACTAAGGCCAATATGACTCACTCAACATGCAATTCTCTACGACAAATAATGTGTGTAGTACCGAATTTAGTATTACTCAAGAGAACGAGGTCGATCAAGGCAACCCCACACAAAAAAAAAAAAAAAAAAAAATCTCTAATTGATTTACTGTGGAAATTTTCTTTCTTCGATATCTGCTTTGGATGTTGAAACTAACAAATTAGTAACTATGAATAGTATAGCTAGGTAGTTATACACAGTTTTAATAATAAAAAAATTTCAAAAAATAGTACGGCTGGGCGCCTATACTCGGATTTTTAATTGTTTTTAAAAATCGTATAGCCAACCGGCTATACTCCTTTTTCCTAATTTTTTTTAAAACCGTATAGCCGCACAGCTGTATCCGGTTTAATTAATGTTTCTTAAAAAATATACAGCCGTTTGGCTTTACTTGTTTTGAAACGTGGTCCTCTTTTGTTTGTTTTTTTTATTAATAGTATCGCCCCCCGCTATACTCGCTGTACCTAATTTTTTTAAAATTAGTATCGCCGCGCGGCTATACTATTATAAAATTTTTGAAACCGGTCAAATTTCGCTGCCATAGAGTATAGCCGCACGGCTGTACTATTTTTTGAATTTTTAAAAAAAATTAAAACCGATTATAGCTCCGCTAGTCCCTAAAGAAAGCCCTAAGCACGCACGGCAAAAACTCGTTCGTTTCAATTTGCACTCTTGAGCGGCCGCCACAACCACCTCCCTTGCGCCCTCAATCTCATCCACTCAACTCTACCGGTTGCGGAAGGTAAAATTATCTCTCTTCTGTACATTCTGTTCCCATTATGGCTTTGAAATCCCTTATACGTATATCAGAACAACTTATGCTCTGAACTTTACAATATATTTTTGCATTTTTTTGAACGATACTTCCATTCCATCTGTCTGTGCTCTTTGCTTAGAAAAATGTTGCTTTCATGATGGGTTGTCTTGTATCTCTAGAGTAGGAAGGAAGTAGTAAACTCGTTGTTGGGCAGGGTTGAATAGTGTGGGTGGGCTTTAAGCCTTCAATCTCTGTTTACCTATAACAGCAGTTTCTTATTGAAAAGAGAGACATTGATTGCCTCCACAACTTCTAGCCATTATTTGTATTGTATAGCCAATTGGGTATCGAGAATTGTTTACAAATTTGAGTTTGCGATGTTCAAAACGTAAATTTAGAGAGATAGGATTGCAGTGAAAACACCTATGCTTGAACCATTGAACGTTAATCTAATATCTATGTTTGGATTTTATTGTGTATTAGGAGATGATTTTGCTATGTTTTTATTTTATTTTATAAATACATTGGAGCTTTTGAGACTATTTTGATTTGAACATATTATTTTGCACATGAAAACGTAGTTTTTGATAGCTTCGTAAGCAACCAATCTAGTACTTAGAAAAATCAGATTTGTTTCTGTTGTAGTCGATTCATTGACCAAGATGCAGAACGAAGAGGGAGTTATCACTGAGCTTTACATTCCCAGGAAATGGTATCAATCGAATCTAATCAAAATTTTGTGTCATCGATTGTTTGTGTGGTTTTGATGTGAGGCTATTCTGTTAAACTTGTGTGATCTGTGGACACAGCTCGGCCACCAACAGGTTGATAACTTCAAAGGACCACGCTTCCGTTCAGATCAACGTTGGGCATCTGGATGAGAATGGCATCTACACAGGCCAGTTCTCCACTTTTGCTCTCTGTGGTTATGTCCGTGCTCAGGTCCTCCTTCTTACCCTCATTTCAGTACTAGTTCATGATATGCCAGTTTATGCCAATTTATGCCAGCTTATTCAGGCACTTGCAATTTGTCAGTTCACTAATTCTACTTCTGATCTATTGCTCTCTTTCTTCAGGGAGATGCCGACAGTGGTCTGGACCGACTCTGGCAGAAGAAGAAAGCTGAAGTTAAACAACACTAGGAAGAGAAAACTGTTTTTCTTGTGTTTCTTCTTTGGACATGTGTTCTTGAGTATGGAAGTGTTTAACTAGTGAACTGATACATTATGTTGAGCAATTTTCTCTCCATTCGTATTGTACGTAGCAACTTTTTGGTGTTACGTCTTGCATTGGGTTTTTTTTTA